TGTAGTTGATACCATTCTCGGCTTAACTAATAATCGAACTAATCTGTTTTGAAGAAAACCGAAAACTCTATTCTTCAAAATAAGTGCATCTTCTCATTAGCCATTAAAATTTACATCAGTATAATGAGTCTCATGAAAAAAGTCTGCTTCCATAATTGAATAAAAGACGATCGAAGTTTAGAATTTGATCTCGATTTTCTTGAAAACTATTGATCATAGAAACTTTTAAATCTCAAAAAAGTACTCAGTTCTTATGTCTCTACAAACTTGAAAAGTCTAAATTTGAAAGAAATCATTTTCGGTCGTTTTTGTGTATTTTTCTTTAAGTTTTTGTTTCAATTTGATATTCATTGTGTTATTAATAATTGTATCTTTTCAGTAACAACCGTGTTTCAGTGACATTTGATCTCTGTTTCTTTAGTAAACTTAAAGCACCGGTGCTTCAACACTCAATATTTTCATACAATTGATCCAATTGTTCCAAAAGCCAAACCCTACAAACTATGAGCTGATTTATTTGTCGGTAGAGTCTTGGTTACTATCCAATATTCAGTCAGATTATATTACAGTACATAATAAAAATAATGTTTGGTAGAAGAATGGTTAGTTATCAGTTAGTTCTAGATAAACTTATTGATATGGATCACGTTATTGCTCTTTTATTGCATTCAAATACAATTCTGGGAAATCTATCAACAACATTCAGACCAATGCTAGATACTATCAATGCTAAAGATAACCCATACGTTGATTCTCAATGTGCAATTTGATGTAATCATTAATTAAATGATTATGGATTTCATAGCAATCAGGAATTGGATGAAATCAGTTCAAAACAGAAAACAGAATAAAAAATTATTATACTGATCTTATTATATTTAACAAACTCATGATTTGATTTCACTGATCAGAAATAAAAACTGTGATTATAACCGGATATTATTGTGTTATTATCAACACTTATTACGATTTCAAAAATCACTGCAAACGACTTACTGAGAATTTTGTTGCAAATATTGAAATTTATTTTTTATGATAATTATTCCCGTGACCAGTATCAATTAAAGAATCTAATATAATCAGATATTTTCATTTCGTATTGTTAGATGATAGAAGGAATAATTTGATGCATATTCAGATTCAAGTATATAAGATGAGTGAGAAACAATATTTGTTATTAGTTGTTCATTTACAGATCATTTGTGAGTTTATTCAACATAATAACCAGTTAACTCGTTAACAATAAAAATGAAACAATTTCTTTCTCTCTGTGTCTTTGCCATTTCATTTGCTTTAGTCTTTTCGACTGGATGTGAAGAGTGCAGCAAATTAGTCAAGACAAGTCTTCAACCTGGAAATTGCCCTGAGCCTAATCGACTTCCACAACCATTCGACATTAAACAAGTAAGAATTGTTCCACTTTAATCAAACACAGTCAGTTGTAATGTCATATTTAAATTGGAAAAATGATTTTTTTCGTTTTTCAATAGTATCTCGGTACTTGGTATCAAATAAAGTCAACCAAACCATACTTCGAAGATGGTCAACGTTGTATCAAAGCTGACTACAAGTTTGAAGCAACTATTGGTATTTTTGTTACTAACAGCACTGGCCTTGATTCAGTTAACAATGAAGTTGAAAGAGTTCAATTCGCCAAGTCTTATGATCAGGACAATGTTTTCACAGCCAAAGCCTTCTTAGGTAAGTTTCATACTGAATTCTGATTAGTATTAATATTAAGAAAGATGAATATTTATTATCTAATTCCTTTGTTCCGCAAAATTCAGGTTCTGGTTATTACCTTACTACACAATATTGGGTTGTTGACACTGATTACAATAATTATGCTCTTGTTGTTTCATGTAACAATCTTCTTGGTCTCGATAACTCTCGTAAGTATTCATCTTTCACTGAACAATGATTTTACCAAAATGCAACTTTTAATTCAAATTTTATTTCATTATTTCCAGGTGATGTTTGGATACTTTCAAGGAAACCAACATTGGACGACAATATTGTCGCAAATCTGGTTGCTGAATTAGACACGGTTGGACTTCATGGCATTGTCCTCGGTGACATAATCCAGAATTGTTAATTTGAATCACAGAATAAGCTATTATCGATAAAATCTGAACCAAATTTAACAGAATTATTAATCCTGATCCCGAACAAAAAAAACCTTAAAAAATATTCCATTCTTTGATATCCCCTGTATTTTGAAGCCCCTGCATAATATTAAAAGCTACTTAGCCTTAATCTATTCATTCATCTATACATATTATTAATACATATATTCAGGTTTCTGGGAAAGGAGTATTTGTAAAAAATCGGTTTGGCCTCAAAACAGCAAAAAGTTAATATCAATTAAATTCACACTTTTCTTACAATTTATCGGAGAATGCAAGTTAATCTACCGATTTAACGGATAATCGTATATTTTTACCTCTTTATTTACCCATAACTGCAAAAAATTCGTCGAAGTTTCAATGTGAACATGATTTTACCGAAAATCATCGAACATAAAACTTTTCAACTTGTCCAATGTATACTCAAACTAAGGTGCGACCTAAAAAGTTTGCAACCAAACAGTTTTTTAGTCATGGCTCCTCTTAAACTAGACACTTTGGCATCATTTTTATTATGCGACAAAATGCTTGTATTCAATAGTTTGAATAAATAGTTATTTAATTCGTTTAAACAATAAATTGGTACATCAATTGAATATCGTTAAATTGTGGCAGATCATGTGTCATGTCTCAACAGAGTATGTGGATCCATGATCGCTCACTCAATGAACTGCCGAGTCAATAAAATTTGAGGGTTCAAAAAGTCATGAACGCTTGGATTACTCTTTACATTGATAATTCGAACTAAAAACGAAGACAGATTTTAGCTTCTGGCATTCCTTCTTGCTAATTACAAAGTCAGATGCATCCTGCAAATATGTGAAGATATGGATAAATATGGCCAGAACAATTAAGGTTAACTGATAGCGGTAATATGCATAAACATGATTAGCTGAATATCGAATATAATAAGTTTAGAATAAAAAAATATAATAGGAAGAAATTCAAGAAAACAAACAGCATCAACAAGATTTGATTCTGTTGGATTTCGAAAAATATTGAACATTCGAAAAAAAACCAGAGATAGTTGAAACATTTAGATATTGTAATGACAAGATGCCAATTATCAAATCGATTAGAATCTAGGCTAAAATGAAGAAACTATCATTTGCTCGACTAGTATCGGTATTATCAATAAAAATTCATCTCTTGACAAGGAAAAATCACTTTTTATTATAATATAATGTAAGTACGTACTGTACTTGTGTAGTTTGTAAAAGTTGGAGGTCAAAATTTTTCAAATGCTAATTCAGTGCACAAATGGACATTTCATGTACCCGATTCTGTAATTTTTTGTTTATTAGAGTTAAAATTGACTTTCTTTGTAAATTTTTTGTTTCATGTTTGAGTTAATTAAATGCCATTGCTTGATTTTGATTGATTTGAAAAGATGTGACAGTTAGATGAAGCTCTAGAAATAATCCAATGTGTGATGAGTATTGCTGCACCAATGCTTTGCCTTTGTTGAAGGGAACCGAAATCGAATGACGCTAAAAAGCCATTTGACTAAAATAAGATATAATACTGGCGAGCACCCGTTTAAAGCAATTTGAGTTTTTCAGTATCCATCTAGTGGCTTTCAGAAAGTGATAGCGTTTAAGATTTAGGTAATGAAAGGATTTTATAAATTATAAAATAATGTAAACTTTGAAAAACAGCTTCTGGTCTAAAACAGGTAAACACAACCAATAAAAAGACAGAATTGAGGAAAACGGGTAAAAATAAATTTATTTCAAATTTAGACTCTGTTTGTTGATGAGAACATAAAAACTGAGTCCATTTGTGCGATTCAAAAGTTTCTCTGGTTAACAGTTTTCTAGAAAATCAAGACCAAAGTTGAAACTTGGATCGCTTTTTGTACAGTTATGGAAGCAGATTTTTCATCAAACAAGAAAATGAACTTATTGTGAAAAATAAAATTTTAGGTTTTCTGAATAACAGATTAGTTCGATTTTCAGTCAAACCTTCTGCATTCTGTGAGAGTTAAGGAGCTGAAACTTATTGTTAGTCGATTAAAATTGTTGATGCACATAATGAATCAAATACTTTTCTCAATTTATCAACGGTTCTCTTGATTTTGGCCATTGGCCTCAGAATTTAGAGTCTAATTATTTCGATAAACTTTATCGATCATTATTAATCTAATGAATGATTAAAGAATGACGATTGCATATGATGCCATTATCGGAATATTGATGTTCAAAGTTTTTAGACCAATGGCCAAACTCAAGAGAACCGTTGATAAATTTTTAAAAGTATTTGATCCATGACATGTGCCAACCCATATTTATGGACTAGTAATAAGTTTCACCTCTCTATGTCTTATGATTAAGAATGCAGAAGGTTTGACTGAAAATCGAACTGATGTGTTTTATTCTGAACAGAAAATTTCATCTCTCAAAATAATTTTCTGGTTGACTATCAAAATTTACATCTTTAAATGAGTTGATTGAAAAAATCTGCTTCCATAATTGTTAAGAAAGATTTGCAAGAAGGCAATTGAGCTCATAATCGATTCCAACACACATTTTCATCAAAGTCAATCTCGCAGTTTTATAAGTATTATATATTTTTATTAATATTTTTATGCAAAAAAACTCAAAAAACAGGAATCAATACTGGGAATTCAAGGAATGCACTTTAAACAGTTCTAGTTTTCTCGACTTGAAGTTGCATTTTCTTACCTAAAGCTAAAACTGAAAATGGCTCTTGATCCGAACATCGTTCATTTATTTTTTGTACCCTTTATTGGTATTTATTAGCTCTAAATGATGACAATTAAATGAGCATTCAACATTAAATATTGAGCGCAAGCTTTGTGTAAATAGCTAAATGAGCTATTCTCCGATCAAATACACGTAAAATAACAGCGTTTGTTTTGGTAAATATTTTAAAAATATCTCGACTCAACATTTTTTACTCAACATTTGAATTTACAATGTCTGTTTATTTTGTTTTATTATGTAATTTGGATTACAGTAATCAAAGACAGTTTAAATATGATCTCCTACTTAGTTTTGCTACATAAAAAACGAATTAAACTTGTTTAGTAAGGGAAAGCCACAGTTTTTGATCTCAAAAAATCCCATAACATTGAAAATGGAAGTGTCAAAAAGTGAAAGTGTTAAGAAAAAGGTATTCTTTATTTGTCTAATTTAATCATTCTCTAATTTATATTTTTGACTCTACAGAAGAGGAGACTGAGACTGGAAGAAAAACTCAAGATCATTGATGCGGTTGATAGAGGTTTTTCCTATGCTGAGATTGCTTCACAGTATGGAATATCCATTGGATCAATTGCTTACATCAATAGTAATAAGCAGACTTACTTATCAGCGATAGAGAAGGGTTATAACCTGGATATCAAAAAGACACCCACTGAGGTTACCCAGAGATGTGACCAAGAAATAAAAGAATTCATCGAAAAATCTCTCAACGCAAATTTACCTCTGAGTAGGAACTTGATTACTACCGTAGCAAAAGAATCATACACTGACAATGGCAAGACCAATTTTAAAGGATCAAATGGTTATTATAACAGGCTCAAAAAGAGATTAAACTTGAAAAAATTGAAATTGCCCGAAGATGATGCTGCGGTTGACTCGTTAAAGCTACACAAATGGAAACTTGCTTCATTTGAAATTATTAGTGAATATACGCAAAACAACATTTACAATCTTGATGAGACTGGACTGCTGATGAAAAAAAGTCCGGAATGTACTTTTTTTGATGACGATAACGACGATGAAAGTGAAGAAGTAAAGCAAAAGAAAAGAGAGAAAAAAGGAAGATCTTGGTTAACAATAATTTTTATCTGTAACATGAGTGGAGTCAAGGAAAAGTTAAAAGTTATCAACAGATACGAAAAACCAAGAGCTCTCAGACGATACAATTTTGATCATACCAAGCTTCCAGTTGATTATTATTTCAATGACAATGCCATAATGACATCGGATATTTTTCAGTCAATAATAATGAAATGGAATGAGGAGCTGAAAATTCAAAATAGAAATGTCTTGTTGCTGCTTGACAAATTAAAAGGTCATCACATTGATTTTGTCCCTTCTAATATTAAATTTTTGTATCTCCATCCTGATTCTACACCAGTGATTCAACCTTTAGAAGCCGGAATCATAAAGGAATTTAAAGATCATTATATTTCTCGCTATCGAAAGTGTTTACTTGAAGAAATGGAAAAAACTGCAACTAATATCCAATTTGCTATTAAAAAATTAAATATTGTAAATGTTATTCAATTAATCAATTTTGCTTGGCAAGATGTAAAAACTGAAACAATCTGTGATTGTTGGAAAAATGTTCTCGACCAAAAAACAAATTTTGCCTCTCTTTTTGACCACAATTATTAAAACTCTTTAAATTATTAGATTAATTTACATGAAATATTATTCATACATATGTATTATCAAAATTCCCATATTTATTTATGGTTCCAAATCATGTTTACAGTGCAGACATTGAGTAGTCTAAAGTTGTATGAAATTTAAATTTGATCTTGGTTGAAATGTAGCTGCAGAAAATTCTTGAGATAAGTTCTGTTTGTTCAAAGACTTCTGATTATGTACACAGCGTAATTATCTTTGCTATATGGATAATTTTTGTCGTTGGAATGTTATTAAAGTAAATAATATCTAATCCTTGACAGGAAAAACAGGTTAATTGGAAAGAAAAAACAACCACTTTACAAAGTTGATTCAGCTAGATAAAACAGCCACTTGTTAGTAAAAACTCTTTTTTCATTGACTTTTTCCTTATTCAGCTTTTAATAATCTTTTTTATATTATCTAATAGTATTTTTAATTAATATTTAGTTTACTTAGTATTTCAATTAAACATCTGAACACTGTGACCAAAGTATTTTATTTGTGCCTTTCTCCTGGCTTCAATCAAATTCCTATACTGTACGTAAACTGAAAATAATATAAACCTTGTCCGGTTGTGCCTCTTGAAATTGACTCATTAAAAAATCTAAACGGTGATCATCAGTGAGTATTCATCATTGGGATAAACAACAACCCTGAGCTTAATCACCAAAGCTAATTTCATCAATTTAGATGGTCGTCGTTTGAAATATTGAACTGTTTAATATTTTACGTGAAACTGCTGGTGTTATATGGTAGCAGTGTGGCAATGATGATGTTACAACATTCAATTCAAGTCAAAGAGTAAACTCATTTCCTCGCCTGTTAATTTGATTCAATTGTCACCAATTTTTTTACTCATTGTTTGTTTGCAAGTATTGTAAAGAGAAATAATAGAGATCTGATTGTGCTGTTTATTTCTGTCCTTTCATTTCCGAAGGAAATCCAGTTTAATAGTTTAACAATTGGTTAGGCCTTGGTTTTACCCTCTTCATGTGGTGCCTGTTTTCTTTTTGTGTGTTCTTTAATTGGTCCATTCAACACTGAACTCTTTCTTTTTCGCTAATCAATCCACCCTCTTTAATTGTTCCTGTTTTTTGTATTGAAATTTCTACGAGACGAATCATGCAATCCTCCACAAGCAACGAATATCTGGTTAAAGATGGTCGATCCCTAAAAAAATCAGCTAGTGTACCCTCATCACCAGAATTGTCATCATCTCGACGACGTAGTTCACATGGAACTGTGTTACAGTTGAGTGAAGATAATGGAACTTGGAAAGTTGCCGGTGAAACGGGTGTCACTAAGGAAGCTGTGAAAATGTCTAAAGTTTCAATGATTCTAGAATTATCTAAAAAACCAGAGTTTCGCTATCGTATTAGTGTGGCTCTGTTTTTTTTCTGTATTGCTATCCTGGTCATGAGTACAAGCCTTTTGGATCAAAGACGTCGCCTGATAAAAGCCTTGTCCATTAAAATTTATCTCCACGAGGAACATCGCCATTTCTCTTTACTTGACTCAACCGGTACTCCATATGTTAAAGTGCATTATGGTGTCAACTTGCCACTCGACATTAAACCATTCAGCTGTTACATTCAACATTTAAATGATCAGCAACCAACTATTTGCCGTGATTGGGAGTATCGTGCTCATCTTACCATTGACCATCAACCCAAAGAGCAAGATATAAATTGTTACCGAGTTTCATGGGAAAGCTATTCTCATACAGGACCAACATTGAAAGATTGTATCAGTTTAGGCGATGGATCGTGGTTTGGAATGGGTGAAACTTTTGGTACACCATGGCCATTGAACAAGTGGTCTCAGAATATGACAGCTTTTGTTACCAACCATAGTAAAGGGAAATTGTCACCTTTAGGCTCAGTCATTAAGCGTTACTGGATCTCTTCAAAAGGAGTCAGTATCAGTGTTCCTCTACATACTCCATTGTTTTTCAGTTTTAATTCATCTTCAAATAGTTTACCCGATCAACAGCTTTGTTTGGAAGCACGCACAAACACTTATCCTTATGATTACTCCAAAGGATCACGTCCTAATCTAGAGTACACAATTTGCACCGGACCTAATGTTAACGATCTTCATACCCATGTTTCACGTACTTGGCTGGCTCGAACTCGAAATAATTCTTCTTCGGAATCCAGTGAGCAAGTTATTCCCCAATCAATTTTCTTAGAGAAACCAATTTGGAATATCGATAGAAAAGTGATGACTTCTTTAAACCATGAAAAGTTGGAGAACTATTCAACGAAAATAGTTGATTTCGGAATTGAACCAGGTTTCCTACTGATTGATATGAAATGGGAAAGATTCATTGGTGATTTAAAAATCAATTCAACTCAATTTCCTGAACCAAATAAGGAATTCACCATTTTAAAAAGAAGAGGATTCAAAATACTTCTTTCTGTTTCACCTTTTCTCGAGTTATCGTCTCCATTATTTACCGATGCTTTCACCGAAAATATAGTGTTTACACACGAACACTTAAAAACGCCATTAATTACTCGTTGTGAACCTGAATCGACTCAACTTTGCGCTGTCATCAATCTAATCAATGCTACAACTCATGAGTGGTTTTTAAATAGATTAACCAATCTAACCGACTATTCCATCCATGGATTGTTTTTCAAAGGAGTTCAAGTCTCTCGAATGCCTCATTTTTACATTCCTGACAGCTCGAGAACAATTAATCCTGACATGTACCAAATTTATTACAAAAGTGTCGCCTCAACCAGTTATGATTTATTCGGGATGGATACTTCAGCAGGAACCAAAGGTATACCAGGTTTCATCAGGATAGCTCCTCGTGAATCAACTTGGCGTTCATTAAAAACCATAATACCAACAGTTTTGTCGATTGGCCTCGTTGGTTTCCCTATTGTGAATCCTGGATCAGTTGGTGGAGATATTCCAGTTTTAAATACAAATGAAACTACTGATGAATTGTACATTAGATGGTTTGAATTGGCTACTTTTTTGCCTGTCCTCCAATTATCCAATGTTCCTAGAGGTGACATAACTATTCTTAAATTGGTTAAGAAGTTTATCAACATTAGAGAGTACCAATTGTTACCAATTATGAAAAACTGTATGACCGAAAATTTAACCAAAGGTTGGCCCATTGTTAGACCAATTTGGTGGTTGGACTCACAATCAGCTGAAACTTATACCATTGATGACCAGTTTGCGATTGGAAATGAGATTCTGGTTGCTCCTATCCTTGAAATGGGAAAGACGACCAGAGATATTTATCTACCTTCTGGTTGGTGGAAAGATGAAATTTTGGGTCAAACTATTAGAGGCGGTAAATGGATGAGAAATTATTCTGTTGACCTTTACAAGATAGCCTATTTTACGCGAATCAACGAGCAAACTTAAAGCAACCAATTTTTAACCGATTTTTTGCCCGAATTAACCAACGCAACTTCTGTGACTTGTATTGCTCAAGCAATTGCAATTAATATAACTTTTAGTGTCAAAGATCTAGTGGCATTTGTAAATCTCAATTTTAAGTAATTGTTTTATAATTATTTTGTACTTTCAATTCAAGAACTTTTTTCTTCAACATTGATTACTAGTGTAACAAATGGAAAAGGATTTCCAATCATGATCTCATTTTATCTAACATTAAAACAATTTCATTCTTTGAACAAAAATCTTATGTAAATCTGACCAATAATTTAATCATCACCCTCATTACCTTCATTCAATTAGTATGGATTTAAATAGTGCTTTACTGGATAGTGACTTAATTTATCTTGGCTGAAAATGAATATAGCTATTAATAGATCATTCAATAATCAAAATGTCCGATTGTTTTATTCAAATCAAATCAACCTTACAGCCTGGTTATGAATGGAACCATGAAAGCTTACAATAGCCTTAAAAGGTTACAATTATTGAATATAACGCTAAATCATCCTATCAAATTATCCAATCGCTTAAAAATTTTCATCTTGAATTTAGGGATAGTCATGATTAGTGAGTTGATTTCTTGATTGAAACCTTTTGCTGTATTTTCAATGTTCATTGTTAGTGGTAATAAAATTGATTCTAAATCATGATCTTATCAAGTTGTTTTTTAGTTTGTCTAATTTTTTTTCAATTACATAAAACTATAAATTGTGAACCCAATAAGGCCTCAATTATGATAGACATTGGCAAGCCAAAAGAACTAATCTACGAAAAAAATACAAGAACTCCGATCGAGATATTAGCTCGATTACCTGCAAGAGGGAGAAAGTTCATGAGATTCATTCAATTTGGTAAGTTTTCATTTTTATTGTGAATTGTTTCCACAGCTAACTGAATCTTTTTACAGGCAATATTGGTCTTGACTGGAAATATCCATAACAATGTTAATTTCCATAACAATTTTGTGGCACTTTTTCTTTGTTTTTATTTTTTCACAAATGTCCTTGTTCAATCCGTTGATCATTAACAAATGAATAAAAGATTCCTGAATAGTTGATGTTTTTGATTACATTTTATTTTAATTTGTTCCAATCGCGATGAAAAAACAATTAAAACAGAGGGAACACACACTTGAAAGGGAGAAAGCATAAAAGATTTATAATTGTATAACTTTCATTGTGATCGGTTACTGATTCTTAAACCGTTTAAAAATTGAATTTACGATGAAATAATTTCGATTCAAGTAATTCATTGTCATAACAGAGAGAAACACCAACAATAACAATAACTATGATTGTAATGATAATGCATGAAGTTTGTCATCAAATTGTGAAATTTTAAACATAAATAGCAAAGCAATCGATAGATGGAGTTAGACAAAATAATCAGAGTGTAAATAAAAGTAACTAAGGTTACTGTTACTGATTACATGTACTGAAGCTTGAAGCTTCAGCAAAGTAACAGGGAGAAGTAAGTCAGAACTTATTGGAAAGAAGTTTGTTATTGAATCTGAATGGCTTGAAATTGTTTTTAACTCCACTGATCAGTTGATTAGTTTTTTTAAATCATGTCTAGTGACTCAGAATCTCCGGATAAGTATATACCAATAAAGCCTCGAACGAATATATTTCGACAATATCGTGATCCAACGACCAACAGATTTATAACTCTTTCTGCCAATGATTTTATTAAAATTTGGAAACATTACGACAATGATGGTAAGTAATTTTTCATTTTCCGATTCTTATTTTTTAGCTTGGTGTTTAATGCTCCAATTGTATTATTTACAAGCTATAATCTTATCTCAATTTACAAACTGAATCATTTATTTATCATGATTCATTGACTTTGCTGTTATTTATGAGCCATGATGATACTGTTTATGATTATTTTCCCTCTGTATATCTTATATCAGATTGTAATAAATTAATTTTTGTTCTATTGTTTAAAGGTAATGGCCATATCGAAGGACAAGAGCTGGATGACTTTATAGTTGATCTACTGGCTAGCATAATCCCCCCAAACTCTATACAAAATATTTCTAAATTATTTTTTGAAAATTTCAAGATATCTTTCATGAAAGCCTATGATGACAATGGCAATGGTCGCCTGGAAGTTAAAGAGTTAGCTCAATTGGTCCCATTAGAGGAAAATTTCTCAATTATTTTTGATGGTAGCAATCATCTGAAGTCGAGCGTTTACTTTATGAAAGTAAATTGCTTTAATTAATGTTCCCCAAATAAGTGAAACTGACGAAAATTTTCATCTTTCTATTTTTTAGCTTTGGAAAAAGTATGATGCAGATAAAAGTGGCTCAATTGATGCTTCTGAGTTTATCGTAAGTTCGACAATTCAATAGTGAAGTTCAACATCATTCAACTAATTTGAAATACATTATTTATACTTTATTTTTCAAGTATTTTCTGATTTTTTAACGTGAAATTTTCTCAAATCTTTTTTTTTCTTCACAGAGTTTATTAAGAGATTTTTATGCCAAAGTTAGAAAGAAAAATATCAAACCGGAACAGCTGCAAGAAATAGCTGATATTGTTTTGGAGATCTTTGACTCAAATAAAGATGGCAAGTTACAAATTGGGGAACTAGCTAAGTAAGTTTGGATAATAACCTTTTCTTAAAATGATTTGTTATTCTAATTTTTGTTCATTTCTACTTAAATTTTCCTTGTTTAGATTGTTTCCAGTTGAGTCAAACTATTTAAAAAGGATTAAACTGATGAAAAGTAAAAAAATCAAGACTAGTGTGATAAACCGAATTTTCAAAAAATATGACATTGTAAGTATTATAATATAAGTCTAAGGAAAACTTCAAAATTAATTATCTACCCGATTAGGATAAGTTGTTTGACAAGTTGATTGTTACCATGTATTGGTCAGAGGGTTTCCAAGGTCGTAAAAACCTTGTGGTCTTGTTTAGAGCAAAACAAGAATCTAAAATTCTCACAGCAAAACCATTAATTCTTATAATAGAAGAATAAATAATGAATAATGACCATTACAAACTATTCGTCATACTTGAATCTATTAATACATTTTGGAATTTAATGGTAATTTTTTATTCTTTATCTTTTGTAGGACGGGAATGGGCAAATAGAAAATGAAGAACTGGAAGGTTTCTTGAAAGATCTTGTCGAGCTACAAACAGATGTAAGTAATAGAAATTTAAAAAATTATTCAATAATTTAACAATATTTTTAAAGATGTTATGTTTTAACGTAATTCTGTCATTTTTTCAATTTCATTTCAATTAGGAATGCGAACTGGGACAAATTGAGGTGGTCAAAAAATTGGTCTTAAGAAGTTGTGATATGGATCGTGATGGACGAATATCTAAAAAAGAGTTGATTGTAATTCTCAATTCTATTGTGGCAGACAAAAAAGATGCATCTAAAAGACGACGGAATATACTTTTATGTTCTTGATTTATTTTAATCAAAATGACAATATATTATAAATATGCCTAAAATACAGATTTACAATGATTCATTTTATTTATACTTTTATATGATAGCTATGACGATGATCCCTAGATACATTATAACAATGATAATGAGTTATTGCACAAAATATACAAAATAACACAATCGACTAAATGAAAATGAGATTCATTTTAATTTGTCATGCTTAGATTTTATCATCTCTTTGAATTGTGATAAAATTTTACTTTCACGTTTTTGTCGTTCTTCGCGGTTAAACATAGCCAAAGCTCGCTTCTCATCAGCACTATAAATTTGATTCTCTTTTCTTAAACGAACAGCTTCCATACGACGATGACGAGAACCACTCATTACATAGCCGACATTCTCGAAAGATTCAATTTGTTCACTTGTTAAACCAATTTCTCCTCTTCTAGGGATTCGTTTACCCTCTGCAACATATTGAGCCATTGCAGCTCCTTCACCAGGTAATAAAGCACGACCATAATCCTTGGCATTTAACTGGACTGAACCTTTTGGTAATGGACCTATTTGTGAATCATCGGAATCCTGTGAAGCTTCCTCACCCTTAAGTTTTTGCTTTTCTATAACTTCTTTCAAGAATTCTTGTTCTTCCTCGTAAGGGCCAACAGGTTTCAATTCTGCATTTCTTTTTTGGTGTTGGCATTCTTCACTTTTAGACTTTTTTGATTTGTGTGCATGTTTTTTGCCTGTCATAAGAAACAAAAAGAAAAGTTGAGGCGCAAATTTTTACAAAATCAGATCAAAAATTTCAACTTACCTTTTCTTTTTTTGCTCCTTTTGCTTTGTAATTCTATTACATTATCACTAGACTTATGTTTGAGTTTAATTAAGTCTTCTTCATCACTATCGAATTTTCTACTTGGTGAAGCTTTCCAAACTTTTGAAAACCCTTCTGTACCAATTTCCTCTCTTCGTTTACGCTGAGCAGCCCAATAATCACAAATCACGATATCCTGATCACGCATCTTTTCACACTTTTGGTTTGCATAAACTGGTTAATCAATCGGTCGATTGGCTGATAAATTGATGGATGAAGCAGGAGAAAATTAGCTAAAATAACTTAAGTAATTAATAAAGATGAACAAAGAAAACAAAGTGAATTATTGACATTAAAACAGCTGATAAAAACGAGTCGTTTGTCTAATGTTTTTAATTTTAGCGCCACCAGACGTCTCTTAGCTGATCCTACAAATAAAAAACATTAGCTGTATCTTTCTTTCTGCTGATTTGATAACCATTGGTAGTTAATTCTGATTCAATGTCTCTCGGCGGTGACAGCGAAAGTAATAAAGGAGGATGGAGTTCCTCCCCACCTAACGAAGCAGAGGAAGAGTCCTACGAACGTTTATTGTACAGTATTTCGACCCATGCAATGCTCTCATCAACCCCTGACATCAAACAGTTTATCTTCTCAACACCATCTGAAAATGACAATCGTAGTGTTGTTAGCAATGAATCAGGAGGATCTCCTGTCAACAGTAGTAGTACTTCAAAAGGACTCAGTATTTTTAAAAGGAAGAAAAGTTTCACCCCTTCATCTGGAATAGCCGAGGCTTCTGGAACAAGTGTTGGTACTTCTGGAACGCCCAATGCAGGAAATGATTTTGAAATTATTCCAAAAACCGTGGTTTTAAATAGTCAAGAACCAGAAACTCAAGAATTTCTTTTACATCTAACTACAATAGCTAACCATGTAGGATTGGATGAACAAGATTATAAATGTGCATCGTGTGGACGACCCATTGGTATGATTTATGGTAAATTTCGTGTATGTGAATTTGATGGTTTTAATTATTGTACTGAATGTCATATTGATGAAAGATGGACGATTCCTGCCAGAATTGTGAATAATTGGGATTTTAAAAAATATCCGGTAGCTAATCGGAACAAGAAACGTTTGCAGTTGATTGAAAGTGAACCCTTAATCGATATCAAAGTTTCGGCATCCATTCTTTATAAAGTTGTCAAAGAGTTGCGGGAAATTCTTGACTTGAGAACTCAATTGTTTTACCTTCATGCTTATTTGTTTACCTGCAAAGAGGAACATGCAACCAATTTGAGAAGGATCTTATGGCCGAGAGACCATTTATACGAACACATTCATTTATACTCTACTGTTGACCTTCTTCAAGTAAGCGTCATCAAACCTTTAGATCATTTTCATCCATGAGAACAATGAAAAATTGAAATCAGATGCTTTCTAGATTAATTTCAAAGTAGATGGATGAAAGAACTAAACATCAAATCACATTTTAATTGATTTCTTTTTTTTCTACAGATTCAATCTGGTGCAACTCTTAGCAGTTTATTACGCAAAGCGATTCATTTCGCGAGGAAACATGTTTTATCTTGTGTTCTTTGTAGTCAGAAAGGATTTATCTGTGAAATTTGTAAATCCAATCAAATAATTTATCCTTTTGATACCAAGATAACTTATCGATGTGATAATTGTAAAGCTGTTTTCCATATCTCATGTTTCATCACAGAAACAGGTAAAAGACCATGTCCTCGGTGCTTACGTATTAATCGCCGTGAAAATGCTGCTGTGATCACTCGCCGACAGAGCAAATCTTAGCTCATAAGGCCAAATGTCCATATATCAAATGAAAAATAATTATACTTTGTTATTATTTATGATCATATAAAATAAATTTTCTATTTGAATTGTATTTATCTTTACGAAATTTCACGCTAATTTTAATAGATCAAGTCATAATAAACTAAATTTTGCTACAAAATTCACTAGTGTCTTCAACAGTAAATTAAGTAAAATCAAGATACAAGTTAGTAGCCTTCATCTTCAGATTTACATGTAGCTTGATCAGAATAATCACCAATACAAAATCCATATTACAGATAAGGCTTTTTACAGGTGAAGTCCTGAATTTCAGATACTGAGAGTTTCATTCTGTTTACTCTTTGATTAAATTCATTTGATTGATATGAAAACAATTTCAAACAGAAAAAAATTGCAGCATTTAAAAAAGTTGCTCCAAGCTACACTAGGTGGATCTGACTGCAGTGACAGCCATCAGCTCTAAATTTTTTGTTTCTCGGTGAAAGTCAAAGAAAGTCACTGATTGTTATTTAATTAATTGCTTGATTAAGAATAAAAATATTAACAAAATGTCTGCTATTGATCCACCATTGAGAACTCCGTTCAATGTTTCACCTTTTATTAGGGTAAGTTTTTTCATCCTTCCAATAATATTTAGCAATCAAAATTGTGACTTGTTCTGATTATTAATCTGATGCTTCGTCTTATATTGGCCTAATAGTTTAGTCGATGGGCTCTTTTCTTCTCTGGTATTGCTTGGGGTGTCCACCGGCAAAGAGTCAACCAAAAAACCGAAAATGACTACAGAGAGTTCATCGAGAAGATGAAACCAATTTGGATGGAAAATAAAGCTAGAATTATGGCTGAACGATCAAGAGGTATATTCAATATTTTTCACATGTGTTATCATCTCTAAACCCTACTAAACAATTGGAAATATATTGCATCAAAATATATTTTACTAGTTCAGGAGTTACTTTAAAAGATTATAAAGTTTCACCAATACTATCTAGCTGTGTTGATATATTTCTGATGTATATTTTTGCATCGACTGACATTGAAAAAAATGAATGAGATGCTTTTGTATTACTTTTTAGCTTCTTGAAATCTATCAAACAGAAACTTTGTTTTTGTTTGAAAAAATTCACAATACTTATTAATGTTTGCATCTTTTTATTTTCACAGAGGAACTTCTCAATGTTGCTGGTCAAATCAACCATCCTGTTCCAAGTAATTTCGATGAAGCATACCCATCAAATAAAACTAAACCTGCAATTGATCCTGAGTTATTATCTGAAAATGCACTGGCTGCTTACAAAAAAGGAAAAGGTGCTGAAATCCTCAAAAAAGCCGAGTCCTACAAACTATGAGTTGATTTATTTCTTGGCCGAGTCTTAGTTACTATCCAATAAGAATTGTATAGAGAATAATAAAATAAAATTAACCCGGTAAATAAATGGGAACCTAAATTTAAGCCGTTACAAATCACTTTTATTTGAATATTCAAAAAAATTAGGTAAAAGAAAGTTGATTCGTTTTGCCATATCAAATGTATTACAATTATTTATCTTTTTTCATAATCCTGCAGCGCTAAGGCCAATTTACGTCTCAGTAAGTTTACTTTTTCTTCTTGTTTACGAATATCGTCATTAGATATTATTATAGTTCCAACTAAGGGTTGTTTAGGATCCAAAAAGACACCCGGGTTCTTGTCTAAGACGTTTTTTCCAGCTGTTTGTCCAATAATTGGACCCTGGTGAAGGTGTATAGCATTGATAACACTTCTAAAGGCTGTATCATTTCCAATATAAGGTCCCGCTGGTTTAATATTTTTAGGCAAATCCGCATTTTCAACAGAATCAGAACGCAAAGTTGTCGCTTTCAATCCTTCCAATCGCTTTTGCCAAAAGAGTTGTTGTGGCTTTTGAGATGAGACACGTCCAAGATCATGTCTCGTTGTACCAGTATTCTGGGATCGAACAATAGTCACAGGTTGTCTGCGGATCCTCGATAAACCACCTCTATGCTTTTTTTTCAATTTGACATCTTTAGTCTGAAGCTAAAGATCAAGAAAAAAATCAGTAATAAGCTAACAGTGGACTCTAACATACAGAAGTACTTACATTTTGTTGATTTTGTTGATCCATGATTGTGAAGGCAAAATATGATAAAGGTTAAAAAAGGTAGGGATAGAGAGCTTGAATTCAGATCAATTGTCCTAAAACTTATCAAAAAAGTCACACAAACTAAATTATTTAGTCTGTTCTTCACAACCTTATATTTATACCTATTATTTAAACTGTGTAAGATTATTCAACAAACATTTTAAATATCGATAGTATCGATTATAAATATCGGTGCCGATCATATCACTACATTGTAGTCTTTACTAAATGAAATCTAATTACAGTATAGTTGATTGTAGTATATTTAATTGTAGTTTACTGTATTCTGTGTCCTGTTAATAATTCAAACTTCTAGTCTGCAGCAAAATTCTTGGACAATCCAGTCAGAATAATTAGTTTAAACTGTTCAAAATTCCTCTGCATAGGCTGTGTACTTTCTTCCTAACACATTCAGTAAAATCAACAGTTAATTTTATCCAATCATTCTTGATAGTGTCAGTAAAACCACTAAGGACAAATGGTAACTAAACTGAGCTACAGAAAACTCGTATTGAAGTTAATTATAGATTTTTTGCTATACTTCGATTAAAATTACAAAAATGTATCAGAATAGATTCAAAATGACTCTTTAATTTTTCATTTTACATGATAATGATAATGATGATCTAAAGAATGAATGTTTAAAACAATGTTGAACTCTCGAAATCATAATACAAATGGTACAATTTATTACATAACTGCGAGTTTAATCTCATTTGTCATGCTTAGATTTTATCATCTCTTTGAATTGTGATAAAATTTTACTTTCACGTTTTTGTCGTTCTTCGCGGTTAAACATAGCCAAAGCTCGCTTCTCATCAGCACTATAAATTTGATTCTCTTTTCTTAAACGAACAGCTTCCATACGACGATGACGAGAACCACTCATTACATAGCCGACATTCTCGAAAGATTCAATTTGTTCACTTGTTAAACCAATTTCTCCTCTTCTAGGGATTCGTTTACCCTCTGCAACATATTGAGCCATTGCAGCTCCTTCACCAGGTAATAAAGCACGACCATAATCCTTGGCATTTAACTGGACTGAACCTTTTGGTAATGGACCTATTTGTGAATCATCGGAATCCTGTGAAGCTTCCTCACCCTTAAGTTTTTGCTTTTCTATAACTTCTTTCAAGAATTCTTGTTCTTCCTCGTAAGGGCCAACAGGTTTCAATTCTTTAGGAAGAGCAGTATCAGCTTTATCTGATGCATCAGAGCTTTCAGAACTATAGCCATCACTACTGCTATCGCTGCTTCGTCTTTTCTTTTTTGATCTATGTTTGTGTTGGTGCTTACTACTGGCGTGTTCATCACTTCTCTTAGATTTTTTCGATTTTTTAGATTTGTGTTTATGTTTTTTGTCTGTCATAAAAAAAACAAAAAGAGAAGATGAGGTTTAAATGTTTTGTTGATCATGACAAGAATTTCAGCTTACCTTTCTTTTTTCTTTTCTTGCTCCTTTTGCTTTTCAAATCCACTTCACTATCACTAGACTGGGATTCAGCCTTACGTCTATGAAGTCTAAGTTTAAAGTCTTCTTCATCATCATCACTATCCAATTCTCTCTTTGGTGAAGTATTCCAAACTTTTGGACACCCTTCTGTACCAATCTCCTCTCTTCGTTTACGCTGAGAAGCCCAATAATCATCCCTTTGATCACGCATTTATCGCTTTTATCAATTAATTAGTTGATTAGATGAATCAGATGAAAATTGGACCTAAATGAACTTAAATAAAGATGAACAAAAAAACAAAGTGAATTATAGCAACAAAAACAGCTGATTTTGACTGTACTCTGGAATTAGCTCTTTTGCTATTTACGCAGAATATTACCGAAGAATAGCTTTCTAAAATTTTTAATCAAAGTTTTTCGTGTTTTTAATAACCATATTAACCAAACTTTGATAACTTATGTTAATTTAATCGCCATAAAATTTTATTACCATTGGATTTATTGATAATTAGAATAAAATTTTGTAAAAATTTTACGCCAAAAAACGACGCAATAAATATAAATTTCACTGTTAATGTTACATGTTTTCAAATCAATCAAAATCAAACAATGGCATTTGGTTAACTCAAACCTGTAAACTGCCAATTTTCAGAAAATATTATGTATAATAATTCATCAATTAAACAACCTAATAATTTATAGCTAAAATCATGAAAATACGGAACATTTTGAGAGGCCGACATTATTGACTGTTTTACTTTATACCAGCAACAGCCATAGCATGAGTTATATCCTTACATTGATCGTTCTTGGCATTCTCAGCCTTCCTCTTGTAGGCAGTCTTTTCCTCATTTGACAGAGCTTCCCATTCAGAAGCAACGATTTTGGATATTTAAATGAATGATGCCGTTTTATTTTCCTCTTTAATACGAGCTTGACGTTCTCGGAAAAAATGTGCATATCCAGAGGCTGATTTTTTATTATTGTTCAGAACATGAGGTTGAACACTTAAAGATGTAACGCTAAGGGTATTGCTTTGACTGACATTTGGGAATGATAGACTCGGCTAGATAAAGAGAGCGAAAACATAAAGATTATTAGATTTGCTAATTTAATCAATTATCCATAACATACCACATCACAATCAATCTGAGGAGAGTAGCTACAGCTTTCTGCATGCTTCTGAAGAACACCTATGGCATCATCCAATCGTTCCTCCATGTATCCATTGAAAGATGTTGACCAGGAACCAGTTCCTTCAGATCCTCGAAGAACCGATACATTGATGGGTAAAGTTGGATTAAGTTGGTGAGATTGTTATGAGTTATAATTTGGAGCAGTCGAACTATTCCAAGCATCTGGAGTGTTGATATAATCATTATATCCTTCAGAGGAATAGGAATCAAAGTTAACTTGGTTGGAGCCAACAAAATAGTTTTGGCCATTATTTTGGGTGTCATATCCATCTTTGAATTTATTAAAACAATTTTGATACACTCCTAAGTGGCTAATTCCTGGCTGCTCTGTGTTAGTAACTGGACCATTCATGATGAGAGACAAAAAACTTAATGAAAATTATTGAATGCAACGATGAAAATGGATGAGTCTCGTTGACCACTCAAGAAACAGAGACAGAAGAAATAGAAAGAGAGAAAGATTACAAAGAAATAAAAATTTAAAAAACAATAAAACAAACAATTAAAGTTATGGTTGACAATTATAAAACTTTCTAACTTTCCTGGATACTGTATACTTCATTTATAAACAAAGTTGGATTTAATTTTCTCATTGTCTCAATTTATATTTGATTCCCTCCTTGTGCTTGTGTCTAAATTTGTTTATTTAGTTAATTTAAATATTACTTTAACTTAAAAAGTTTCTTCAATTTACCGCCAGTAATCCCGTTGGCCATTTGTTTTTACTTAGCCAATAATCCACCGCCGCTTGTACTCATGACCTAGCAATACAAAAAAGAAAGGACAGAAATAAACAGCACAATCAGATCTCTAATTCTCTTTACAATACTTCCAAATAACAATGATTAAATCATTCAAGATCATGAAATTAAAGTTAAAGCATTGTAAAGAATGTTCATATTTAGGAACTGCTTGGAAAATGCTTAACCCATGGTCGATGGAAGTGAACTCTGGCTCTAACTTTCCTTGTACGTTTGGTGTAGACACCCTTTTGTCACTTTCTTAGCGGTTTTCAAAGCCTTAGTTTTGGCCTTAATCTTAGCAGCAGCTGCAGCAGTGGCCGATTTTGATTTTGAAACTGTCTTGGCTGAAGCTTTACCTTTACCAGCGGCGGTCTTGCTCTTATCTTTGCTCTGAACAGCAGTTTTACCACTGTAATGACTTTGTAAGTCACTAGACTTGGCTAAGTCATTGGAACTTTCACCGTGTTCGACTCAAACTCTTTGCGCCGTAAAGAACGATAACTATCTTGTTCGAGTCCAATCGTTTTCAGTGCTATTTGATCTTGGTTTATTTGAGCAAAATCAAAGCACCGGTGCTTCAATACCCAATGTACTTACACTCATTGGATTCTTCTAGATCTGCATTTAATTGTCACGTCTTTTCAAATCAATCAAATCAAACAATGGCATTTGGTTAACTGAAACATGAAAACAAAAAATACAATGAAACTCAGTTTCAACTTAAACATACAGATAATCACAGAACTAAATAAATGTAGTGTCCATTTATGCCCTCAATAACGTAACTCACAAACGTTTGAAACTTTAAAGATGCATTCGACTGCATAATTGCAAGAAATCTGAATTATTAATGTAAATGGTAGTCTAAGTGTGCGATCCATGGTTAGTATTATATTATTTTAATACTAAAAAGACACAAAGCCACATATGCAATCCATGGCTTGTTGATTCATAAAGTTATTGTAATTAAGCAGTTCATCAAAGGTGTGATAGCCAATCCACATTTTGGGCCGTCAAATTAACAAAATGTCCAATCGATGTACCAATTTCAAAGTCACTACTTGTCGAGTTGTTACTAAAAAGACACAATTATCACATTTATCCACAAATTGAACAAATGCTGCAAGAAAAATGGGTGAAATCGGGTAAAAATCAATTTCTTTCAAATCCAGACACTGTTAGTTTATGAGGACATAAAAACTGAGTCCATTTGCACGATTAAAAAGTTTGTCTGGTCGATAGTTTTCGAGAAAATCGAGATCAAAGTTGCATCTTAGATCGCTTTTTGTACAAAGATTCTGACAGATTCTGTTATGAAACTCATTTCACTACTGTAACTTTTGATGGCTAATGAGAAAATGCCCTTATTTTGAGAAATAGAACTTTTCTTTTTCTCCAAAATAGATTAGTTCGATTATTAGTTAAACCGATCGCATTCTGTGACCATAAGAATTAGAGTGCTAAAACTTAATATTTGTCAATAAAATTTGTTGGATCACATCATGTATAAAATACTTTTGCCAATGCATCAACAGGTCTCTTGATTTTGGCCATTTATCTAAAAACTTTTAGCCTCAATATTTCGAGAACGGCATTTCCTACAATCGGACTTCTTTGACCAATCATTAGATTTAATCATGGACTACAACATTATTTTGATTGAATACCGAATAAATCTAAACTAATTATTAAACTAATTTTTCATTTATTAATGAAGATTCTCCTAACGCATATGATTTGTGTTTGGTAACCATTCAACATTCAAGTTCTGAGACTAATGGCCAAAATCAAGAGAACTACTGATACATTGTTAAAGGTATTTAATCCATGATTTTTATTAACAACTTTTATCGTCAAATATTAAGTTTCAGCTCGCTCAAACTTAAGATCACAGAATGAGGTCGGTTAAACTTAAAATTGAACTTGATCTGTTTTAAAAAATCAGAAAATGTTATTTCTCAAAATAGGTACATTTTATGATAGACCATTAGAGGTTACACTAGTAAAATGAGTTTCGTGAAAAAATCTGCTTCCATAGCTGCACAAAAGGCGATCGAAGTTTAAACTTTGACCTCGATTTGTTAGAAAACTGTCCATCGGGTACATTATTTAATAGTACCAATGGATTCCGTTTTCATGCCACTACAAACCTCACCAATTCTCAACTCTTAACTCAAATGTTCGAGCCTTTGGCAGCACTCTTTGCATTTCATTTGCAAGTTTAACCAGAAAATTGGTTTAAAAACCAAGAACTGGGTTTATATGAGTTTGTTTTGTTAAATAAGATGTTGCTCGATCATTTAAAGCCCAAATATCATACTCAAAATGCGCTTATGGATAATTATTGCATAGAATTGAATTATTTATTAGTGAAGGATTAAATTAGTGAAAGAATGATGACTGCAGGTGCTACCATACTCGAGATATTGAGATACCAATTTAACCAACTTTGATCTAACAAGTATCTTAACTCTTTGATTCTGAATTTCGCAGATTTCTTCGAGATAATGAAAAATTGATTTCTTTCAAATTACGTCTCTTTAAGTTTTTAGAGACATAAGATATGAGTAAATTTACGCATTTTAAAAGTTTCTCCGATCAATAGTTTTCAAGAAAATCGAGATCAAATTTGAAACTTACATTGTTAGATTGTCTTTTAGTCATCTATGGAACCAGATTTTTTCACCAAACTCTTTTTTACTGATGTAACTTTGAATGGCTAATGCGAAAATGAACTTATTTTGAGGAATAGAACTTTCCGTTTTCTTTAAAACGGATTAGTTCGATTATTAGTTAAACTGACCGCATTCTGTGACCATAAGAGTTAGAGAGATGAAACTAAATGTCTATCCATAAAAAATTTTGGTAAAAATCATGGATTAAATACTTTCAACAATAGTTCAATAGTTCTCTTGATTTTGGCCATTGGACTTTAAACTTTGAGCTTCGATATTTCGAGAATGGCATCAACTGCAATCATTATTCTCTGACCAAACATTAGAGATCATTATGGCCTACAACATTATATGATTAAATACTGAATAAAATACAAGCTAATTCATTTATTGATGAAGATTCTTTCGTATGCATAAGATTTGTGTTTGATAAACATTCAACTTAATAAACCAAGTCTCAAATCTGTCAACATGAATCATACAATGCTTTAACTTTCTTTTCAGGATCTTGAATGATTCAATATTTCAATATATTATAGTCCATAAGAATATCTAATGTTTGGTCGAAGAATAACGATTTTAGGTGATGTCCTTTTCGAAATATTGAGGTTAGAAGTTTTTAGACCAATGGCACTAAATCAAGAGAACTATTGATAAATTTTTGAAAGTATTTAATCCATGATGTGAGCTAACAATTCTCATTTACAAATAATAAGTTTCAGCTCGTCATTAGATAAGGTCACAGAATGAAGTCGGATTAACCGAAAATTAAACTTGATCTATTTTACAGAAACAGAAAATGCCATTTCTCAATATAAGACCATTTTCTGAATCTCCATCAAAAACAACATCAGGGAAACATAGTTTGGTGAAAAAATCTGCTTCTATAATTGTCCAAAAGACGATCGAAGTTTCAACTTTGACCTCGATTTTCTAGGAAACGGTCCATCGGATGAACTTTTTAATAGCACCAATGGACACAGTTTCTTTGCTCTTACAAACCCAGCGATTTTCAATTCTCAACTCAAATGTTTCAGCCTTGGACAATACTTTACGCATTTCATTTCAAAGTTTAACCAGAAAAGTGGTTTAAAAACCAAGAAATGGGTTTTTATGAGTTTGTTTTGTTAAATAAGATGTTTCTTGATCATTTACAGCCCAAATAATATACTTCAAATGCGCTAATGGATAATTATTGAGTATAATTGATTATTAATCAGTTCTGAATTAAATTAGTGAAATAATTTTAACTGGATTTGATGCCATTCTCGAAATATCGAGGCTCAAAGTTTTTAGTTCAATGTCCGAAATCAAGAGAACTGTTGATACATTGACAAAAGTATTTGATCCATGATTTGTACCAACAACTTTTATTGACAAATATTAAGTTTTAGCTCTCGCATTCTTATGGTCACAGAATGCAGTCGGTTTAACTAATAATCGAACTAATAATCTATTTTGGAGAAAAAGAAAAGTTTTATTTCTCAAAATAAATGCATTTTCACGTTAGCCATCCAAAATTTCATCAGAGAAATGAGTTTCTCGGCAAAATCTGGTCGCAAAGTTCTACAAAAAGCGATCGAAGTTTCAATTTTGAAGTCGATTTTTTCGGCAACTTTTCATCAGATAAATTTTTAAATCGTGCAAATGGACCTAGTTTTTATGTCCTCATAAACTAACAGACTTTGGATTTGAAAGAAATTGATTTTTACCCGATTTCGCCCATTTTTCTTGCAGCATTTGTTCAATTTGTACATAAATGTGATAATTGTGTCTTTTTAGTAACAACACAATAACTATACAGTCAAACTATTGAAATATATTAATAATTGCAAAAGAGTCTGGCGCTTGGAGACTAAAATATGCAGGATTATAAATCGTCATGATGAGGTATAAAAATGTAAACGACTAATTTAATCTCAAAGTTGTCTCATAAATCTGTGACCAACACTGTTGATCTTCAAGGATTGTAAAATTGATTGACATTTCAATTGTTAAACAAATAAATGCCTGGTGCATCTGAATGTCAAATAATATTCAATACGAAAACGTATCATTTCTAAGCAAACGAGAATCTGTATAAAAAGAGTTTCTTTTCCATAGAAATAATCATTCATTGGAATAATCCAGTTTAGAATAGTTCATCGAACGGAATTCTCATCCTCAACCTAAATCAAAATGCGTTTCACCATTGTCTTGGCTCTCTGCTTCATTGGAGGTAAGATATAACTCAAATTCTTGTATCAAGTATCATTTCTAACCCTTTCCATCTATTCCTTACAGCTGCCTCTGCTAGTTCATTGAACAAGCGAAGCTTCCTCGATGATATCCAAAACAACACTCAAAATGCTTTCCATGCTTTTGAACGTAAGTATGCAACTTTATTAACCTGAGCTAGTCAAATAACTATATATCATGCTTATAAATATTGCAGAATTCGGTCAAACTTTCAATGAAAAGGTCCAAGAAGCCCTTAAAAACTTACTCAGTGCTTTCGGAAACAGTAAGTTATGAGATTATAACGTGAAAGCGAATAAAAATTTAATGTTTTGTTCTTTATTAATTTCCAGAGAACTCATCTGCTGAAGCTTCAGTTGTTGTTGAAAAGCGAGCCACCAACCCACTTCAACTCATCAATGATCTCGATGACCCAGCCCAATTTGCTCAAACTTTCTTGAAGGTTTTACTCGATTTGGCTACCGGACAAGGTCGACGAAAGCGAGATATTGCTGAAGACCTCAAAAGTAAATTTTTCATCAAATCTTTTCAATTAAATATCACTTTTTAACCTATCTTTTGGATTTTTTATTAGAGTTCTCTGAGGAAGCCAAACACAACGCTGAAGAAGCTCTCAAGAAGCTCTTTTCTTTCTTGGAGCAATTCAAATGTAAGTAAATCACTATAAATAAAATTCAGAAGATATTGCGTTTAAATATAATCAATTAATGTAAAATTGAAAACTCTTATAACTAGCCCAATCCAGTGAATCAACTGAAGCCTCAGTCGTTGTTGAAAAGCGAGCCACCAACCCACTTCAACTCATCAATGATCTCGATGACCCAGCTCAGTTTGCTCAAACTTTGTTGAAGGTTCTTGCTGATATTGCCACCGGACAAGGTCGACGAAAGCGAGATATTGCTGAAGACCTCAAAAGTAAGTTGTTCATCAAATCATTGAGTTAAATATCAATATGCAACCTGGATTCAACTTGGATTCTTTTTTATTAGAGTTCTCTGACGAAGCCAAGCACAACGCTGAAGAAGCTCTTAAGAAGCTCTTTTCTTTCTTGGAACAATTCAAACGTAAGTTAGCCATTATCAATGAAAATATTATTCTTGTTCACAATATGAAAACATGATCAATTAACTGCAAATTTTTATATCTTATTATATCTAGCCCAATCCAGTGAATCAACTGAAGCTCCAGTCGTTGTTGAAAAGCGAGCTACCAACCCACTCGTACTCTTCAATGACCTCAGTCAACAAGATTTAGGAAAGTTTGCCCAAGACTTTTTGAAAGTTCTTGCTGATATCGCTACAGCACAAGGCTAAAGAAGACGAAATATTCCTGAAGACAAATATTACAAACCAATTCAGTTGAATGTGATACACAATTTCCATTAATATTTGATTATCATCTATAATAACTCATGCAACAAGCATAAAGATTCTGTAGTCTGAACATTTTTCTGTAATTACTTCTAAATTGCCTTCTAAATGATTAAATAAAACAAATTCATTTGAATTCAAATTGCAAATTTAAATTATAATTTATTATAACCGGCTATAATTTACTGAATTATTAAATCATTCAAGATCATGAAATTAAAGTTATAAAGCATTGTAAAGAATGTTCATATTTAGGATTCCTTGGGAGATGCTTAACCCATGGTCGATGGAAGTGAACTCTGGCTCTAACTTTCTTTGCACGTTAGACACCCTTTTGTCACTTTCTTAGCAGTTTTCAAAGCTTTAGTTTTGGCCTTACCAGATTGAACTGATAGCTTACCATTTAGTCATTAGCTCAGGTCTTGGCCCATTTGGTTACAGAGACTTTTCCGAGTGCTCCTTTGCTTCCAGCAGCATCGGGTTTGGGTGCTTTGGGTTTAGCTGGTTGAGGCTTTGATGTTGCTGCTGTGGATTTTTCAACAGCTTTTTCGCCGGTCTTCGGTTTTTTTGTTCCTGATTTGTTTCTCGAACAGCCATCTCAATTAAATTAACTAAACTCTAACAAATAAAAATAATATCACATATAAATTAACTTACAGTAACTTAAATCTACCTTATTAGTTTACCATTTACGCTTTGGACGTGGACATAAGTCATTGGGACTTTAGCCGTGCCAAACTCTATGCGCCGTAAAGAACGATAACTATCTTGTTCGAGTCCAATCGTTTTCAGTGTCATTTGATCTTGGTTTACTTGAGCAAAATTGAAGCACCGGTGCTTCAATACCCAATGTACTTACACTCATTGGATTCTTCTAGATCTGCATTTAATTGTCACATCTTTTCAAATCAATCAAATCAAACAATGGCATTTGGTTAACTGAAACATGAAAACAAAAAATACAATGAAACTCAGTTTCAACTTAAACATACAGATAATCACAGAACTAAATAAATGTAATGTCCATTTATGCACTCAACTAGCATTTGAAAGCATTAAAATTTTGCCCTCAATAGCTTCACAAACCATTGATACTTTAACGATACATCCGATCCGTCAAAATTAACAAAATGTCCAAATCGATGTACAAAGTTCATAGTCATTCAATAGCTGAGTTGTTACTAAAAAGGCACAATTATCACATTTATGCACAAATTGACATAAATAGGTAAAAACGGGTTAAAATCAATTTCTTTCTAATTTAGACTTTGGAGGTTTGTAGGGACATAAAAATCGAGCTCATTTGCGCGATTAAAAAGTTTGTATGGTCGATAGTTTTCCAGAAAATCGAGGTCAAAGTTGAATCTTCGATCGTCTTTAGTGCAATTATGGAAGAAGATTTTTTCATGAAACTCATTTTACTGATGTAACTTTCGATGATCAATGAGAAAATGCACTTATTTTGAGAAATAGAACTTTCCGTTTTCTTTAAAACAGTTTAGTATGATTATTAGTTAAACCGACCGTATTCTGTGACCATAAGAATTAGAGAATTAGAACTTATTACTAGTCGATGGAAATTGTTGCTACAAATCATGTATAAAATACTTTTGTCAATACATCAACAGGTCTCTTGATTTTGGTAATTTACCTAAAAACTTTTAGCCTCAATATTTCGAGAATAACATTTCCTAAAACCATAATTCTTTCAGCGAACATAAGATTTCATTATGGGCTAAAACAGTACCTGACTGAATATTGAATAAAATTTGGGCTAATTCATTTATTAATAAAGATCCTTCTAACGCATAAGATTTGTGTTTGGTAACCATTCAACTTTATAAATCAAGTATCAAATCTGACAACATAAATAACACAATGAAATAACTTTTATTTCAGGATCTTGAATGATTTAATTTTTCAGTATATTATTAATAATAATGAAAGCTAATGTTTGCTCAAAGAATAATGATTATAGGTGATGTCATTCTCGAAATGTTGAGGTTCAAAGTTCTGAGACCAATGGCCAAAATCAAGAGAACCGTTGTTAAATTGTAAAAAGTATTTAATCCATGATCTTTACCAACAAGCTTTATCGTCAAATATTAAGTTTCAGCTCGCTCAAACTTAAGATCACAGAATGAGGTCGGTTAAACTTAAAATTGAACTTGATCTGTTTTAAAAAATCAGAAAATGTTATTTCTCAAAATAGGTACATTTTCTGATGAACCATTAAAGGTTACACTAGTAAAATGAGTTTTGTGGAAAAATCTGCGCCCATAGCTGCACAAGAGGCGATCGAAGTTTAAACTTTGACCTCAATTTTCTATAAAACTGTCCATCGGATACATTATTTAATAGTGTCATTGGATTCAGTTTTCATGCCCCTACAAACTCCACCAAGTCTCAACTCTCAACTCAAATGTTTTAGCCTTGGACATTACTTTTTGCATTTCATTTCAAAGTTTAACCAGAAAATTGGTTTAAAAAACAAGAAATGGGTTTTTATGAGCTTGTTTTGTTAAATAAGATGTTGCTCGATCATTTACAACCCAAAGTTCATACTCAAAATGCGCTAATGGATAATTATTGCATAGAATTGAATTTTTTATTAGTGAAGGATTAAATTAGTGAAAGAATGATGACTGTAGGTGCTACCATATTCGAAATATCAGCGCTCAAAGTTTTTAGGTAAATGGCCAAAATCAAGAGACCTGTTGATGCATTGACAAAAGTATTTTATACATGATCTGTAGGAACAATTTCCATCGACTAGTAATAAGTTCTAGTTCTCTAACTCTTATGGTCACAGTATATGGTCGGTTTAACTAATAATCGAACTAATCTGTTTCAAAGAAAAAGAAAAGTTCTATTTCTTAAAATAAGTACATTTTCTCATTAGCCATCGTAAGTTACAGTAGTGAAATGAGTTTCATAACAGAATCTGTCAGAATCTTTGTACAAAAAGCGATCGAAGTTGCAACTTTGTTCTCGATTTTTTGGAAACTTTTCATCAGAGAAATTTATAAACATGCAAACGGACTCAGATTTTCTGTCCTCATAAACTAACAGTGTCTGGATATGGAAGATATTGATTTTTACCCGATTTCGCCCATTTTTCTTGCAGCATTTGTTCAATTTGTGCATAAATGTGATAATTGTGTCTTTTTAGTAACAACCCAATAACTGAATAGTCAAACTATTGAAATATAATTGCAGAAGCGTCTGGCGCTTGGAGACAAACAATATGATGGGAATTATAAATCGTCATGATGAGGTATAAGCATGTGTTCGACTAATTTAATCACAACGTTGCATCATAAATCTGTGACCAACACTGTCGCTCTTCAAAGATTGAAAATTGACTGACATTTCAATTGTTAAACAAATGAATGCCTGGTGCATCTGAATGTCAAATATTGTTCAATGCGAAAAAGGATCATTGCTAAGCAAACGAAAATTTGTATAAAAAGAGTAGCTTTTCCATCGAAATAATCATTCATTGGAATAATCCAGTTTAGAATAGTTCATCGAACAGAATTCTCATCATCAACCTAATCAAAATGCGTTTCACCATTGTCTTGGCTCTCTGCTTCATTGGAGGTAAGATATAACTCAAAGTCTTGTATCAAATATCATTTCTAACCCTTTCCATCTATTCCTTACAGCTGCCTCTGCTAGTTCATTGAACAAGCGAAGCTTCATCGACGATATCCAGAACAACACTCAAAATGCTTTCCATGCTTTTGAACGTAAGTATTTAACTTTATTAACCTAGGCTAGTTAAATAACGATATATCTTCCTTATAAATATTGCAGAATTCGGTCAAACTTTCAATGAAAAGGTCCAAGAAGCCCTTAAAAACTTACTCAGCGCTTTCGGAAACAGTAAGTTATGAGACTATAACATGAAAGCGAACAAAAAATTTAATGGTTTTGATTTCAGAGAACTCATCTGCTGAAGCTTCTGTCAGTGTATCTAAGCGAGCCACCAACCCACTTCAACTCATCAATGATCTCGATGACCCAGCCCAATTTGCTCAAACTTTCTTGAAGGTTTTGCTCGATTTGGCTACCGGACAAGGTCGACGAAAGCGAGATATTGCTGAAGACCTCAAAAGTATGTTGTTCATTCAATATTTCCTGTTAAATATCACTTTTTAACCTATCTTTTGGGTTCTTTTTATCAGAGTTCTCTGAGGAAGCCAAGCACAATGCTGAAGAAGCTCTTAAGAAGCTTTTCTCTTTCTTGGAACAATTCAAACGTAAGTTAACCACTATGTTTAAAAATTCAGAAGATATTCTGTTCAAACATAATCAATTGACGTAAAATTTAAAACTCTTATAACTAGCTCAATCCAGTGAATCAACTGAAGCTTCAGTCGTTGTTGAAAAGCGAGCCACCAACCCACTTCAACTCATCAATGATCTCGATGACCCAGCTCAGTTTGCTCAAACTTTGTTGAAGGTTCTTGCTGATATTGCCACCGGACAAGGCCGACGAAAGCGAGATATTGCTGAAGACCTCAAAAGTGAGTTATTTATGAAATCATTCAATTAATATCAATATTCAACCTATTTTTTAAATTCTTTTTTATCAGAGTTCTCTGACGAAGCCAAGCACAACGCTGAAGAAGCTCTTAAGAAACTCTTTTCTTTTTTGGAGCAATTCAAACGTAAGTTAGCTATTATCGATGAACATATTATTCTGTTCACAATATGAAAACATGATGAATTAATTGCAAATTTTTATATCTTATTATATCTAGCCCAATCCAGTGAATCAACTGAAGCTCCAGTCGTTGTTGAAAAGCGAGCTACCAACCCACTCGTACTCTTCAATGACCTCAGTCAACAAGATTTAGGAAAGTTTGCCCAAGACTTTTTGAAAGTTCTTGCTGATATCGCTTTAGCACAAGGCTAAAGAAGACGAAATATTCCTGAAGACAAATATTACAAACCAATTCAGTTGAATGTGCTACACAATTTACATTAATATTTGATCAAAAATCAATTATCTATGATAACTTCAGCACACTTGTAGAGTCTGTAATTACCTCTATCCATTTACCCTCTAAATGATTAAATAAAACAAATCCATGTGAATTTAATTGCAAATTTAATTTAATCTTTTTCTTTCTAAAACAATCCAACAATGTTTTGTAATACTTACTTTTGTATTTCAGTTGGAAACATTTTTTCCCTAAAATCACCTCGAGCAATTGATTTTACACAGAATTGAAAACTCTAACGATCAGATAGAAAAAGTAATGATTGTTAAACAAATGAGTAAATTATTTATGCATTTGTATAAATTATTCCTTCAGCCAGACTGAATGCATCTGAATTGGAATTGATAATAATAACTGATTGATACCAAAAGTATGACCAGGTCCGAAACTTTAATGAGGATGGCAAAGATATGTAAATGAATTATATTGAGATTATCTGTTGTTTTGTTTTTTGTTTTGATTCATCACCTTAAATCAAAAGGATCAAATTTGCCAGAGATCATTCATCATCATTGCTTTGATTTGTTATTTTTGTCTTTGTTTGAGTATTTAGAGTCTTTACGGTGGAAAGCGAGGTCAGAATGATGATTATTTTAAATTTCACTTGTTAGCTTTTTAGGAATATGAAAGTCCTCCAGTAACTTGATAATTAATTTGTCCATGATTATAATTGGCCTCAAGGTGTTGCTGTTGTTGATGAGTATGATGAATTAGATGTGCCTGTTGTTGCTGCTGCTGCTGCTGTTGCTGTAGCGATTGTTGATAAGTTATCATGGATCCAATGTTGCCTTGAACATTATTTTGTCCCATCGGAATTTCCTTGCTGTTAACTATTTGATTGTCAGTATTGTTATTGGATAAATTTGCTCCGGCAACGGTCATAGCATGAGTTAAAGCAATATCCTTAAATTGATCGTTCTTGGCATTTTCAGCTATCCTCTTGTAGACAGCCTTTTCATCAATTGACAGAGCTTCCCATTCAGAAGCAACGATTTTAGATATTTCGCCGAATGATGCCGTTTTATTTTCCTCTTTGATACGAGCTTGACGTTCTCGGAAAAAATGTGCATATCCTGAGGCTGATTTTTTATTATTGTTGGGCTCCTTTTTACGATTGGTCTTCTTCTTTCGGATCGCTTTAACTGGTTTGGAGTCTTCTTTGGTGCTGCTGATGATCATGCTAGTGTTACTGGCAGGTATGATGGACAACCTTTCTTCTTTCACCACCAACAATTGATTCTGACCTGGTTTCAATCGAGGTAACAGGTAAAAAAAGAAAAAAAAGAAACATCTTTAGTTCAACTTTATAATTAAACTTTTGCCAAACACACATTAAAGGCAGGGTTCAACGGGTTGCAATTTTTTCTTGGCCTTCAATATAATTATTTTATATCGGAGTTAACATTATTTTTTCAAATAATGGAGAGTTAGTAATCTAAGATTACTAATGAAGGTTCATTTTTTTAATCTTACCCGTTTTCATGTTAGGCATGTGAGTTGAAAAATTTGTATTAACACCAGTTAAACCATTATCAATGTAACCATAGCTGAGTTGCTGTGAGTCGCCATAATTTCCATTGTTGTTATATTGGTTATCATTACACTGGTTGGTTAATATTGAATCAACTACCTGATAGTTTAATGTATTGATATTTGTAGCAGCAGAGCAATCAGCATAATTGTTGTAATTACCCGTTGAAATAGTCACAGAATTTGGAATATCAGTTCCAGTGACCTGATTGTAACCGTAATTTTGCAAAGTAGCTTCTAAATAGGTTGCCGGTTGATGAAGTTGCTGAAGATGTTGAGCTTGTTGTTGCTGTTGTTGCTGTTGAGGTGGATGGTAAATTTGTTGGTTAATGTGATGACCATGATGGTTGATTAAGCCAGTTGTACCTTGAGTTTGTTGCTGTTGCTGTTGGGTTTGTGATGGTTGTTGTAGCTGCTGAAGTTGTGATGATGTCTGTGATGGTTGTTGGTGATTCGATTGCGTTTGTGGTTGTTGAAGGTGAGTTTGTTGTTGCTGTAAGGTAGGAGTTGTTATTGCATAATTATTGTAATAATTGTAATCACAAGTAGTTGAAGATGGAGTCCGATCAAAATAATCATTGGGTAAATAATTAGTGTCTTCCATTGGAATTAATAAAACAAAACTTTCTCTTTTGGATTCGTCACTTTAGATTTAAACAATCTTATCCTGTAATTTGTAACAACTAAATCAGGCTAACAACAAAAAAACAAAGAAACCTCTGGTTATCTTTGCTTTTGGTCAGGTCTAATGGCGACCCAACTTATTTTTTTAACAAGAAAAAACATCAACAACAGGTATGGACATAAAAGCTGACTATGGCAAGCAACGGGAGTCTTACCCAAAGACTAACCCAAAACAACTTGAGACACAAACGATGGTTTTTAAAATAACAAAAACAGTTCGAGATGATTTACAAAAGTTAAAATGTTGACTTAACGTGGTTAACAAGTTCAGAACCGGATGATAAAATGAAGAAAAAAAGATTCAAGAATCAGAGCGAGAATTCAAGAGGAAAAAAATGATGATATAGAGTTTAAAAAACTTAGAGAGAGAAAGAGAGAGCTGAAAGGTAAAAGGAGGGGATTGGTTAAAAAGAAAGGAAAGAAAGACTCAGATTGAGGAGGAATAAGAGTAAGAAAGATTCAATGAGAGAGAACGAAAGACATGAAATTGGGTTATAATCAACAGGATGTCGACAATTAATGATCTTTATTGAAAAAAACTTGGTCTTACTGTTGTAACTGTTGATGATGATTTTATTAATACCGTTGTTTTAACCGAAAGATTGAAATGTTGAAGTAAATGTCTTGATAATGTTTTTCTCTATTTTTCCTTCATAACTAGTAAATATTGAAGAAATTAACAGAAAAAAGGTTGACCAGAAGAAAGAGAAGACAAGAAAGAGAAGTGCAAAAAACTTGACCAGGCCCGAATGTCCGATGGAAACCAAAGATCTCTGGTCTCTTGTCCAATGAGAAGAAAGACAGACTCTGTGATGGCGGGAACGTTATTTAAATAACCTTTACCCTCGGTCCTTCAGTATATCGTTAACAGAATTTGATTGTTTAATAAATCAGGATATTTTTAGAGCAAAAATTGACTTTCAAAACGTTTCAACTTTTATAAAAGTTACCCAGAATTGATGAATAATTCAATTATGGCTCATTTTGAAACAACAGTTGGATTAGTTTGTCCTTTACTACAGACCCTTTTGCAAAGAGTATGACTTTTACTATTTGTCCTTTTGTTCAAAATGATTGTAACATGATTAACATGTATGTGTTTATGTAACGTGATTAAAATCCAGTGACATCCATCATATTACAGGTGATAACATGCATGAGTTATTGACGAGTTATTCTTTAGATTTTGGTTAATTTGAAATGTAAAATAGTCTTCATTTTTCTCAATAATGACATTCCTCTAGCTAATTAATTTAATCAAAGATACAAATGCAAATTTAATTGCGAAAAATTGAAAAAGTAAACTAAATGATTGGGATGGAGATGATTAAAGATCCCTTCTTCTTCTTGGCCATATGAATAAAGGTTCTCTTAAACTGAGTCCAGATTTGGTTATACCATCGAGAAATGCAACAGTCTGTAGAGAGTAAGAGTATGAATTAATTTTTTGACAAATTAGATTAAGATAAAAGAGAATATAATTTTTAAAATTGAATTATCTTAAATATCAGAGTATTTAAATCGATTTGACTAAACTTCCAAACTATAAATTGATTCAAAAGTAAAGTACCTTTGGTGATTGTAATTGTTCCGGTGTGATGCCATTGAATGCGTACAAAATACCGCCTTCTAAACACCTTCTTGCTAAAATCTGGCCCAAGTTTTCGACTGCTTCCATATCTATTAAACTGAAATAAAAAGGAAAAAGGTTAAGCAATGCACTTTGACAATTGAGGAAATTAAAAATAATAAAACAACTTCGGAAGGATTCCTAATCACCTATTAAGCTGAGATGCTACTCCATCCTCATCAGTAGACGCTCTAATTATGACGCGGCCAGAATGGTGAATAAGTTTCGCTTCGTATCGATTCCTGAATTTTTCCAACACAACTCTATTGAGAGTAATATTAACAAAGTTAGTTTCAAGCACATTGTATTAGAAGTATCATTGGAAATCTATGACTTACTTATTCCAGAAGCATTTGGCTGTTTTATCCAGTTCCCAGCCTAGAGGTTTGACCTCAAAACTCAACTGTTCAAGATTACGAGGGTTACGATTCTCTAATTGAGAAGGTGGAAAGTCATTGGGACCAGATTGACCTTTGGCAACATCTTCCGGAGTCAATTCAATATCAGATTGAACTCGCGTGATTCTTTTGGTGATGTATCCAGCGAAATAACGCCTTTGTGTATTGAAAAGGATCGACATGACGCTACAATGATTAAATCAAAAATAGGAAGCCTTATTAAATCAATACAAAACAACTCAACACGAGAAAAATTTTAAGAGCATTCAAAACATCTGATGTAGAAAGAACAAAAATTGCCAATAGATGTCACGTTAGAAGCTCTTTTTTCAACCGTTTTTGATTTTATGATAAAAAAAGTTGTAATGAAAACTATTAACTTAATTAAATATTGCCTTTGATATCAAAATTTGTCTTCCAAGCTTCTTATTAAAATAACCGAAAGAGGAATTGACGTCACTAACGTTCTAAGTTCTCGTTTTTCGTCTGTGAAATGAACAAGTCCCATCACAAGTCTCAAACCTGAAAGTCTATCGTTATATCACTTGAGAAGCTTTTTGGCGAAAAGTTTCATTTCGCTTTCTTGAAAGATTTTGTTCTCGCGTTAATTTTGAAGATTTGAAGACAAAAAGTGATAACTCGGAACTAGGCCCGATGAATATGGCAGGTAAAAGATTGTTTTATTGAAAAATAATGTTCATTTGCATTCTCATTTTATTTCAACCTCATATTTCCATATTTTTTGTCTCATTTAATCACGATTTAAGCAACCAGTCACATTAATCATGTTACAATTTGAAATATATACAAATAGTTCACTGGCGATTATTATGCTTTAGATTTGGGTTTGAGTACAGCTGCAAATTTGACACAGAAAATGGATTTATTTTCATCGTCCATCAAAGAAATCTCAATGTCAACTGGGATCGATGGATATTCATTCTTGACTGGTAAACTGATTGTCATGGTTGAAACAGAGTTGGCTTCGATTGGACATTTAACTCCCCAATTGGTACAAGCGTCAGAAGCAATGGAAAAAGGTACTTTAACAGTTCTCATTAAGATGCCCCAAATTTTGACATCAGCCTTGGCAGTTTGGTTATCTAAACAGTAAAAGTAGTTAGTTTCTTCTGATCAACCTTTTGTGAATAAATTTCAACAAAAAATAAGGTTAATTTTAAATACTTACAGGTTTGAAAATCAGCTGTCATTGAGGCTGTTTCACCTTTCACCAAAACACATTTATCCTCATCATCGTTGAATGTACATCCAGGGACAGTTAAACTATTAAGTCGACCGTTGTCAGAGCCACAGTCACGAAGGATTGTTGCCAAACAGCTGGACATAAAGCAAACAATCAACACAAGTGAAAAAGTATTATACAGATGATTAGCCATGATTATATTTACTGATGAATTGTTTAGTTGTTTAGCAAATGATGTCCGATGAAGCCACAACCAGTGAATGTTAAAGTATGAAGAATGGAGTTTATTTACAAAGAGCTTTGATCTGATTGTTATAAGGAGTTGGCTGTTGAAATCAGACCAAGTCAGCTCAACAATTAAATTGCTTGGAGAAACAAAATGTGAAAATGACAAATCTAAGCGAATCAGTTCTGCTGGCCAGAAAATAAGATGCTCATTTGCTTGATTTCAACCGATAAAACTGTTTAAGTATTGATAAAATTTCCGGTTTTTTGCTTTTTTGTCTCCTCAAAGTGAAATGAGTTTTTTGTTGCTGTTGTTTTCACTAAATAGTAGCAAATAAACTTTAATTACTTTAACCTTGTTACCAAAATGAACACTTTCAAACTGAAAACAATTCAAAGATAACAATTAAATTACGTCAGAATAGACTTTTCATATTTACAATTTTTTTTCCACGAATATGGTAAATACTAGTAAAGTAGTTGATAAACCTAAATTATCTCAAAGTAAGATTAACATCTGATTGCACTGAATTCCTCTTGATGTATATTCAAGAGTCACTCGAACTAATTAATAGCGAAATTAACTTTTATTGAGTGTTTTACATCAATATAAGATCAATAGAAAGCGTAACTGATTTACAAAAGGTCTTTTATAAGAAATTTAAGGTAATATTTAAACAAATATTTACCAGCTACTAAGATGTGTTTCACATTGTACTTAGCAATTTCATTTTCTTATAATTGGGTTAGTAATCTTCAAAACCCAACCGTAAAGATCGGAGATTACAGGCTTCAAATTGATTCGGAATTTTTTGTCAACATCATTGTACCAAGTTAAATCTATTAAGGAGCCATCAGGGGAAATCATTTGAACCTGTGTGGACTTGAATTTACCATAAAGTGATCCAAGGTTGATGAGGTTACTTTTTGGCCAGTCCAGTAAAATGGCATAAACAGTCGGGATTTCAGATATTTTAGGTTCAGTGTAGCTGTAGAATGAGAAAAATTATGATCAGTTGTGAGCAAATCTATCGATATTCCAATTACACTTACTAAATATTCTCGGTTAAGGAATCGTTTTGATAAACCCAAGGTTGAGTGTTATAAATTGCTTGGCCATTAACTGCAAGCCAATTACCCATTTGTCTCAATCTTTCTTCCATGACTGGAGGCAATGTACCTTCAGCCGTTGGTCCAATATTTATCAACATGTTACCACCGTAGCTAAATTTTGAGTACGATTAATTACGAAGGAAGCAATTAAAAATGAGATCGCCATGATAATGCAAATTTTAATTACCTAACAGTTTTGACAAGAGTTGAGATAACTTCTTGGTTGGTCAAATAGTCATTGATTGTTGAAGTACGAACATAACCCCAGGAGTTTTTATCAATTGTCATTGCATTTTCCCATTTCCTTTTTTGTAACGTTCCAGGTAAATAACGATCATCACATGTTAAGAATCCTCCATGGTTACACATTATTCCATCTCCCCAGCGATCATTGATAACAACAGTGTCTTTAACCGGACTAGATTAGAAGAGTATAAAGAATAGGATTTACAATATATAAACGCATTATTATCTTTCTCATTAAAATAATAATTTGCTATCATAAGAGTTAGCGTTAATCTAAAGTCTAAATATATAAAAAGATAGTCAACTTCAAACAGAGTATTCATATCACTCAAAGAACAGGTTCACTTGTTCTCAGCTGAAAAACTGCAATGATAACACAAAATAATTACAGTGAATAGCAGTTTTGAAAATTATCTTTACCTTTCATTATAGAGCCATGCAATAAAATCTCTGGCAGTCCAGTAAGCATCTGGTGCTCCCTGATCACCGTCAGACCAGATCACTTCTGGTTTGTAAGTATTAACAATATCGTAAAGCTCTGGGACGGTTTTTCCCTGTTAAACAAGAATAGAAATAAAATTATGAAAAAGGCATCAATTAAAGTTAAATATGACTTACATGAGAGTAGAAATTTGTAGTATAATTGTTGGCTTGATCGAGTAAAAAAAGCGGGTTGAACCATTCAAATAACGAATGATACAGTCCAAATCGAAGGTCAGTCTTTCTGATTGCAGTAGCAAGTTCACCTATTGTTTATAAATAAAAAATGGAATGAAAGGGACCGATTAAAAACCAACCTTTCACATTTACAATTTCAAACAATAGTGAACATTGTCAAGCATAACTAAATTTTTTAATTATTTATTACCAACTAAATCACGTTTAGGTCCTACATCCATTGCATTCCAATTCCAGGAGGTTTTCGATGGCCATAAAGTGAACCCTTCATGATGCTTAGTCGTCAATACTACGTATTTAGCTCCAGAAGCGTTGAAAACTGAGGCCCAATAATCGGGATTATAGTGTTTAGCGGTGAATGAAGGAGCAAACTCTGGGTAAGTAAAATTGGGTTTGAAATTTTTCTCCATGTATTGAACACAATCATCTTCTTTATTGTTTTGCCAATAGTACCAGAACCATTCACTTTTAAAAGCTGGAACCGAGAAAAGACCCCAATGGATAAAGATTCCTATCTTTGAATCGTCATACCAACTGGGTAATGGTCGAGAATCAATTGAATCCCATGTTGGTTCATATTTAGTGTTGGGTACTGCTGAAGTTTGGATTCCTATGGAACATAGCAAAACAAGTAAACCAACAAATTGTGACATTATTGTGAAGTGATGAATCCCAAGCAACTAATTCATCTAACAAATATTTCCTGGTTAAATAATACAACACAAGATATTAATTCTTATTATTAATAATTCAATCATATGTATTGTTTTATTTGTTATTGTCTATTTACCAAGAAGAACTATATCTGAAAAAATCATACAATAACACTGAGTGCTATCTAAACCTGGAGCGGTCCCAATGTTTTTGTCATAAGATTGTGAATCAAAGGAATTGTTTCCAAATAATTTTGATTATTACCACCGTTAAGTTATTGTTTAGAAGATCTGTTTGATTTGATTAGATGATTTAGCTATTAGTAGCAATGATAATGCCAACATTGTTCAGGAAAAAGGCTTTATACATCAATGTTAAGATTTTTAAAGATTGTTCAAATAAGATTAACAGTGATTTGAAAAGCACAGGCAATTACAAGTTCAAAGACATGTTGCTTGTTGTTTATTAAGTGATCTTTAGATTAGCATTTAAAACGAGTGATGCTATTCAAACATTAAAAAGTTTATTGTACAGTTTATTGTATTTTCAACAGGTATAGCTAATCAACTTGTTACCTCTTTTAAATGAATTATGTTTACAACCATTGAAAATAGATTGATCTGTAAAATGCAGATTTTGAAGTACATTCATGTTTAAATTCAATTTATTATATCGTCAAAAACAAATGAATCACAGCATAATTGTAAATTGTATTTGATCATATTTGTAGTTACCCGAAGTTACAAAAAACGCGCTGATTAGTTGATGTAATGTATATCTGATTAAATATTTAACAATTGATAGTATTGAAAAGTCAGCAATAAAAATGACTGTTTGAAAATTTATTGACGCTCATTAGCTCGTTTCTAACCGTTTGTACAAATGATTAGAGATGAAGTTATCAATTCAGCTGACACTGACTTTGACTAAAGATTAAAGAGTGCTAAATAGACTCTTGAGTGTTTTTCAGAATAAGCAATTAATTAAAGAAAATGGTTTATCATTTCTATTTATTTAAAGTCGCTTGTTATAATAAAGGAAACACGTAAACATACAAAATAGGAAACAGAAATGATCATCAATACAATAGTCAAATGGTGATTAGATCAACTATATCGGAACAACATGGGATAATACAAGTACCCAACCCCAAAGATCCGAAATAATTGGATTGAGGTGGACAATGATATGCGAACCACGTTTAGACCAAACCAAAGGCGTATAACTACCATCAGCCCCGATGAAATTGATCTCTGTTTTGTTACCGTTTGCAGAAACTGCACCAAGCTCTAGATGGTTGTTTGCTGGCCAATCCAAAAATATCGCATAAGCTGATGATTCTTCCGAGTATTTAGGTTCAGTGTAGCTGTCGTTAGGAATAAAAAAAATTATGAGTCTTTGATTGATGAAAAATTGAGCGATTGGTTTCATTTTTTACTACTCACTAAACATCTTTGGTTAAGGTATCATTTTGATATACCCAGGGTTGGGTATTGTAAATTGCCTCTCCATTAGCCTTTAACCAATTACCCATTTGCCGTAACCTTTCCTCCATAATTGGGGGCAGAGTTCCTTCCGCGGTTGGTCCAACATTGATCAACAAGTTACCTCCATAGCTGTTGAAATAATGTAAATCGATTAAAGTCAATATCGATATTTAAAATTATACTAACCTGATAGTTTTAACCAGAGTAGCAATGATTTCTTTATAAGTCAAATAATCAGCGGTTGTTGATTGCTTAACGTAACCCCAAGAATGTCTATCTAAAGTCATTGCATTTTCCCATTTTCTTTGTTGCAATGATCCAGGAAGAAAACGATCTGAACATGTAAGGTAACCTCCGTGATTGCAAATGATTCCGCTTCCCCAACGATCATTGATAACAACCGTGTCTTTGACAGGACTATATAAATTAGAATAGACCATGATTAGTTTAATGAGGTAATTCGTTCAATTACTTTTTCTTACCTTTCATTATACAGCCAAGCAATCCATTCCTTTGAAGTCCAGTATTCATCGGTGGCATTCCAATCTCCATCTGACCAAATTATCTCTGGCTTATAAGTGTTCACCAAGTCATACAGTTCAGGAATAGTTTTAGTCTGCCATTTAATCAGAGATTCAGAGGTAAGTTAAAAAATTAAACTCATATTTCAATGAATATATTATTAATAGTACTTTAGGGAATAATTGGGTACTAAAATTGTTAGCTTGGTCGCTCAAAAATAAGGGATTAAACCATTCATACAGCGAGTGGTAGAGTCCAAATCTGATGTCAGTTTTACGAATCGCAGTGGCCAATTCACCTAATCAACATTGTAAAGAAAATAAATAATTTGATACTGTGACGTGTTTAACATTAATTAACCCTACTTTTACATGCTAAAGTTGTATGAATGATTAAAATGAAATATATCAAGCTTACCAACTAAATCACGTTTAGGTCCTATATCCATTGCATTCCAATTCCAGGAGGTTTTAGATGGCCACAAAGTGAACCCTTCATGATGTTTACTAGTCAATACCACGTATCTAGCTCCAGCAGCTTTGAAAACTGAGGCCCAATAATCGGGATTATAATGTTTAGCGGTGAATGAAGGAGCAAACTCGGCATAAGAAAAGTTGGGTTTGTAATATAGTGACATATAGTCAATCAGTTTTTGGTTATTAAGTCCCTTCCAGTCCCACCAGAACCATTCACTTTGCTTTGCAGGAACTGAGAAAACTCCCCAGTGAATGAATATTCCAATTTTTGAATTATCATACCATTCAGGTAAAGGTCGCGAATCAATTGATTCCCATGTTGGCTTATAGCGGCGTGAGTGAACAGATGATCGCACAGCAAAGAGACATGAAAATATCAATAGCAAACAGTATTTGCCTAACATCTTTATTAACCGGTGATTATTTTAAAGTTCAAGAGATTGATTTACAGTCACAGAAAGATGAATTAATATCACGAATTGCCCGTTTATCCAATTTTACAGCTGTTTGTTCAATTGAAACTTTAGCACCAGGTAAATGAAAATAACTGTTATGTCGATGGAAACATTTTGAGTAAACAACAAAATTTAAAAATCCTATGGCTTGAAGAGGTAGAAATTGATTTATAGTAAATGATGGTTATTATGATGATAATGAAAGGTTATTGTAATAACATTTGATAAATAACTTTACGATAATACAAAAACAAATAAGCAATCTTTGTCAATCAATCTTGTCCAAGTTTGTTACAGTATTGTTAGAAGTGTAATGTTTTGTTGTCTCATCTCATGGATAAGATTGGTTATTGGTAAGATTACCTTTTTACAATGGAAGAATAACAAAATACGTTAAACTCACGAATTGACATCAACATTATCATTTAATTGTTTAATTCTTTCAATGACTCTTTGTTTACACTGATTATTTTATAGATAAAGATTCAAGTCACATTGATCTGTGGTCTTTGATCGACAAGTAAAAAAAGAGAGTGAAAAAAATAAATTAATTAGCAAAATTAGGCATTTAAAAGTAGCTGATTGAGTCTCTGTTTCAAACTTGAATACTAACATCATTTAACCTTTCCAGAACTAAAGTTTGCTCAGCAGCTCAGCAATGTATCGTTCGGTTAACAAGTACAGTTTGAAAAACAGATTTAGTTGAGCTGAATCTTTGTTCAGAGCTATCAGCAATCAATTCTAATTCACTTTCTTACATTTATTAGTAGCTTTTTTGAGTTTGGATTCTTGGAATTAAATTTTTACCAATAACTGGTTTTGTCTTTAATATTATTTTTTCCTGTTTTATTATTAAAACTGGATGATTTTTCATTTCAAATGAGATTTTATTGTAATTCAATTGTGATACAATTGTTGAATTTCACATATGAATCCTTCATAGGAAAAATGTCGGACATTGATAAGTTTAAGAATAAAGTTTTATTTCGAGATTAATTTAGTTTGAAGTTATTTGATAAGAGTAAATTTACTTGTATTGAGTAGAGTAATAAGAATCGATAAATTGATTGGCAAAGTAAGAAATGAGTGATCTATCAGGAATACTCTGCGACATACCATAGAGAGCAGCTTGGCCATCTAATTTAGTATGTTTGCTACGATTGGCATAAAGATTTGATGCAATCTCACGAATGTCTTGTAATAGGTTATCGATAACTCCTTTCTTAGTGTGCATCAAAGTGAAACAAATGTGAAAGGCTGATGGAAATTGTAAAACATTGACGTTCCAACCTTTCTGAGTAAGATTATCACTTAATAAAAATATATTGAAATCATCTGAAGTCAAAGCTACCACAGATAATTTTGGCGAGCCACAAATCTTAAGGCCTTGAATTTTGGCAGCTTCTTTGACAAAATAACGAGTAACTTCTAAAATAGCCTTAGTTTTGGAAACATAGCCTTCATGACCATGGTACATCAAAGCAGCCCAACAGTCAGCAATAACTCCACCAGGTCGTGATCCAAGAATTGTCGGTGATGCATAAAGACCACCAGGCCAATTTGGAGTGACAAAATATTGATAACGACGAAGTTCATTGTTGGCGTACATTACTACAGAGGTACCCTTTGGTGCGTATCCATATTTGTGTGTATCAGCGGTAATACTTGTTACTCCAGGAACACTGAAGTCAAAACGTTCATCCACTTTATATCCAGCATCATTAACGAAAGGATTCAAAAAACCTCCAAGGCAAGCATCTACGTGCACAGGAATGTTGTATTGTTTACCTAGTTTAGCAATTTCTTCAATTGGATCGTAAATTCCGTGAGGAAAAGCGGGCGCTGAACCTACCAACAAACATGTATTTCCATTTATGGCAGCTTTCATTTTTTTAACGTAAACTTTTTTGGTAATTGGATCCACAGGAACATGATTAATCTGGACTTTTAGGAGCTCTGCTGCTTTATCAAAAGCAGGATGAGCTGTAATTGGCACAATGATTTCAGGATTACGGATACCCATAACGTATTTAGCATAATTACGATAAGCTTTTACAGCTAAAACAATACTTTCGGTTCCACCGGTCGATACAACTCCACAAGCTTCAGGTCCTCCTTTGTAAAGATTGCACGTCATTCGAACCACTTCAGCTTCCATTTTCCGGATTCCAGGGAAAACATCAGCGTGTAATGGATTAGTGTAAGCTGTTTTCCTGTATACGTTACTCATCAAATCCAGAAATTCAGTATCTTGTTGATCACTATAAATACCACCAGATACTCTTCCTTCCTGCCATTTGATGGAACCAATTGACATATAGTTATCCACTTGCTTCATAACTTGGTCGGCATTGGATCCGCGAGCAGGTAAAGTAGTCTGGAAAGTCCTATTTTTATAAATTCCCATCAACTCATCGTCGATGACGCCGAGAACTTTATTAATCTCTTTATTTGCAAAATATCCAAGACCAGGTATTTTCAGGATAATTCTTGTAAATTTTCGCTTACAAAGTGACCAATAATCTTCATTGACATCAGCCTTAAAGGCTGCCCATAATTTAATAATCAAGAACCAAAATAAAGATGTAATTGCGAATAATACGAATGGCTCATATTCCCCAGCAACTGCGTTGAATTTCGATCTTTGTGCTTGAAGAAAGTCCATCATTATAATATAATATGGATGGATGAATTCCTGAAAAAGATTCAATGGTGAAAATTTGTTTATGCATTTCAAAACATAAAAATTGACAGAGTAAAGTCCAATTGACAGTTAATAAAGCCAGCACATTTCAAATGTTTAGGAAGTTTTTTAAGCTAATTTTAACCTTCCTGGCACAAATGAACTCATCAGTTAATTGAGTTAACTTGGTTGAGAACAAAGACTGGCAATTTAAAATGTACAAACTTCATTGGTTATCAATATGACTTTAAAGTAGGTGTGTTTCATAGGAATTAACATAGCATAACTTACCAAAGCAATTTGACCGTATAATGTTAATTGTTCCATTTTTAAAACGAAGTTGTCCTCAAGACTAAAACCACATCAACTCATAGAAGTCAGAACGCAAAAAGCTACATCAAGCATAGGTTTACAGATGATTTTATTAAATGGAAGTACAAGATTTTGATTTGATAAAAACTGGAAAAATGGCTAATCAATCGAAGAAGTTTAGATAAGGTAAATAGGAACTTTGATCTTACATTCACTAGGATAGAAAGGCGGATTATTTAAAACGAGAATAAATTAACCATGACTGAGCTGAAATGAACAATTTTAATCATCACAGTTGACCAGATTTAAATTGATAAAAATAAAAGATTATCATTATAAAAATGATTTACAAATGATAGGATGAAATTGAGAGTGAGGCAGTGAGAGAAAAGGGAGACAAATAATTCATAAATAATGTATACAAATGAATAGCGCGAAACCTAAAATTTTCAGAGATTAATTTATAATGAATACTTGATGACAAACATTATATTAAATTATTAATATGCAAATTTCACTGAATACTTTACGAAATTAAATAAGATGAAAGACTAGAACATGTATTAAATAATAATCAATGTTACCGGCTTTCTTTAGATTGTCTACAAAACGTTATAGTAAATATAGATGGTCCCCGATTAATAAAAATAAGGTTGCAATTATTTTTTTAGCAATTTTCAGTCTTGATTGTTGTTTAACGATTAGAAAGACAAAATACCTTGTAATTGAAGAAATCACAATCAAAATGTAGTTTATTTAAATCCACTTGTTGGTTCCAAGGCAGAGCCATGAAGCCGGCTAAGCATCTCTCAACACAGCTTGTGGGTTTGAAGTCACATTGCAAATAGCTTGAAACAAGACACTATAATTATATTTTGATTGTTTAATTTATACACAAATGATTCTGATCATGGTTTACTCAAGATTAATAATAATTGTAATGAATTAAAATCAACAAATTGTGTTTACTATTTAGTCGTGAAATGGATTAATAGTCCCTGACTTTCCGCCATTTTGGGGCTCCCATCGATTTTCTTACTCATTTCTCATTCTCTCCTTTCTGTCTATACTCTCTCCAGCTCTTCCCCCTTACTCTCCATTTCTCTCTCTTTTGCTTGTGTTTTTTTCTAAACATCTAAATTGTTTAATAAATATACATGATTGCAACAACTAATCATCTTCTTCAATTGCCAGTCAATTAAATCTTTAATCACATTGCGGTCAACAATACAATTAATTTATCTGGTCGCCAATTTTATGTCAACATGGAGCTTGTACAAGCTTTCAATGCAGAGGTAAACATTTGTGTGTGATGTTATTCTGCTCTATCTACCAATTCTCGGGTGTTGAAATTTAATTTTTCTTCTCCTAATTACAACTTACGATGATTATCATTTACCGATGGACTCTGCATCATTTACCAACATCGTTTGTGATTAGGAGAGCGTTTTTTCTTGCTTATTTTGATATTTCGATTGTCAAAGTGATAGTACATGTTCTCCCCGTTTCTTAATATTATCCGCTTGCTATACTATTTTGTACAAGTCAATCTGATACGTTTAAAATAGTTAATTCTTGTTCAATAATGATTCTAATTCTGATGTTTTTATTCTCTTTATCCCTTCTCTATTCCTCAATTTACCTGGATAGCTTTCATCGCTCTACGAGGTTAAACCTCCCATCTCTAAAGCAAAGATGAGCCAAATAACAAAAGTTGCCATTAAAGGAATAAAAATGTATAAACACATTGTCCAGAGTGTCGAAAGATTCATCGCTAAGGTATATCAAGCCATTCAAAGTTAACATCAAATTCTCCATCAATATCAAAACAGGATTAACACAAATTTCTTTTCTCTTCCATGTTATGACTTTCGTGTTTCCACAAATGGTTATTGGATATGTTGGCCTTATCTATCGGAAATAATTGAATTTTACTCATTCCACATCTTAAACTTAACATTTCAATCAACAGTGTCGACCAGAATACAAGATACCTGGTTTATATGTGGTCGATTCGATTGTCAGGCAATCTAGACATCAATTTGGAGCCGAAAAGGATGTTTTCGGTCCTAGGTTTATCAGAAATTTTAACCAAACATTTCAGAACCTTTTTTTAACTTGTCCACAGGAAGATAAGGTTATTATCCTTTTAGGTTGTCCCTATTTTGATAAGATGTAGCAGTTTTAAACGATAGACTGAAAGAAATTTGGACTGAATTGAGCTGAATTCTTGATATTCATCATTTTTGATTTTTATTCAATTTCATTGTAATGATGTTTTGAACATAAATCAACCTCTCAATGTTTCAAAGATAGTTTATGCATGTGAACTGAAAAATAGAAACTTTTAAAAATGCTAGTCTTATTATTTATTAACATTTAATATTTTCAAAAAACTCATACCTATTTATTTGTTTTTTTATTCAGCCTAAGATTGTGCGGGTATTAAATTTGTGGCAGCGCAACAACGTTTTTTCTAGTGAGATTATTCAACCTTTACTGGACATGGCAAATCCAAACGCTAACTTAGGAACAATAAAATATGAAGGTTCTCCTTCAGAAAGTGTGAACAACGACTTACCCAGTGGTAGTAATAAAACCGACTCTGAGACAAATTTGGTATTAAGTTTACATAAATTGGCAACGACGTTAGGACTTGTAAAAAGTTCAAATAATGGGACCAGTATAGGTGGCTCGTCTGCTGGTGTTGCTGATCCGGGTGGTGCACAACAAAATACTGTTCGATTCGATAAAAAATTGTTAGATTTTGATTATAGTGAAGATGAAGACGAGGATGAAAGTGAAACGCCAACTGAAGCTGAGCCCCCAACAAGTGTTGCTTCAAATAATGAGAATGCCAATGCTAATCCTCTTGCGCTGAGTATGGCTCAAAATTTATTATCTAATCCAGAACTTCTACAGCGTCTACAACAAATGCAACAAACTATCCAACAACATCAAGACTCTAATTCCCAAATAAATAGTGGAAATGTTCGAGATACCTCTGATTCATCATTCATATCATTTTTTCAACCTATCATCGATGCTAAACCAGCTTCTAGCTCACATGAAATGAACTCCAGTCATATTGATAACAATGCACCTAGAGACTCTATGCAACCCGAGAAAGCTCCAACGGACGCCTTTAACTATCAACAAAATGTTTTAAGTAGTCGTTTAAATGCCCGATTAGATCCCATTATTTCGTCAAGTGGACCAATGGTTCACAGTGAGGATCAATCGGGTTACCAGTCCAGAATAAGTCGCAATTATTCTAATGACAATAAACGTGAATATGAATATACTGGCACAGAAAGAGATAGTGACATGAGAACCAGGTCTCGATCTCGATCTCCCCGTCGCAATTCAAGGTTCCAAAGATCAAGCTATCGGGATAAAGATGAAAGAGTAAAGCGGAGTCGATCTCGTTCTCCTTGGAGATCATCTAATGATAGGAGAAACTATGAATCTCGATCACCTCGTGGTAGCCGAAGAGGTGAACGTATGAGTTTATCACCTGAAAGTAAAGAAAGAGAAAAAGAACGGGAAAAAGAACGAGAGAGAAGACGTCGTGGTTTACCACAGATGAGAAAAGGTTATCTCACCATTTGTAGTACAACATTATGGCTAGGTCATGTTCCCAAACTAGTTTCAGAGGCTGATATCTCAAATACTTTCGGTGAATTTGGTACAATTAATAGTATCGATGTAAGTTCAACTTTTTAACGCTTTTAATTCCTTTTCATCAACTTGTTATTTTTTATTTTGTAGCTCATCCCGCCCAGAGGTTGCGCATATGTGTGTATGAATCGTAGACAGGATGCTTACAGAGCGTTGAATCAATTGAAAAATCTTAAACTTCACGGCAGTACAATTAAGGTAATAAATGTCTTCATATTTTACATTTTTCATCTAATAACTTATTTTAAATGTTAATCTTAGATGGCCTGGGCTCCAGGTAAAGGTATGAAAGGCAAGGAATATAAAGATTATTGGGATGTCGAATTAGGAGCCAGCTACATTCCTTATGATAAGCTAGATGATAATGTCGATATTGACCTTCTCGAAGATGGAGGCATGATTGACGAAGATACTGTACCTGAAAAGCTAAAAGGTGAGTTAAATTTATCTTACAACTTTTTTTTTGTTACATTATCCTAAATTTTCAATTTTTCTTGCAGAAATTCGAACTAGAAAAGCCAAAGAAAAAGAAGAAATGCTTATACAAGCGGCAATGCTCACTCAACCTCCGCTGATACCAGTGCCACCCATTGTAGCAGTACCTGCAGTGCCAGCAGTGCCAGCAGTGGCTCCTCCAGTTCCACCTGTTCCGGCTGCGCCTTCTCCATTCGGTATGCCTCTTCCTTCTGGTTAGAAAAGTTTTTCTGGCGTATTCTCAACCAGGATTTCGTTCTATTCTAATTGTATTTTATGTTGTTTTGTAGGTTTGGTTCCGCCTGTTGTAGCTCCAGTGCCACCAGTGCCAACTTGCATAGCACAGCCTGTTTTGCCAGTTGGAATACCACCACCACCTCCGCCAGTCGTTTTAACTCCAGGCTCGAATAGTGTTCCATTACTACCACCAGTTTCTTCCATTGTAACAACCGCGAATCCGTTGTTAACAACAACTACCACAGGCGCTTTAAGTAAGTCATAAAATTACATTTCTTGTTGGAATCAATTTTTTAAATTTTTAATTTGATTTTACTTTCTACAGCAGACCCTATATCTACAACATCTAATGATCAAACAGCAGGCACTGAAGTCTCACCAGCAATTTTACCTAATCAGTTGGGACCTTTACCGTCTCAAAATCCATCTATTAGTCAATTTACGGGGGCAAGCACTCCGATTTTAACTACTTCGATAGCAAAAACAGTTTCTAGTACAAGTTCGATTGATTCGACCGGAATGATGCTTCATTCAGCTCCACCAGTTTTTCCACCTCTTAACGTTCCTCCACCATCAGTGCTATCTGTTCAAAGACCTCCTCCAATGCCCTGGTTATCTGGTCCACCGCCTCCTATCTTAGGTAATCCCGGATTAAATAGACTATCAATACCACCACCACTCCACCCTCCACCACCACGACCTCCTCTCGACAAAGGATACATCAACTCACATCGACATAGCAATCACATCAATCGGAAACAAAACTTCAAAAACTTTACCCATACTCCAAACCACAATCACCAAAATCACCAAAATCACAACCAAAACACAAAAAAATCAACTAAAAATCAGCATGTGAATTAAATTATTCGTTATTTAAAAGCTAAATCAATTGAAATAAGGAATAAAAAGTTCTGTACATAATTATTATATAAGAAATATCACTCGTGAAATTATCTCATTAATTTTTAATTCAAAAAAAAAACATTCTTACAAATTTTTAACAGTCACAATTCACTTTTGACGAATTTGCATTTTGAATTTTAGGAATTCAAATTTGATATTATTTAAGCACAATTAAAATACAAGCAATCAATCAAAAAATTAACCAATATACAGCTTTTCAAGAAATAATATATGTTCATTCATTAACGAGAAAAAATTATTGCTCTTTTGTAAACATTGGACTTAATCGAGCTTTTAAATCATAATTTACCTCTTCATTCAACAATTATTGAAGTGGGTCAATACAGTTTTCAACTTCATCGAGAGTTTATCAAAGTCAAAGAAAGGTTGTAAATAAAGTTTGCTTATTACAATTGCAAGATATGGTTTCGGTGTTCAATCAACTATTCATTGACTAAACCATAATTATAATTGCTCAAGATCTATAAATCATTTATTGCACTTGATTAATAAAAAAAAACAATCAGTAAAACTGAAACCTTTACAGTTTTACAATCGCCTTTCAAAACAAATACAATGTTTTGTTGACCGCTTCAGGATAATCATTGATTTTTATAATAATCTGTAAGTTAATGCATTTAATTGTCATAAGATGTAAGATACAAGACTCTGACAAAAGTTCACCATGAATATTGACAGTTGAATTGATTATTTTTATGAATGTGATAACAATAAATCATCATTTATACCAGTCAATTATTAGTTAACAAAAGTTGATTAATATCACTGAAAGAATCAATAAAATAAGCCTTACCAATTTCTGTAGATGGCCTCACCATATAGTTGAGAGACTTTACTCGACTTGTTACTCATTTTATTTCTCTCTGTATTTCTTTCTATGTCTGCCTCCTTTACTCCCTTTTTGTCTCATTAATCTTCATCCTATTCTCTTCCTTTTCTCACAAAGTTGTTCTCATCAATTCCAGGTAAACCATATGTTTTAATTATTGTGCTCATTTGAAATAATTTGTTCACTCATCTCTTCCTGTAACCTTTCCAACTAAACTGTTTCCTTTGTTATTTCCAGATTCTCATCATAAGCTATTCCGATTAGATTCTTTAATTGTCTAATTAGCTTTGAGAATTAAAGGTTCCTTAGTGATAGTTATGTGTCTATTGAACAAGCTGATTGAGAGCTTCAATTAATTAATTCAAAATTGTTCGGAAACCTAATAATATCCTGAAAATTTACATAAATATGGCAACATCGAAGCTGTTAGATAATCTTTCATCAAAAATCAGGTTTGTTATTTTGGGTTTTATGCTTGATAGTTACCTATCCACACTATTCTTGTAATTATTGTTATCTTGAACCAATGAAGATCGCCCCTTAATTCATTCGATAAATGCTTTCTTGTCTTATAACTCGATAGTCCTTGAGTCTAAAAAATATACATTTGTTGTTTCTTTAGTCAGGCGATCGTTTGACTAAACCTTCTGATATTTGTCTATCGTATTGTATTAGCTGATGATTCATTGTTTCAAATCAGCTTTTTATTGCCTTTCTCCCAATAATTACACTTCTACCTTCCTTTCTTATAAACACTTCCAACTTATTAATTCCTGTTACCTTACAGCTTGTGTCTTCATAATTTCAATCTTGCCATTCTTTTTTTGCAACAGGTATCATTAACAAGTGTATCTTACTGGTGATATTTCCTTGGTCTAACTGGATTATGAAGATACCTATGAACATAAACAATCAATAACAAGTGAAGACACGAAAATAAGATTAGACCCAAAAATAACTACAATTTGTTGATATACTGCTCGACGTTAGAATCAGCCGTCTTTCAAGCCTTTCTTAATATATTTAACCATGATTGGAAAAGGCCAACTTCCTAATCATAGCCCGACAACTCCTGATTATGATTATTTAATCAAATTTTTGTCTCTCGGTGACTCCGGAGTTGGCAAAACAAGTTTCCTTTATCAATATACTGATGGTTCTTTTGACGGAAAATTTATTTCCACCGTTGGAATCGATTTTAGAGAAAAAAGAATTGTAAGTATTCGTGTGAGTCGGGCTGATGAAAAATTTACAGTTACCTCATAGACGAAAAATCGCTGAAGATTGAATTACTTTCTCAAGACATTCTTTGTCTTTAGACCGTATTTCTCATTTTTAGAAATCTGACTTTCATAACTGTTAATTTTACCCATCATATAGTAAATACTTTAAATTAATCATCTCAGATAATCTTGAATTAGTTTTAACACAATTCATAAATACTTTGATATCTTTAGGTTTATAAACCACAAAATTTAGAGGGAACTTCAAGGAGAAGTCAAAGAATTCATCTTCAACTATGGGATACTGCAGGACAAGAAAGGTATTTGACTTAACTGCATTATTGAATATTGTAACATTATTTTAATAGCTATTCTGTATCATTTTAGATTTCGTAGTTTAACAACTGCTTTTTTTCGTGATGCGATGGGCTTCATTCTAATTTTTGATATAACAAGTGAACAATCTTTTCTCAATATTCGTGGATGGTTGGACCAACTAAAAACACATGCTTACTGTAACGATCCAGATGTAATTTTGTGTGGAAACAAAGTAGACCTATTCGAGAAGAGAGTCGTTTCTGAAGAGAGGGCCAAACAAGAAGCTCAAAAGTATGGGTACGTAATTCCGATAACACCAATACACTTGAAAATAGAGCTTTTTGATCTGGTCAGCTATCATTAACTCATTTATATTATTGTTAACTCTTCATCCATCATTTAATGATCTCAATACAATTTTTAAATCAATTATTGAAATATTGAACTTCAAGTTTTGATAACAATAATTGAGAGCTGATCAATTGCTTCTTTGTATTTATCAATTTCCATTAATATATTTCATTTTGTTTTATTTTTCCCAAAGTCTTCCATATTTTGAAACAAGTGCAGCAACAGGTCAAAATGTGACCAAAGCAATCGAAACATTATTAGATCTTGTCATGGTTCGCATGCAAAAAGTTGTTGAAAGTAGTCTATTCTCACCAAGTCGAGGTTTAACCGGAGGTTATGGGTCAACCCTTAAATTGGAGGAAAATAATGAGCACAAATCAAAATCATCTTGTACTTCTTGTTGATTACACTGTCTTTGTGCCTTAACCAACCACCAAATCAATCATCCAATCGTCGGATATCATACGAGCTACTGCGAATCAAAGAAGTTAAAAAATACAAAAAAAAAGATTTTCCAAAAAATGAAATTCCTGACTGGCCAAATCATCAACTAATTTCAAAGCTAAATACTATCATAAACAAAAGCAACTTGTATCAGATCAACTATTTACATGTTATCAACCCTGTTATCATCGTCATCAACTGAACAATATCACATTAATCTCACAACAATTGGTCAAACTTTTTCGCTTGAATATTTTGCGTCGATTCTAGTTAATTGTTTTGTTAATTTTCTTTCGATTTTTTTACTCACTCGAGAAAAATGTACCAAAGAAGACGAAAAGTTTGCCCATCATTTTAACCAGTGCTCTTACCATCTTATATCAACAATTTTTGATGCTAATTTCAAGCAGAATCAATCACTTCAACTGTCAACTGTCACTTCTATATCAGATTTGTTTTAAGCAATTTATCTGACTTTTTCTTGTTCAACCTCAGTGTGAATCAAATTAACAATATCAAACTCGATAATAAATACAAACAATATGCTTATAAATATAGATAATATAATATTCTGTATAGAGTAACGGATTGAATCAATTTTAAATGCTAATTGAATAAAATTAAACCATGGAATACAAATTTTCCAAATAAATTAACTTGAACTAGTCCAAAAACGAAAGCTAATTTAATGTCAAATGTTGTAAAAATTGATTAAAAGACAATTTAGGATCAATCGAGAAGATTTAAATAGCTATTCATTAATAAATCAAAAATAATCATTGAAATGGTTTTGATTTTGAAACAGATTTGAAGACGAATGAAGCTTTTCAAGGATCAATTTATGATTATAACAAAGTAAATATTTTTCACTTCAATTGTTGAACTTTCCTTACAATCAATCAAACCGAAATTAAATTGTCGTTATTTACAAGTCTACTTAAATTGCAACCTGTTGATTGCAGGGTTCTGTATTGGGATGTGATTAGATTGAGACTATTGAGATTGCCTGAAAATCTTATTAACATTGATTTATTGATGAATAAATTGTTAGATTATTAATGAATTTAATTTAAAGATTAAGAATGATTAAGAGAAGTAATTGAATATACTTGAATTTGTTCATTTTTATATCAAATAGTGAAACAATTTATGAGTAAATGTAAATCTAAAGAATTGGGTAAACTATTGAAAAGAGTGAATATTTAATAGATTACATACAATACAATGTATTAATAAATGTGATAAATTAAATTTAAATGAAGGAAATGCTAATAATAAACTGTTAATAATGTACAATATTATACTTTACTTTAATGTACAGGTGAATATCAATAGCGTTTTTGGTTGTGAGTTAATAAAATTTGTTAAAAAATGAAATTAAGTGTTATTAGTTGTGCCAAGTTAGTAAGGTTAACTTGAAAGCAATCAATCAACAATCGATGTTGTTTCAGGTTCACTTGCGATCAAAAATGGTGAACGTTAAAGTTTATAATGATGACTCTAAAGACGCAACAAGCGACTTGAACAGAGTGTTGATTTGGAAATCATCTTCCGGAATATTTTGTACCATTATTTTTAATGACGATGATGGTCCCGACGAGGTAAATTTAGAGAAGAAAAGAAATGAAGGTGGAAAGAAGAGAAGGGAAGGTGAATGAGGGAACGTGGCGATCAGGATAAATGTAAGCCTGAAAAAAATTATTAAATTGAGGAAGAAAGAACTGGTGATTGTAAAAGAAAAGGAAAGATTGGTAGCGTTGTGGGAGAGAGAGAGAGAGCGAAGTGAGGTTGTTTGAAGCAAAAGTGGAAGCTGAAAATTGTTGCTCATTTTTTGCTAATTTTTATCTTAACACTGACCGAATTTTACTGTAAATCCTAATTCTTTTAAATCTTATTTGAGTTGAATCATTAAAATAGATTAGTGGTGTTGTAATAACTTGCCTGTATTGCTTGCTTTTTTGCATGTTTACTTTCAACTTGATGGAGTTTGATTCTACCTTTACTTTAAATCATCTGGAAACCCCATAACCTTTCGTGTGTTCAATATCAGTGAAATTAGTAAATTAATTTAATTAATTAATCTTGTGTACCCTTGATTGTTAAAAATGTTGTCTCCAACTGATTTGGATGTTGATTCTCTTCTGGATTGTATCCCTGACTGGCCAAAAGGACCGTTAGATAATGCCAGGTCAAAGGCCTCATTTGATTGGAAAGTGATGAAGCTGGTTCTTGACGGTGACACTGTTGTACGTTTTAAACACAAAGTTTGGTCCACTCTGGCTAGTGATCCTATTTTTAAACGAACTCCATGGGAAGAATACGATAGAAATGAAGAGAGAAGATTGACATTTGCGCGATTGAAAAAATTAGTTGATTACAAATTGGCTTCAGAGGAGGAATACCTTAATGAACCTCATAAGATTCCTGCTTTTGTGCAAGCAGTGGGTCAATTTTCGTGGTCGTTGATTGTAAAACGGGTTTTAAGCTACGAATATTTCATTGTTTCATGTAAAATGGACAATGGTGATCGAGATAATAGCCTAGTCAATGACATTATGAACTTCAATGCCCTCGGGGCCATCAGTATAACTGAATTGGCTCACGGAAGTAACACTAAGGAGCTTCAAACAACAGCAACTTACGATCCAACTAAACAGTGTTTTGTTTTGAATACTCCTCGCTTGGAAGCAACCAAGGTTTGGTCCGGTGTATTGGGTCAATCAGCCACTCATGTGGTTGTCTTTGCACAGCTTTATACTCCTGATGGTTCCTGTCATGGTCTTCATTCCTTCATGGTTCCAATTCGTGATCCAAAAACATTTCAACCCTATCCTGGATTAATAATTGGTGACATGGGAGGAAAAGTCGGCCTTAATGGATTAGACAATGGTTTTATGACTTTTAAAAATTATTGCATTCCAAAAGCATCTTTAATGAATCGTAATTCGGATGTTACCTCAGATGGCAAATACACCTCAAAAGTTAAAGATGAATCAAAACGGTTTGGCATTACTCTTGGTGTACTATCTTCAGGGCGAATATTCATCATCCTTTTCAGTATAAGCAACATTCAATCGGCTCTATCAATAGCAGTTCGTTATTCAGCAGTCCGTCGTCAATTCGGTCCAACCAATGGAGAAGAGATTCCCGTTTTAGAATATCAAAGTCAACAATGGCGTTTAATACCTTACATTGCTGCTTCTTATGTTTTTCACAACTTCTTTGGATCTCTCTTCCTAGATTATGTTGATTTCTTTGTGACCGCTTTCAATGCTAATGGTGATACTCAAATGGACATGGGAGCTGAGATTCATTCATTGTCATCCTGTGGTAAGGCTGTGGCAACCTGGATGGCTAGAGATGCTATTCAAGAGTGTAGAGAATGCTGTGGTGGTCATGGTTATCTGAAAGCAGCTGGGTTTGGTGAACTTCGTAATGATCATGATGCTAATACAACCTATGAAGGAGATAACAATGTTTTACTCCAACAAACCAGTAATTATTTGATTAAATTTTACAAAGAAAAGGTAGAAGAGGGCAAACCCATATCATCATATTTCGGTTCGGTAAACTATCTTGACTCCATCGAAACCATTTTGTCAACACGTTGCCCGGGAAATCTTGATGATATACCTAAGGTGCTGGAAGCTTATCGATTTCTTGTATGTTACTTGTTAAAGTCCAGTTATCTCAAGCTACAGGAACAAACGGTTAAAATGGGCGACTCTTTTGACGCTAAAAATGCAACCCAAGTTTACTACTTACGGAGTTTAGCAATAGTCTTCTTTGAAGCTGAAGCACTTGATCGATTTCAACGATTTTTAACTGAATTTTCAGTACCTGATGAGATATCAATAGTTTTAAAACAGCTTGGCCTTCTCTATGGACTGTGGTCATTAGAGAAACATTTAGCGGTCCTTTATGAATCGGGTTATTTTACATCTTTACCATTAAAACCAACTCAATCAACTTTATCTTCATCCAAGCCAATATTAACTGGTCCATCAACAAATATTAAGGAAATGATTCTTCAATTATGTAATCAGTTGAAAGATAATGCTGTTGCTCTTGTTGATTCCTATGCACCACCAGATCACATACTTAACTCATCATTAGGTGCTTCTGATGGACAAATTTACCAAAACATTTTCGCTGCATTGGAAAACAATAAAGGAGCTTTTGGTAAACCGGAATGGCTCGAGCAAATAGCAAACTCACCATCAACTTTATCCGGTCTCAAATCAAAGTTATAACCAAATAATTTGATGAAACTTTGAATCTGTAAATTGCAATTTGTTCATTGTTAAATATTTCTCATTGGTTTCCATTTCATCCTATTTCAATTTTAAATCATTAAATTGAAGATAAATTTAATTTTATACCCAAAGATATACGTAAATCATGAGATTAATCATTCAATAAAATTAAAGATGTATATTTTGAGGTTTTAAATAACGTTTTTTTATTGATGTTTAAGAAGATGCAATACCAAAAATAAAAAAATTAACCAAAATTAATGGGCTGGGCAAGGTAAACCAGCATGAATGTTACATTTTATTAATTAGATTCCTTAGTTGATATTTTGGTCGTATTTAATTTGTCTAAATTTATCCTTTAGAAGCTCGAATGTTTCCAATTGAAATAGGATTGTTTTAAGCTAAAATTATGAAAATATCTACAAACGAATGAGTAAATTTTGCTGCTCAGCTACAACAAATCAAGCAAAAGACTTTGTTATACAGCAACTTATGATCGAGATTTTGTTCAAAGAGACACTTAAAGAGCAGTTTTGTAGTTAACCAATTCAGATTTTTTGGTTTATTAAATATTTTCTACTTCTTTTTAGCAGCATTTGGATGATATTTAACAGATTCACCTCCATTCTTTGACCATTCCTTTTCAAACTCTTCAGCAAGAATTTCAGCTCCCCGTTTACTCGTTAATCTAGTCTCATCCAGACTTAGTTCGCACATTTGCATATCATCTTTGCCTGTGAGAGAGAAAATTTCCAATTAATTTACATTTTTTGTATTAGTAAATTATAATAGTTAGGAATCATCAAAGACTAAACTTACCGGCAACTAATAGGATAGGCTTTTTTTCTGGATGAATTTCCATTTGTCGAGCAATCCATTGTCCATCAAAATGGGCCCACCACCAACCTCTTTGTCCAGTGGCTGATGAAGGTCGAACAAAAGGTATCCTAAAGTATCTCTGTTCGTTGCAAGATGCTCGATTCAAAAGTCCGTCAGTTAAACCGTCAATTGGTCCTGGGTTGTGCATTATTGAATCTGGAGCTCGTTCTTCTTCGCTTGTCTCTCTATTGCGTGAATTTTTCAGCTTCCATGCGTGATAAACTTTCAAACGTCGATGAAACTCTTCTTTGCATGCTTCAAGAAGCTCAATATCACAAGATGTGTTGATGATATCTCTTAAGTCCGAGTACTTCCATTTTGATAAGTCATATTTTTTATCCGTTGCAGATTTTTTGATTCCATGTGGAGGAGAAGCTGGAAGAGGACTTGAGCGAGTTAAATCATCAGAGACTCCATTTGATGATTCCTGAGCCAACCTTAAAGCTAATGCATGATCAAGTCGTTCTTGTTCCACCCTTTTTCGTTGTTCCTCTAGTTCAAGATCAAGTTCGTGCTGAAGTTTCTTTGCTAACTCATAATCTTCAACTTCTTTCGATTTAACTGATGCTTCCAGTTTGAATCGTTCATCTAATTCAGCTCGTTTTCGTTTAAGCTCCTCTTCCTCTGCCTTTCGACGATCTTCTTCTTCTTTCTTGCGTCTTTCGGCATCCATTTCTTCTTGTACTTTTCTCAATTTTTCTTCTTCTACTATTTTGCTTTTTAATGATTCTATTTGCTCCTTCAGCGCTCCACTTATCCTATTAACTCGAGATTCAAGATCTTTTGTATCAAGGTTCGCTGATGTGCGACAAATCTGGATTGTATCATTGATTTCTTTCTCTATTTCAATCATTCGTTTATTAAATTTATCCTTCTCGTCAGATGATTTTAATTTTTGGGTCAATTGAGACATATCCTTCAATAAATCCCCACTTTTCTTTACTCTCATGATAGCGATATACCTGAATATAAAAGTAAAGTAAAATTTACCAATTTAATAAACGTCAATCAAGTCGATTGTTGCAAACTACTTACCTAGGTCTATACTTTCTTCGAGCATTTATCATTCTTATATTCTTTTGTATGGTGACAATCATCTGTCTTCGGTAAAGAATTTTGTGCTTGACTGTAAAAAATAACATAGGAATATAGCGATTAGAGAAAAGCGAGAACTAAAAAACCTGAAAATTGATTTCGTCTCAATGACTAGTATTATAATAATATTTTAGTGGGACTTGATTTTAATGCTTGAATTAACACCAACTTACGTTTAATGACAGAAAGCGCGCACCACTGGAGCATCTTCCACCTTGAAATTGTTAGCCATTTTTCAACTTTACTAACCAATTCTGATAAGTGTTTAGGATCGCTTTTCATTAGTTGATCAAACTCAGCAAATTTACCAGATCTGAAGAAAACTTTAGACGAACCAAATCGATAATCATTCTCATTAAGTCCAAATGCTTTAAACAGAGTCCTACAAAACATTCTTGGTTCTAATCGTGATAATTTAGGAGGTAAATGATGTTTATACAAATTATACAGGTCAACAAACGATGTTCTTGATGGATAGCCTTGCTGCATCAATTCAAGAACTGAAGTCATTCCGGAACAGCGAAGCTGTGATAAAATGTGTGAACCTTCAAATTTATGAGGAATCATGTGAACATTGGGCTTAACACAACGAATAAAATGTGTTCCTGTAGATCCCAATTTGGTCATTAGATCGTTCAATTGGTTTCGGAATTTACCACCAACCGAAACGAAACTAAGCTTACCACTTGATGGTTTAGTGTGACCGTTGGTTGAAGGGTCTGGCGGGAACAATTCACGAATCAAGTCATTTTTAGCTTCTGACATTAAACTTGCCAATGAATTGTGCAAAGCATCGGCATTTTTCTCAATGAATAATCCAGTTTGATAGCAAACAGCTCCAGCAAAATGTCTGATGAGAAAACCTTCATCATCTCGTAGTTCACGATCATCTTTCAACTTTGATTTCCTGGGAACAGCAAGTCTAAAATGATCTTTATTGTGAGCAAATACAGATTCGGTAAAATGAGTGGCACTTGGCTTCGGTAGTTTTGACTCTTCATCTAGAAGATCAAAAATTCCAGTAGCTCGTCCCTCCAATAGATTGATACAATCACTATTATCAATGTAAGCAATGTGCTTCAATCCAAGTCCCTCTTTTTCGTACAAAATTTGCTCTTCCCGTAAGATTCGTTCATTGAAAACTTGCTGCAACTTTTCATTACAGTAATTTATGCAAAATTGTTCAAACGAATTGTGACGGAAATATTCAAATCCAGCAATATCTAAAACACCAACATAATAAGATGATTGGAAGGTTGGAATAGAGCGATTGATTACCTGGGTTACCAGATGATCAAATAGCTTAGAGTATAATGCTTTGGCCAAAGCATCTCGCGCTGCTGATGCTTCATGAACTTTCAGAGGAACCAGGTAAACAGTTCCTTTGTGGCCACCTTTATTTGTTTGCATGATACGCGACAAAAGGCATTGTTGCAGTTCTTCTGCCTCAATTCCAATTAGTGATGCGGCTGTTTCCAAGGAAGTCCAAGAGGAACCGGTTTTTACCTGGCATCCACCCCTGGTATCATCCGGACTCTCTTCAAAGGCAATATTACCTAAATGAAGTACCGAAGCCACAACCTTATATATTGCTAGTCTATCATTGACTCCAAAGTGAGATAAAGCTTTGTCTGTAGCCGTAAAATCAACAGCATCATCAACAATAGGATCATTTAAACTTCCCTTAGAAGCTTGTTCACGAGATTGACGTTCAGCTGGGAGAGAAGCTGATGATTTTGAACCAAAATATTGGGTACAGCCTCTATTGAGATAATGAAATTGATCAGGATTGTCCAATTTCAATTGGCTCCAAATTTCTTTTGGACTTCCAGCACACAGTTGATAAAATATATGATAATTTCGTTCGCCTGAGCTTTGACCACATATTCGTGACTTTTCAAGTAAATAATGTGAAATGAAACCTCCAACAACGGAAAACTGATTTATCAATGAAGATAAAAGAGAAAGGTAGAGACAAAAAAAAGAGAGATAAAACAATGACAATTAGATAATTGAAATCCAAGTTGTATAATAATGAAACTATGAATACAATGAAAAGAGAGGAAGAAAGCGTAGACACTTATTTTCTAATGACATTGACTTTGATAAACATTTCTTTTTTTCAAATGACTGATGTTTTTTTTGTCTGGTTCCTGTTTACCAATTTTGTTTAGGTGGTAGTACTCCATAATACTAATAATAGTTTGACAGACACACTTTTCTTCTCCCCTTTTCACCTGGGCTGACAAATTTACCTGACCACTGAAGTGTATTTCTATGAATTTGCCAAAACGACTACTATTATTATTGCGAACAGTTTTAGCGTTACCAAATGCTTCTAGAACCGGATTTGCTGTTTGTGACCGTTAGAGATAAATTGGGTGAAAAAATTATAAATTTAATCAATCGTTAAATTTGAATTAGAGTTGTTTTTTGAATAAAAGGAAAAGGACTAGAAAATAATCGAAATTGTTCAAAGCCAACTGACAGGAAATTAATCAATCAATGACGACTCACCATCAAGAATCAACCTTTCAATTTGACCAGAATTGGTTCCCCAAGATTCACATAAATATCTTAAAACGTATTTAGTGGCTTCCGTTTTACCGGCTCCTGATTCACCGCTAACTATTATTGATTGACTTTGCTTGAAAGCTTTCATATCACGAAAGGCTTTATCCGCTGTAAGAAGAAACAATAAATAAATTGAAAAAAATAATTAATTCGAGCTCTTAAAATTTAAAATCAAAGTGAGCAACAAGCCTTGCAAGACATTGTTTGAAGTAAACTGGTGAAACTTTGAACGTTCAATCTGATTTTTCTTGTATAAAAATACTAATTTCAACTAAATTGCTGAAATAGAGCATTTTATGAATCTATTTAAGGAATTATTTGAAACGATGCTAAAAATTTCCGTTTTAATTAAGCAAGATTCATAAAGTAACAATCTAATCAAAACCTCAATAAAGATTGGATACCATAAAATTGAATCAAAGCACGGAATTGAAAATTGTAAGTTAAATGATAATAAAAAAACGTTTGGCTGCAAACTGAGCATTTCAAAGTTTAGATAATGTAATTTGTAACTACTGAGAATGATATAAATATTAAATAGATTTGATGAACTTCAGATTTCAATATATCAAGTATTGTATATCTGAAACTGATCAAATACAATTGAGTCAGTCTGCGTGATGAGATGGAAGAAGAAGAAAAATTGATTTAATATACCAATAGCGAAAACATGAGGAGGAAGAACACCGAGTGATTTTCCTTGATACCGTGAAATTGCTTCAGATGAATAAAGATTTCGAATTTCAAAGTAAGGATTGATTGAGATCAGGATATTAGCCACGTAAGTCTAAAAATTAGAAAAAAAAGAAACAAAAAACGGAAAAATAGTTAATGAATGAATGCTTTTTTTTGCTCAAGCCTTGACCTTACATAAATCAGATCTCGTTCATAGCGGACTCGCAAATTGTTGAGAAGGGTTGCCTCGTTGAGGAACATAAGAGCACCTAAAGAAATAAGAAAAGGTCAAAATTAATCAATTATATGAGTTGAAAAGATACAATTAAATTTGGAGAAAAAATTGGCATAAATTATATTCAGATCATTCAAGTATTACTACAATATTTGTATAACTTACAATTATCGTCAACATGCTTCTCGATCTCAGGGTCTGCAGGGTAAAGGCTGCTGTAAGGTGCTTTAATTGTCTGTTGGAAAAATAATGAAAATTAATTAATTTAAAATAAATTGAATGATAAGCCACGAATAATTAGGAGTTTGTATGTTCTCATTGATATCAGTTGGCAGTGATACCAATGATTGGGAATCATAATTTGGTTGAAGGGAAAGTGAACAGTTTAAAAATTGTTTGCCAAAATGATCGAGCAATTTTGAGAAATTTTAATTATTGAAATGATAATGAAGGGTGATTAGGTATTATAGATCATAATTTACCTGATTGCTGTTTGCACATTTAACTGTAGCAAGCTCGAAGCCAATGTCAATGATAGTTCCTAAAATATATCCATTGTCAGGATCTGGAGCCCAAACCTTTTGTGACTCCATTCCGATGAATCAAGTATTATCACACTGAAATGTTAGAGAAATGGAGAAAAAAGATTTTTAGATTGTAAATGATTGCAGATGATTGTAACAGATTGCTGGTCAATAAAGTAATCAGAATTGGTGAAATTGGTGATCATTAGTAGATGTAAACAAAAGGAAAAGTGACACAATTGAGAAACGTGACTGTGTAAAGAATTTCTCTTTTCAGGTTCAATGAAAAGTTACAAAATAATTGAGGCAACAAGTTAACTAGTTAACTGGAAAAGTCATGTTATGTTGATTAATTCAAGTAACCAATTTTTGTTGATCTTGGTTTGTTGTCATGTAAACTTGTTTACTTGTGTGGCTATAATTGATACAGCTGACAATGAATGTTTTTCCGTTAGATGTGCAACACAACGAAACCATGAGAGCTCAATGAGTATAAATAATCACTGAATGTTACGAATTGAAGTCGAACTTATTTGACAATTTTGGCTATAAAGTCAATTCAAATTTTTAAACAATAGATTCACAAATAAAGTACAGTAATAGTTGATACAATAAAACTTGTAATCTCAACACCAGTTGAAACATACAATGTTTTTGACGGTAAATTAGATCAGGTCAAGTAGTAAGAATATATAATGAAACAATCAGCAGTAAAATAAATTTATTTAACACATTCAAACAAAGAATCTACTGTTAGTAATTGATTTTAATTGAGTAATCCTGATCTCAATGGTTTCATCAAATTACTTAAAGTTGATAGAGATTCAAATCACTATGTAGAGATGATATTCACTCCAACAAAAAAAGGCAGGCATAACAATCAACAAAAGAAATGTTATGAAAAAAAAGAGTTTGACCGATGATTTATTCAAAAACGAAGATGGCAGAAGAGATAAGGTAAACATCTTTGGCATTAGAAGACAATCATTTTTTCAATGATCGTCTGCTTAGCAACAAAATTTAATTTAGGATGATTGTTTGGACAGACGTTGTTGCTGCAGTCACTAAATAAATATAAAGGTACTTTTTACGATAGTGGTAATGATGGTGTCTTGATGTCTTGTTTTAATAAAAAAGTGACAGATGTAAAAGCAAAAAGGAAACTTGAAAATGAAAGCAAAAGAACAAGAAAAGGTTTGAAACTCACCTAATGTTGAAAATGATTGCTAATTGTTGGTAAATCTATGCTGATCTGGCAACATTTACCAAATCAAATAAACTAGAAACTTGAAATAGATGTCGACCAGGTATTGGAAGAGGATCGATGAACATAAACAGATAGTCCGTAAAGAAATGGATCGTCGTCAATTTGAACTGATGAATTTTATGATAATTGAAGAGCAGACTTAATAGACACCAGAAACGTTAAACATAGTCAACACTGTGAATACTGTAAACACGGTTAGCACTGTAGGTACACAGTAAACATAAAGTTACAACATGACAAAGAGGATAAAAAAGGTAAAGGAGAAAAAGAGAGTCAGAAAGGGAGAGAACTTGAGGGAGGAGGAGAAGAAAAATAATCAACAGTCTTGAACGGATGATGAATAGAAGAGGAAAGGAAGACGGAGAAAGAGAGAGAGAAACAAGGTGTGATGCAAAATCGCCTTTGCGATTGTTACGGTTGCATCGGTAGAGAAAAAAGTTGTTTAAGTTCCGATTGAGTTATCATGGAGACCAGTTGATGATCCCTTTTTAAGTATCTTCTTGACTTGTTATTAGTCTCATTTTTAGTCTCTTTCCTTCCTAATTTATTACAATTGTCAATTTAACAATATTTTTCATTGGAATCATCAGTAACACAGACTTAATATAATTTACTCTTTCTTAGTCTATCCTTTTTTTGTGCTTGTTTTTACCTCTTATTCACATCATTTAGGCTCATATTGAGCCTCCAAATTCACCCTTAACATTCAAGTTTAACTCCATCTCTCCCTCTCTTTTTATGTATCGATAAATGCTGTATAAAATCACTCTTATCATCAACCATCACCATCATCATTATCATCATTATCTTCATCATTTTTTACGTCTTTTCATGACTTTTCAATTCCATTCACCATAATCATCATCATTTTTTGTGTTGTAGTTTCTATTGATTGACCTCTTAAGGTAGTTAACCTTAACCATAAAAAAGCCTAAACAAAATCATAATAACAATATAACGTTGGAAGTCGCGTAAATCCAATAAGTCTGTATATCGTTAGCTTAATTAGTGAGGATAAGCCAACTATAAAATTTTAATTAATTGTCCCACACAGTCAAACTGATTATATATTTGATGAAAAACAACAAACAAAACAAGTATAATAGGCGTCAAATTGGTTAAAAAAGGACAACCTGCCAAGAAATGTATCAAAATTGTGTTCACTTCGCAAACCATATTCATTCATCTTCATCTCTGTTTTGCCTTTCTCTCATCATCACATTATTAAATTATCATATTATCAATTTGTAAATTAACAAATTGCGAGGTCATCATCATCTTCATAATTTACCTCTTTCTCTCCCATAAAACTGACAAAAATCAGTTTATTTGAGAAATTTTTACGCTTTGTTGATCATTTTAACTGCTTCTTTTAACGCAACCTTTTATTGTCCTAGCTGTAGTTTAATTTGCTATTCAATCTCTTCATTATTTAATCTCTCCTCTTTTACCCAGATTATCATGGTCATGGTTAAGATTCACAATTTAATTTTATTTCTGGTTACAACTTTTGTTTCATTCAAATCACAGCTTTGATCGCAAACCATTAAATAATCTCAACGTTTTTTGCTATTCAATTTAAACATTAAGCTAACTATATTTTCTTGTTAAATTATTCAGCTACTTACCTTGTTTGTTTTCATTTAACTTTAAAACTGTAAGCATGCAATGCTTTGCAAAGTGCACAAATCATTCACAATCACGATAACTTTAGATATAAATCATCATTAAGATTACAAATGAAATCAGATATTTAAATAGTATTTATCTGATTCGTCTTATGCCTAAAATAAAGCTCAATATGGATTATTGATCTTGAAGCCATAAAATTTGTTTAATCTGAACAAATACTCATTGCAATTTGATATGTAACAGTAAATAAAGATTGGATTAGCGATTCATTGGATGGCAAAATATTGGTAATTTCATTTACTCAGCACTGTAAACTATTTAGATAAATATTTATAGTTGGTAAGTAAATGATGTACTTCTGATGACAGTAGATATTTCAATTCAAATGAAAAGAATTAAATTGGTGAGAAAAATTCTAAAAAAATAGTCAACAGGACTTTAATTTGTTTTAGGCTTTCGTATGAATTTGAAAAAAAACTTAAATAAAGGTATTTGGTTCATCATTTCGATAGCATATGGCTCATAGCGATAAATTATGCGCAATATCAAAAAGAAAAGAATGGCACCAAAAATAACATGGACGGCTGAATTACCCCAATGAGAGCAACACAAGATAGTCTGTAATTAAAAAGGAATCAGTTAGTTGTTTGAAAATACAAAGTTGAGAATTATTTACCTCTGATAAACGAGTTAGACCAAAAATAACAGAAAACGCAGCCAAAACTTTGGGATGAGGTAAAATACCAAATACTGGATTCTCATTACTTCGATTTTTGATACATTCTTGCCGTATGAACGAGCAGCTAGAGGAAAAAACAGAGTTTAGTAAAGAAACTGTGCACTACAGCAAATTCAGGTTGAAAGCAACCAAATTCAAATGAAATAAATCCAACTCAGATCCAAAAAAAATTCATGTCAAAATGAAAAAACTTTTTCATGTCTATTCCTGGTTATGATAAAAATGAAAATAAGTTAGTGTTGAACGACTATTTATGGACTATTTTCTGCTACTAAAGTGACGATTATTTCAATTATCATACACAAATGCAACTTAATTTTGCCTTTGTATTCCAAATGAAATAATTTATAATTTAGTAGTGCTTGATCTTAGCTGGTGATTTGCATCTTTCTGACAAAGAAATTAATTTTAGCAGCCATATAAATTTTCATTCTGACGTTGAATCATTTCATTTTGAATTAAGTCCCTTTCAATATTAATTGACTGTAACAAGCAATGTGTAAATATTAAATTTACCTAAAAAGAATGCGGCATGACATGTTAACACAGTTTGCAAGAATCAGACCAGAAGCGCCAATTAGTGAAGTAGCCAAAGATGCAACAATCAAATAAATAACTGAGAATCCAATCAGCCAAATGTTGAATTTATCGAGTTGTTCTTTAGACATCACAGCAAATGTGAAAGTTTCACTAACACCATTGACGGCAATAAAATAAATATAAATACAATGGAAGCGCATCAAAATAATTGCAAGTCCATGACCAAGATGTTTCTCGTTGTAAATCTTTAAACCAAGTTGTGAGTAGTTGAAACCGAATACAAGAACAATTAAGCCACAGAGAGACATCAATTTGAAAAGATTTCTTAAAGTTTCTACCGCCATTTTGAACTTTTTCCGGTCCTGATTTTCATGCTTGCCTCGGACGACAAGTTTACCAAAAAGGATATAGGCACTTTCTTCAATCGGTTGGAAAATAAAACGAGCAGCAAGTGATCCTAGATTGTTTACGATATCAAAAATCCCTTGATCGTCAAAAGTCATTGGATTTAGAAATGTCATGATAAATTTCTCCCCTTCAGTAAGGAATTGTTTGATAACCGTTTGTAGAAGAAAGCTGAAATTAAGTTTTAACAGACTTGTATCAAGGATGGGCTGAAAAAGAAAGTAAGAAAATAAATGTAATTAGTTGACAGTAAGTTTGTAAGGAGCATTATCGTTAATAGTTAATACCTGCATATCTCGATTAGGAAAGAAATGACTATAATAATGACCAAAACTAAGTTTGAAAGCAAAATATATATGATACATCATTGTTGTAGCGACCGACGAAATAAAAAGAGAGGACATGAAGATTATAACAGCATACATCGGATAACTCTGAACAAAGAGGGCCATAATAACACATCTTATGACGAGAGCGATTGCCTCAATGTTGATCCTAATTTTAACAAGATTTTGAAGCTGACAGTAAATGAACATCGGTTCAGATACCATTTCAATGGCAACGATTATCGGCATTAAAAGGACAGCAGTTCGATAGCCAAAAGCTTGTTGATCTGGTTGCTCTACCCAATTCAACCAGATATAAGATAAAACATAACCAAATAGAAATGAAAAGCCGATACTATAAATAAATGGAGCGAATTGTAATATTAATATGCATTTCCATAATATTGCGAAGATGGTCTTACTTCAACCAAATTAAATTAATGAGAGCTGGCCAACGATGTGATTTAGCTTCACTTATGCAGACCCTCCGCATCGGCTCTCGACTAATGAATTGCGTTGTAGTATAGAGCAAAAGCAGTCTGACATTTATGACACCTAGAATATATGCTGAAATATATTTGAGGATGTAAATATTCAGCAAAAATGTCGTAATTCTTGTAGATATCTGAAAAAAAGAAAATGAAAACACAAAACAGCTGATCAGATAAAGTTAGTTATAGTGAAAATGAAATTTACCTGAAAGACCATGTTGAAAGATGCATGTCTCATGGCATCTGAGACTAAAGTTGAGCTCATGATTGAGTTGATAGAGTAAATTATACCAGGTTCATATTCATAAATAAAACAAATAATAACAAATCATTAAAAAACAAAAAAATAAGATAGAAAAAATTGTGTAAATAAAATTTCTATGAGCTGAGCAAACCGAATCCATGTAAGCAGGTTGTTAATTCTGACGCGCGTGATTTGATACAAATATTTGAAAATTAATATTAAAATCTGAAACTATTTTCGTTGAGCACAGAAGTTTCTTTGCTAAGCTTTATCCTTAACTAATCACTATCCAGATCAAAATTTGTAGTTAATTTGAAAAAATAAACAGTAATTACAATCACATTTCAAAACAGTTGGTTAGTATTCGTCTTTTACCACGAAAAAAATCTTTACGATATGTTGTTGATGGATGTAAGTCATTATTTATATTTATAAGGTATTGATTTTGACTGTTTGGTGAACAGTTCAGGTTCAAAAAACAATAAGTTAATGATCTAAATAAATATTTTCACAAAAGCTCGTAAAGTAATAACAAGGGTAACAACACGGGTACATTTACACAATATGCAGTTTGACATCAAACAAGGTTCCATAGTTGGTTTTAAATCAGAGAATCAGACCATTTCTTTACGGAACTCCTTATCACGATTAATTATTGAAGCTAATTCATCTTCATTTACATCAAATCCAGATAATTCTTGAGCCAGACTTTTACGATAAGGAAATATCGGTTTTTTGCGTTTTTCACTGGATTTCTGTAGATCAAATAAAAAACAGTGAGCAAATATAATACATAATTTTAATTTACATTCTTACCTCTGGATTGGATGAATGTTTATTGTTATGTTGCGCTAAGGTGATGGGATCGGTGAATTTACGACCACAGTCTGGATAATCACATGCATAATTTTCTAGATGAACATCTTCAACATGCTCTCTCAATTGTCCTTTGCGAACAAATGATTTGTCACATCCATCCGCAGGGCATTTAAACTTATGAGCATCTATGTGCGCTAGCAAATTTGACTTTTGTGTGAAGATTTTACCACAAATGTGACATTCATTCGTTTTTTTGTGAGCTGTAGCAACGTGTTTACGAAGTTCATTCCAAGTTTCAGCAACAACGTCGCAATCTTCTTGATTGCATCGAAAACCTGAATGGCGAGCGCTATGCCTTATGAGACGAGATTTCAGAGCAAAAGCAGCATCACATCGATCACATTTGAAAGGTTTTTCGCCAGTATGATGGGCCAAATGGATTTTCCACAGGAATTTATCTTTAAATTCCTTGAAACAACTCTCACAGTTGTATCGTTTTTCTCGCTTTTTGGTCGTCGTAAAATCCTCTTCAACGTTGTGAGGCCGTTTTTTATGTTTATTCAGATAAGATCTGCATGTAAATGATTTATCACATCCTTCGATGTCACAAATAAACGGGCGCTAGATAGAAGATAAACAAAGCACAAATGATGATTTTGAAACGAACATCACGAACACATGTTTGATTTTCTTACCTCTCCTTTGTGAGCTCGAATGTGACGCTGCAAACGAAAAGCACTTGGAAACGAAGCACCACACTCGTCAAACGAACAGTGAAATAGTTTTGGTTGAGCCATATTAACAATCATGCTAACAATTATGCACATTAAACCATCTGCGAAAAATTAAAATTTTGAAAACAAATGTTTGCATACTTGAGGGGTGTTATAATAATTGTGCAAAGTTGGACCAGTTTAGGTTATGCCGGATTTGGCCATTTCAGGTTCGGTCATTTTTTTCAACCAGTTAATAATTTAAAAAGGTAGGGTAGATGATTGATTGGGTAATCAAATTCGTGAATTCAATTTTTTAATGGTTAAACACTCAATCATTTCTTGAACTTTGATAATTTGCCCTGTTATTTATGCTCTGTTTTTGTGCTTTCACAGCTGTTCACAAAATCGATGTTTACAAATAAGTTTTACATTAAATCATCATTTTCTTAGTTGTTTCAAGTACTCTTTGATCTCCGTAGAGTACCAAATACTCATAATGGTTGCAGAAACCGATGCCAAAGATTGTGTTAATGGGATTAAAAGTGATCAGCAAACTAAATCACTTAAACATCAAATGAAACAACAATCCAAATTGAGACGAGATCTACTTTGTAAGCTCTTCCGCTGTGATCCATCTCAATTAAGAACTCTTCTTGGTACTGACGGAGATCGTGACCCATCTGATTTTACAAATAAAATTGAAAATGGAAATTCAGTGGAAAGTGGAATTTCTCGTGAGTCCGCGCCAATCTATACTGATTCAAGCATATTTTCTAAGGTGAGAAGACCAGTGATGTAAGGTTCAAGAAAATTTTAATCTTTCACTTTTTTCTTTATTTGTATTTAAAGGGAACTCAAAGTGCAAATCCTCACAATGATTACTGTCAACATTTTGTCGATACTGGACAAAGACCTCAAAACTTTATAAGAGATGTTGGCTTAGCTGAAAGGTTTGATGAATATCCTAAACTAAAAGAGCTCATACGAAGAAAAGATGAGAGGATCCGTGAAACTAACACTAAACCTATGTACCTTAAATGTGATTTAAGAGAATTTTCATTGAAAGATTTGAAGTGCAAATTCGATGTGATTTTAATTGAACCACCTTTGGAGGAATATCAACGAACAAGAGGAGCTACCAACATGGACTTTTGGAACTGGGAGGAGATTGAAAAGTTAGCCATTGAAGATATAGCTGCTCAAAGAAGTTTTGTTTTTCTTTGGTGTGGATCTAGTGAAGGTCTTGATTTGGGTCGCCATTGTTTACGTAAATGGGGTTTCCGTAGATGTGAAGATATTTGCTGGATAAAAACAAACATTAAAAATCCTGGATTTTCAAAGAATTTAGAATCTAATGCAATTTTTCAACGAACAAAAGAACATTGTCTCATGGGAATTAAAGGCACAGTTCGCAGAAGTACCGATGGAGATTTTATTCATGCAAACGTTGACATAGATTTGATAATCAGTGAAGAACCTGAATACGGATCGGTCGATAAGCCAGAAGAAATATTTCATATTATTGAACATTTTTGCCTTGGACGCAGAAGATTGCATGTTTTTGGACGAGACACTACTATTAGACCAGGTATTAATTTTATTATTAAAGCAAAATCATCAACTCGCAAGATTGTAAAATTGATCTAATCTTGAGAGCGAACTTGTTATGTTGAAATGTTGATGGTTTCTCTTTTCATTATTGTTTGTTCTTAATCTACCACTAACGTCATTTTTTCTTAAATTATTAGGCTGGTTAACTGTTGGTCCTGGATTAACAAACAGTAACTTCAACGCTGATAAGTACTTGAAAAACTTTGAAACTCCAAATAGTCACTTAACTGGGTCAACTGACAAGATTGAAAGCCTTAGACCAAAATCGCCTGTGCCCAAAAACAAGAGTCAATCAACAGTTGGAAACAGACCGATTTCTCAAAACCGACCATATCAACAATCAATGCCAAGAGGTGGTAACAATAATAGGATATCAACAATGATTAGAAGATAATCAGCCTAATTGACAATTGACTCATTTTCACAAATGTATTTTCTATAGTTTTAATTAGTTTTCAATGTTTCATTTGTATTATAACATTTCCTATATCTTCATTTCTCATCAAATCCATCGCATTGGAATTTTTTTTAATTAAATTCAAAACAAAATTGTTCCATCACTCACCAAAATATTAGATTATTCAAGATATAACTAAAAGTCCCCAAGTCAACTTAACAAAGTTGATAAATTTTATTGACTTTACCGCGCAGAACAGAGTTTTTGACCTCAGTTTCTAATCTCAAGATTACTACCAGGTTAATGATCGGTAATAATAAATAATATGTAATGTAAATATGGATTGACATGAGGATTTTGGAATTATTTCATCTTTTCGTTTTACTTGTAATATGTGCCAGCAATTGTTTTTCGTTATCATTGGGTTTACATACATTATAATATGATATAATGTATGACATCAATTGTTTTTCATTGTCATTGGGTTTACATACATTATATTATAATAGAATGTATGCTTTGGTAGATGGAGCGGTACATGGATAGACAGGAGGATATTGTCATAATTTCAGTAGCTGTTCGTTTTACTTTTAATTATTATTCCAACATCATAAAACCCACAAATGGAAAGGATAATCAAGCTAACTACTATTGTTGGAAAAAGCTAATGATATGGGCATTGAAAAAGGATAAGGATTCTCAGTTTTAGTAATAAAGTAATAGTTATCATTGTTTTAGAATTAATTGTAATTTTTACTCCTAAGTGATTGGTCGACTGATCAAAATCGAATAAAATTTAATCTTTGGGAAAGAAAGAATTACCTTTGTTAAACTATACATTCTGATATAACGAAATATATACATTCTAATATCACGAAATACTTACATTCTATCATGGACATAGATCATACATTCTAACATATTAACGTACATTCGAAGACTGCGCTATACCTTTACATACATTCTACTATTAAACTATTGAAAAAGGCTTTTATTCTTACAAGTCGACAGGATGCAAACAGAAGGTGCATCTAAAAATTTATTGCCAAATCAAGATGACATTGGAGGTATCACTGATGATGAGCGATCGATTCATGATAGTTTCGTTGTTGAAACTGATATTGACCCGACTGATGATTTGGCTCAACCTGGAAATCAAACAGGTCCATTTTTCAGACCAAAGTTACATGTATTCCAAGGTAAAGAGAGGGATATTACGGTGGAGAATTGGGTTAAATTATATGAATCAACAGCCTTACGATATAAGTGGAACCCCAATAAGATGATTGACTTGCTTGGTGAATATTTAGGTGGAGAAGCCCTCAACTTTTATTTGGATTGTCGAGATAATAGTTCTTGGTCGGATATTAAAGAAGCATTGATTGCTCGGTTTGGTGTTAAAACAGTTGATCCAATCGTCGAGTTTGATCGACTTAAATTTTCTCAAACTAAAGGTGTTACTGAGTATTTCGAGAAGAAACGAAGACTCGCTGGGTTATCTGGTTTACCTGAATCATTGGCAGTAACTTTAATGATTGAGCATCTCTCGGATGAATTGAAGAGATGTTTCATTGGTCATCGAGCCAAGACATACAACCAATTCTGGGCTATTGCCAAGACAGCTGAGGTTACTTTAACCAAAAGAATTAACAATTTCCATCAGTATTCTGACCAACATAATAAACAACAAAAGAGGAAATTTGAGCAATCTTATAAACCGACCAAACGACAACCGAAAGGTGCATGTTGGAAGTGTGAAAAAGCTGGGCAACCTAATCAAATGCACTGGTCAAACGAGTGTCCATTGCGGAAGAATTTTTCTCAAACTTCACAGGTTAATCAAATTAACCATCAAGCTGAGTCAAACACTTCTGCTCCTCTTTACCAACCAAAACCGCAAGTTAACCAAAATAATTTAAACTAATAATCAGACCTGACTCCAAGCCATTCCATATCATCATCAGAGGTTGTGTTAATGAGATTGAAATAAAAATTTTGTTTGATCCAGGTTCATGTATAACTTTGATTGATGAGGAATTAGTTGAGAAGTTGAAGATATTTGTTTTCAAAAATGAAAGCATCAAATTTTCAACATTGTCTGGGGATGGTTTTGTCTCAGGTCTGGCCAAAGTATCTTTAAAAATTGGTTCAATCACTAAGTCTTTAATTGTTTATGTAACCAAGTTGATCGGGATTGATTTACTTTTAGGGCTCGATAACATTTTTCAGTTTAACCTGAAATGTGATTCAGATTACTCCATAACTCAGAATCAGAACACAATTAATCCAACAGTGATTAAGCTTGTAGATTGTCCCATTGATTTACTTAAAAACTTCTATTTAGATCTAAGATCAAAATTGACTAAGCCTAATGATGGAGAGCTTTATAAGATTTTGGTTAAATTTGAAGAAGTATTTAGTGACAATAAGTTTATGATAGGTTGTATAAGAGATTTTGATTGCATTATTGAATTGAATACAAAAATTCCGATTAATGTAAAGCCTTACCGAACATCAATTGAAAATCAAAGGAAAATTGACTCAGAAATTAGCTCTTTATTAGCAGCTAAATTGATCCAACCTTCTTTCTCTCCATACTCAGCCCCAGTAACCCTAGCTTTTAAGAAAGAAGAGAACAGTAAAACACGTTTCTGTATCGACTACCGAAAATTGAATGATAAGGTGATCACTGATGGCTACCCAATGCCTCGAATAGAGGATATCATTGATAGGTTGCATGAAGCTAAATTTTTCAGTGTTTTTGATATCCGCTCAGGATTCTGGCATATCAGAGTGAGGAAATCTGATGTCCCGAAAACTGCTTTCGGTACTCAAAATGGTCACTTTGAATGGCTAGTAATGCCTTTTGGTTATAAAAATGCACCAGCAATTTTCCAACGAGCAATCAGAGGAATAATTGAAAAGCATAAGTTGACTGAGTTTTGTCATAATTACATAGATGACATCATCATCTATTCTCGAGATTTAACGATTCATCATGAGCACATCAGCTTATTGCTTAAAGCAATGAAGACAGAAAACATCAAATTAAATTTCGAGAAATGTAAATTTGCACAGTTGAAAGTCAACTATTTAGGTCATAAATTGTCCTTAAATGAGATTCGACCGATTCAAAGCAATATTGAATCGATAAACAAACTTAGACCTCCAGCGAATTTAACTCAGCTGAGAAGATTTTTAGGTAAAGTCAACTACAATAGGAAATTCATCAAGAATATTACTGAGTTACTTGAACCTTTACATCAGCTACTTAGAAAAGATAATAAGTTTGTTTGGACGGATGATTGTCAGAAATCATTTGACACTTTGAAGGAAATTTTAGTGACGGAACCGGTGTTACGAATGTTTAACCCGAGACATGAATTAATACTTGAGACTGATGCCAGTAAAATCGGTATTGGAGCCGTATTAAAACAGAAAGATGAAGATAAAACTATTTATCCGATTGGGTACTTCTCAAAAAAATTGTCAAGTTATCAGCAAAATTACCCAGCAACTCATCTTGAATGTTTAGCGGTCATTGAGTCCATCAAATTTTGGCATCACTATTTGCATGGACAGAGGTTTACAGTGATTACTGATCACTCAGCTTTGAAATCAATCAGGAAAATTAAGAACCCGAATACACGTTTGTTCACTTGGGCTTTATTCCTAGACCAATATGACTTTGAAATTAAATACCGACCTGGTGTCGAGAATGTTCAAGCCGACTATCTGTCGAGAGATCCAATCTTACAAGAACAGATTGAGAGTCCAATTAAATTGGTAAATTTTGTATCCATCGATGAGATTAAAAATGAACAAAACAGCATGCACATTGATCATAAGCAAATGATCAATAGAGAAGGCCTTGCTATCAGAATTGATAAGAATGGACTGGAGAAAGTGATCGTACCTCAGAATTTGAGAGATAAACTAATGGAAAAGGTTCACTTTCAGTTTGGCCATATTGGTGTAAGAAAAATGCTGACTATCATCAGCTGGTTGTACACCTGGCCAGGGATGACAAAAGATGTAATCAAGTTTGTCATGAATTGTACTCCCTGTCAACAAGGGAAGACGAAACGATTAAAACCAATCAGTGAATTCGGTCATTTTGGACCAGCAAAAGCTCCTTTTGAAATTGTATCGATTGATACGATCTGTGGGTTAAATGGCTACAAATGTAAAAAGAAATACATTCATCTAGCCATTGATAACTTCACAAGATTTGTTTGGACTCTTGGTTCAAACCAGCAAATTGCTAGTGAATTCATCAAATTACTTGACAAAGTATTGAAAATGGGTAAACCAAAAACAATATTAGCTGATCGTTATACAGCAATAACGTCAGATTCATTTCTTAATTATCTAACTGACCTACAAATTGAAATTAAATTCATACCAAAGGCATCTCCTCAATCTAACGGTTTATGTGAACGTGTTAACAACAGTATCATTGACAAGATCAGAGTAAAAATGATAAGCAGTGGATACAAATATGGTTGGATAAGATTTTTGCAAAAGTCTGTTGACGAATATAATCAAACGCCTCATTCTGTTACTGGATTCAGTCCATCTTATTTGATGAATGGACAGTTACCATTGCATTGTGAAAATGTAAAACTACCATCAGTGGAAGAAGCAAGAATTATTGCTTTTGAGAACTCAGAAAATTATCATCAGAAAAATGCACTTATATTCAATAGTAAACATCAAATTCATGAGTTCAACACAAATGACTATGTATTCATCAAGAACCTCGCCGGTATAAATAAAGGAAAATTAGACCCAAACTATTTAGGTCCATACAGGATAGTGTCAAAGATCGCAACAAACATATTTGAAGTTGCAAGAAATGAATCACCTATTTTGACTGAACAGATTCATGCCAAACATCTCGTCCCAATCAAATCAATCTAAAGGACTTGGGAATTTTATTCCATGTTTATTCACATATTACCACATAATATTACTAACATTATTTATTTTTAACCACTTTGTTTGTGCTTGGCCAATTTACCAATCTTCCACTGAGAAGAATAAACATCTCCGAAAAATAAACATTTTTCACCCTTAGGTGCGGGGATGTAATGTAAATATGGATTGACATGAGGATTTTGGAATTATTTCATCTTTTCGTTTTACTTGTAATATGTGCCAGCAATTGTTTTTCGTTATCATTGGGTTTACATACATTATAATATGATATAATGTATGACATCAATTGTTTTTCATTGTCATTGGGTTTACATACATTATATTATAATAGAATGTATGCTTTGGTAGATGGAGCGGTACATGGATAGACAGGAGGATATTGTCATAATTTCAGTAGCTGTTCGTTTTACTTTTAATTATTATTCCAACATCATAAAACCCACAAATGGAAAGGATAATCAAGCTAACTACTATTGTTGGAAAAAGCTAATGATATGGGCATTGAAAAAGGATAAGGATTCTCAGTTTTAGTAATAAAGTAATAGTTATCATTGTTTTAGAATTAATTGTAATTTTTACTCCTAAGTGATTGGTCGACTGATCAAAATCGAATAAAATTTAATCTTTGGGAAAGAAAGAATTACCTTTGTTAAACTATACATTCTGATATAACGAAATATATACATTCTAATATCACGAAATACTTACATTCTATCATGGACATAGATCATACATTCTAACATATTAACGTACATTCGAAGACTGCGCTATACCTTTACATACATTCTACTATTAAACTATTGAAAAAGGCTTTTATTCTTACAAATAATTAATAATAATTAAAATAGAAAGAGTAAAAGAATGATATAATCGTTGCTCGGGTCTAGAATAGTTGTGCAGCTTGGTATCAAAAAGAGAAGTGAAAATAAGAAATGGCTAATCCCACGAACTTGCACAAGGTTTTATTTTTTTGCTTAAGTCTTCACTTTGGTTTTATGAAGGTTTGATTTAAAGTTAAATTTCAAGATTAATACTTTGAATTGTGATACTTTGCAATCTGAATTTATACACTCATATGTAAGTAAATCACCGGAGTATATCTTAATGAAGTGTCAGATAAAAATAAATTGCTAGTTTGACTATTTTACTGTGTTGTTTGTTTATGACTCTTGCAGTGAAATCCGATGAATCAATTGAGAAGCCGTTTTAGAGGTTGTTTACTTGGTGTTCATGTCGGTGACACATTTGGAGCTCCTTTTGAAAATGATGAAGTTATTTCAAGAAAATTATTACAAAATTATCTCAATAATTTAGTTGCTGGGAAAAGTGAGTAAATTATTTCTTGTAAATGCTACCTTTGCAATTTTAGATGCTACCTTTACTTGATGTTTTACCATTCTTAAATGCAGGTAACAATCAAATTTTTCCTTATACTGATGATACTTTAATGACTCGTGCTGTTGCTCAGTCTTTGGTGGCTCATAAAGGATTTAATGCTACAGATCTAGCTAAACGATTCGCTCAAGATTTTTTCGAAAACCCTAAACGTGGATATGGAGAAAGAGTGACTGAAGTTTTTGCTGCTCTTCACATTGAAGAGTATGCAGACCCATTTGGACCAGCTAAGCGTCAATTTAGCGGGACAGGGTCCTATGGAAATGGTGCTGCTATGAGAATTGCCCCAGTTGCCTTGTATGGAATCAATTTATCTGACGATAAGTTCAATGAAATGGTTGACAACTGTTCCAGGATCACTCATACCAATGTGAAAGGAGTAAATGGAGCTAAACTTCAATGTCATGCTATTCGAGAAGCCTTAAGAGCTAGTCAGCCATTTGATTCATTATCCTACCTTCAAAAACTGGCTCAAAAAATGGAAAAAATCGAGGATGGCTGCCAAGACAAGGATAAAATTTACTCGAAAGCTTTACTAGAAATGTTGCAGATTTTTGAAGGCAAACACAGGAACAAAGATCCTTTGCCGGCAGACATTGCTGATATCTTCGGCAACTCAGTATCAGCTCAGAGATCTGTTCCGTCCGCTGTCTACTCGTTTGTCCGAGCTCAAGCACCTACAGAATTATTCGAAACAGATAACCCTTTTCTTCGTGCCTTATTTTTATCCATTTCTCTTGGTGGTGATACAGATACAATTGCTTCAATGGCTTGTGCCATATCCGGTGCCTTGCATGGTGATTCAAAAGTACCTCCTTTGTTGATTGAACACTGTGAGGCTTCTGATAATACCATTAAACTAGCTGATGAACTTCATAAAATTGTTGATAATCAGTCTGAATCAAACGAAAAACGATAAAAGCATTCACATTATGCTCCAAAATTGAGACACAATTCGCCATTTTTTAAGGTTCTATCGTTTGGAGCTCTAGCCTGACCATAATGAAGAACCGAACTGTTTATTCCAGATCCACAGATAACAAGTATATGAAAGGAGTCGAGCTCCACCATTGTAATGACAATAATGCCGAAATAAACTTTCAAGTTGATATTCTTTCATTCCTGAGCGAACTTTTTTCATTACATCTTTATGAGCTTCGGAGCTTATTTTATCAGCATATCGCATTACTTCTAGTTCCAAAGGTGTTTTAAAAACTCTACATTCTGATATAATTAAATGAAGAATTCATCAATTTTCATTTAGCTTGAGCTTCTCAATATTTACAGATGAAATTTGAATATGAGATTTAAATTATCCGCTTTTTCAATTGACCGGTATACTAACAAAGTAACTTGTAAGAAATCAGCTGCTCTTTCGCGCGGTTTAAATGACTATAAATATTAAGAAAAACACTCGATTACAATTTTGTTATTTTTGTTTACAAACTTAATTATCATGGATTTAAGTAGTTTCCTAAATAACTGTTCCAAAGATTGTTTATTCAAATCAGATGTACCAGAAGCCACTAAAAAACAACCATGTATGCTTGGTATTGATGAAGCTGGACGAGGACCTGTGCTCGGTAAAAATTTTTACAATTTTATTGAACCTTGCTTATAAATTTGATTCAGGTTTAATCAAATGGATGAGTTTTTTCTCCCCAATCAGGGCCTATGGTTTATGGAATTGCATACTTTCCTATTGATGTTAAGGCCAAGATGGAGAAACAAGATTTTGCAGGTTTGGTTGATTTTATCACATTTGAATCATCTGTGGGTCTAATCTTTCAATTTTTTATCTACTTTAGATTCTAAAAGTTTAACTGAAAACAAAAGAGAGGAAATATTCAATAGAATTTGCGCTGGTAAAATTGATAATTTCGGCTGGATGACAAATGTTTTATCTCCTGTCACGATTAGCAACTCAATGTTTAGAAGGTTTGTTGATTTCACATTTTCGCTCATTCGCCGTTTATTAATTTGAAAATTGGTGTTGCAGAACTAAATACAATCTCAACGCACTATCGCATGACACTGCCATGGGACTTATTCAAAATGCAATTGACGAAGGAGTCAATGTAGAAGAAGTAAGTTGACGTTCAATACTAGAAACATACCTGTACTTATTTGAATTTACTCAATAGGTGTATGTCGATACCGTTGGTCCTGAGGCCAAATATAAAGACAAATTGAGTGCACGATTTCCAGCAATCAAGTTTACAGTTGCTCAAAAGGCTGATTCAAAATATTCCGTCGTGAGTGCTGCTAGTATTTGTGCTAAAGTTATCAGAGACAGAATCATTGCTAATTGGAGATTCTTAGAGGATGTTAAAAATCCTGAAGACTATGGATCTGGTTATCCAGGAGGTAAATAAGTTTTGCATTTAATCTTGAAACATCTATCCAACTAAATCAATTTTCATTCAATCTCTTAATAGATCCTAAGACCAAAGCCTTTCTGCAAAATAATTTGGATCCTGTATTTGGCTTTCCATCCTTTGTACGTTTTAGCTGGTCTACTGCCAACGAAATTTTGGAATCAAAAGCAATTGAATGTGAATGGTAATAAAAATTTTGAGGCCTTTGAATTTCCTTTTATTTATGCTCATCTTTTCTTTTTACAGGGAGGAAATAGACAATAAGCCTGCGAATAATAAAAACATGAATCAATTTTTTGACTCTAAGAAACAAGCATCATTCTTTAAAAATCGTTGTCTTCATCGAGTAACTGATTTATCTAAAATTTAATGTTGATTTGAAGACCATAATAAAGACTTTCTAATTTTTTATTTCATTCTCATTTATTTGCTGCTGTTTTTATTATCCAAACTGCAAAAATGTTATTGTTTAGTTGAAAATCGCATGGCGACTTGAAATATGAATTTGGTTTCCGTCTAAATCATAAAATAATTTGAATTGCTAACGAAAAAATTCGTAGCTTTATTGTTAATCATGAACTTCGTGCAAATAATAATTATATTATCTCTTCATTTTACAAGTTTTTTTCATAAAAGAAAATAAAAGTTGACTATAAAAACAGTCATAATAATAGAAAAGCAAAGAAATTGAACAGTAATTTCTTTACAAATTGTAATTAATTTACATAACTTATTTGGGAATTAAAACAACCATAAGCGATAGCTAATTACAAGCTCTCATTTTTGGTTTTTTTGTTAGATTAGTCTCAATTCAAGATAATAAAAGAAATGACAGAATCGTGAATGAATTAGCTAGCACAATAAAGGAAAACAATCAATTGTAAAAGAGATAAGAAAAACTGCTGTGTTGGTATGATAATAAAGGAGAAAAGGTTACAGTAACAAAAAATTACTGAGCTGTAACATCATTATGATTACTATTGTTATTTGAATCACTATTCATCGTTTTTTCTTTAGAAGCTTTCAACGCCTCAAAAGCTGCTATTTCTTTCATCTCTTTCTCATTATTACGAGCTAAATAATCATAACGGTTCTTAACAATTCTGTTGACTATGTCAAAAGTTCGTAGCGAATTTCCACTTGGAATAACTCTGAATTTGCCTAATTTTTTTGGTACCTGGAAGATGAGAAAAAAATGAATTAGTATTATACCTATTTTGGTTATCTGGTCAAAACTTACTTCATAAGGATCTTTTCCATTCAGGTCAGGTTTGTAAGGTGTGTCTCCATGACAGACTAAATCAACTTTGAAATGATCCATAAGATCTTGTGAAACCGTGTAAGGGGCTCCCATCACTACTTCATTGACGTACTGTAAGAGAAGGATTTTTAAAATTATTATTGAAATGTGGTAAAACGTAACTAGTATCAATAAATCAAAACCAGTTAACAATTAAAATTTTGATGACGTGATCATATAAATTTTAACTTTAATTGCGCTTTAACGGAAAATGTTATTTCGCCAACTGAAGCTACAAATTTTCCTTGATGACTAATGCAAGTAAATCTCAAGGTCTTTTAATTTCTCTTGCTCATTAATGGTTGGTTTGATTTATCAAGTTGACAGTTGTTAAACTTTGTCTGACATGGTATACTTGGTGTAAAACTAAACAATAAGTTCAGGAGAGTACGATAATTATTTACCTTGAGATAAACTTGCTAATCTAGCTAAGAACGATTTAAAATTATCCCGCGCAAAGTGGGACAGAAAAATATGATCAGTTAATTTGATAAATCGAGAAAGGAGAGTAAAAGAAAGTAGAGTAAAAAATGTAAATAGTCGTAATCATTTACCTTACAAGCAAGGACAGAGAGTACTCTTTCATGAAGGTTCATTATGGGATAATTGCTTTTATGATAACTGTTGACAACCTGGTCTGAATGGAGGCCAACAATTACGAAACCGTCAAGGGCTGCAACCTTTTCTAAAAAGTCAACATGACCAATGTGGAACAAATCAAATGCTCCTGAGACATAAATTATTCGATCGCCCGGTTTAGGAGATTTTCCCTCAGAGAATTGAATAATCTTCCTGGTGGTGGGTAAAAATTGAGATATACCAGTCCATGGTGAATGGGAAGTAGAGTCTCGGCTGATTGAGGATGCTTGTTCCCTATCAGGTGTTTTATCCGATGAATGGTGGTGATCTTTGGTCACAAGGAGCATTCTGCCTACCAAATCGGTAGTTGAAACTCCAGCAGTTCGCTCACATTCCTTATAACGACCAGCAGTTTTAACTAAGCGGTATGTGTCAAGACCCTCAGCATCAAGTGTTATATCATTTCCATGGACACAAAAATCACAATTATATTTATCTAGAGTCTCAAGAGTTGTGACATAGGGAGCACCTTCAACAACCTCATCAACCCATTTGTTGGCTCGAACCATTTTGTACCTTTCCTTTTCATTAAAAACTGGTGGTCCTTTGTGTTTTGCTATCTCTTCGTCATTATGAATACCAACAATTAAGTAGTCACCCATTTCTGGAGTATTAAGAGGAATTAGAGAGCAAAAAAATTAATTTCATAGTCAAGATTGAATTCAAGTAAGAACAAAACGAGAAAAATGAGAGAATAGATCAACACTGTAACAACATAGATTACCAGAAGGAAGTGTAAAAAGATATCTGCTTACCTTTGGCTTGTCTAAGTTGATTTGCATGTCCATAATGCACCATATCATAGCACCCATCACACCAAACTCTAACTTGTTTACGAGCTTTCTTAGAATCGTTTCCATTCATGGTGACTGAGTGATGAAATTGAACAGTAAAGCCGATTCAGATAATTTAAAAGATGTGTGAGGTGCTCCTAAGCCACAACAGACAGATGAGTGAAAAAATATGTGTTGTGCTTTCGCTTGGTGAGGAGAGTTTATTTTTAAATACAGTAAATACATTGAAAGTTGAGCCGATATATGGCTGAGTGGCTCTAGTCCACCCCCTTCAGCCATACAAAGCTTGACTAGCTTATTTATAGTATTGATTTCATTGTACAAGATTAAATTATAGATTATAATTTTTATAATATATATGGGGAGGGATTAATAGTTTTGATTATCAAGTGGATTTACAAGTAATATATCTCCCTCTGTCTCTCTCTCTTTCAATCATCTCTAAAGCCTTTTATCCTTCTACTTTTCAATGTCAGTTTTTACTTTCTTTTCATTTATTAGTCTAGTCATTGAACACTACTGATTCTGTTGCCAATTATCTTATTAAATATCGTGAAAACAGATAGGCTACTGAACTTGATTGTCCGATAACAGATGGATTAAATTGAATTTCAAGTAAAACGACCCTTTGCCCTGTTTTTCATTTCCAGGAGAGATGCATATACACAATTTTCGTCATCGAAATATGATCAATAATCATTTATTAACTCCTCGTCTAAGATATGCTATCTGAATCACCTCTTGCAAACATTAATAATTAACACGCAATATGAAAAGATAACTTTTAACAAGGCTGTATCGATTAGTCTGATCAATAACTAATGCAATAAAACAATTCCTGGAAGAAGTAGAAAGGAAAAATATGCCGACACGAGAAACACAACCAGAAAATTTCTTGATTACACTCTGAGTTTCAATTTACGGAGACACTTGAAGATGAATCATTAGGTTGATTTAATAGATCCCTCCTAAAGTTACATTATGATTACAATTAGAATCAGTAAACTCGATCAATAAACTGAAATAACTGAAGATACAAGCGATATTCAAGAATGCGAATAATCAATTCGATATCAAACATCTTACAGAAACACTTAGTTTCATTGGGCCCCACTAGATGACTCTATATATGCACTAATTTTTCGTATCAACATCGCGGTAACAAAAGTAACATTTGGATCAAAGATTAAGGTTGAAATTCGGTGAAATGTCCAAAATCGTTGCTTCTGAATGGGAAATGAATGGGAATTGGTCTAGCAATTGATGAAAAATCTGTCTACAAGAGGAAAGCTGAGAATGAAAAAAACAATCAATTTAAGGATATTGCTTTAAACCATGCTATGGTCGTTGCTGGTATTAAGTAAAGCCTTCAAAATTTTCTGTCTCTCAAAATGTTCCGTATTTTCATGATTATTATCAAATAAAAGCTTCTGAAAATCGTTTTTTGTGAAATTTATTAAAAAATTTAATCTAATTATCATTCAAATCCAATGTTAATGAATTTTTTGGCAATAAACTAACATAAGTAGGAATTAACAGAATTAACAGATTAAAATTTTCTACCTAAAAAACTATCGACACTTAAACTGTTTATGTTGAATAAACTTAAGCAGTTTAAATAATCGGTATATAGCTGTGAAAAAACAGTCTGAATAAGTCAGTTTATATGTGACTATTGTGACAAACTGTTCAACAATTGACCTGAAGTCAAGCTCTCTGTACCTACCTTTTTTACCTTTATCATATTTTTGCTTCCACGATTATGGCTCACAAAACTGTAAGTACTTCTGAATGTTAGAGTCGACTGTTTACTCATTTTACTGATTTTCCCTTCATCTTTTTTTCAGTCCAAAGATCTCAAATCTAAAAAGAAGCAAAGAAGTGCTTCGTCCAAGCTCCGCAAACAACCTGTGGCTATTGTACGATCCCAATCACGACCTCAAACACGACTCCAATCACGACGAGACAACAACACCTTTACCACTAGAACCGATATTGGCAATATCTCACCTCAAAAGCCCCAGCAACTCTTTTGGTATAAGCGTTTGGAAGGATTGAGAGCGACAATTTTGCGCTCCAATTCTTGTGAAAATTTCGATTTGCCTGACAACATTAAACCAGTGGGACCTTATATTGGAAACGATACAGCCTTTAGGAGTGTCATAAGTTCCCTACATCTTAACCAAGGTCCAATTATCGGACAAACAGCTGAAAAAAGCGTCTTGGAAGCGCACCCGGATGTCTTTTTGGATCCTAAACAACCCTTAGTTGAAACTATGATAATATCTGATGACGATATTCGTGATCAAGAAGAGGTAGTTAACTCACTGCGACGTGAATTGGCCTTAGCGCTACAAGATTATGAAAAAAGTCAATATTGTAAATACCAATAATAATTGTAATGCATTGTATATAACAAAATGAATCGACTTTCTTTTACCTAATATCTTTCTTATATTCAAATAAAAGTGATTTATAACGACTTGAGTTTATTTTCCAATTTATTAATCGGGTTAATTTTATTTTATTATTCTCTATACAATTCTTATTGGATCGTAATTAAGACTCGATCAAGAGATGAATCAACTCATAGTTTCAAGGATTCGCTTTCTTGAAAGTTTCAGCAACTTTTCCTTTTTGTAAGCAGCCAGTGCATTTTCAGATAATAGCTCAGGATCAATTGTGACATCAATATTGAGATTGAAGCACCGGTGCTTTGAGTTTGCTGCATAAAACGAGATCGTATGACACTGAAACACGGTTGTTACGGCAAAGATACAATTAACACAATGAATAACAAATTTGACACAAATGAGCAAAAACGAGCGAAAATTAATTTATTTCAAATTACGACTTTGTTAGTTTGTAGAGACATAAGAACTGAATCCATTTTTGCGATTCAAAAGTTTCTCTGATCAATAGTTTTCAAGAAAATCGAGATCAAATTTGAAACTTCGATCGCTTTTTGTATAAGTTTGAGACCAGCTTTTTTCATGAAACTAATGTTACTGATGTAATTTGCAATTGCTAATAAGAAAATGCACTTATTTTGAGGAATAGAACTTTCCGTTTTCTTTAAAACAGATTAGTTCGATTATTAGTTAAACTGTCCGCATTCTGTGACCATAAGAGTTAGAGAGATGAAACTTATTGTTTATCCATAAAAATTGTTGGTACACATAATAGATCAAATACTTTTAACAATTTAACTACAGTTCTCTTGATTTTAGCCATTGAACTTAAAACTTTGAGCTTCGATATTTCGAGAATGGCATCAACTACAATCATTATTATTTCACTAATCCAATTCTAAACTGCTTAATAATTCAATTATACACATTAATTATCCATTAGCGCATTCTAAGTATATTATTTGGGCTTTAAATGATCGAGCAACATCTTATTTGACAAAACAAACTCATAAAAACCCATTTCTTAGCTTTTAAATCATTTTTCTGGTTAAACTTTGAAATGAAATGCAAAAAGTAATGCCAAAGGCTGAAACATTTGAGTTGAGAATTGAAAATTGCTGGGTTTGTAAAGGAACAAAAACTGTGTCTATTGGTGCTATTAAATAGTTCCGCCGATGGACAGTTACCTAGAAAATCGAGGTCAAAGTTGAAACTTCGATCGCCTTTCGGTCAGCTATGGAAGCAGATTTTTTCACCAAACTATTTTTTCTGATGTGCTTTTTGATGGAGATTCAGAAAGTGGTCTTATATTGAGAAATGACATTTTCTGTTTCTGTAAAATAGATCAAGTTCAATTTTCGGTTATGCCGACTTCATTCTGTAACTTTATCCATTAGCGAGCTGAAACTTATTATTTGTAAATGAGAATTGTTAGCATACATTATGGATTAAATACTTTTAACAATTTATTTATAATTCTCTTGATTTTCGGCCATTGGTCTAAAAACTTCTTACCTAAATATTTCGAAAAGGACATTACCTGCAATCATTATTCTTTGACCAAACATTATATATCATTACGGGCCATAATGTATTGAAATATTGAATCATTCAAGATTCTGAAGAAAAAGTTACAGCATTGTATTAATTATGTTGACAGATCTGAGACTTGGTTTATAAAGTTGAATGTTTATCAAACACAAATCTTATGCACACGAAAGAATCTTCATCAATAAATGAATTAGCTTGGTTTTATACGGTATTTAATCATATAGTGTTGTAGACCATAATGAAATCTAATGTTTGGTCAGAAAATGATGATTGTAGTTGATGCCATCCGCGAAATATCGAGGCTCAAAGTTTTAAGTTCAATGGCCTAAATCAAGAGAAATATTGAAATATTGTTAAAAGTATTTGATCCATGATTTGTATCAACAATTTTTATGGATAAACAATAAGTTTCAGATCGCTAATATATAAGGTCACAGAATGAAGTCGGATTAACCGAAAATTAAACTTGACCTGTTTTACAAGAACAGAAAATGTCATTTCTCAATATAAGACCACTTTCTGAATCTCCATCAAAAAGCACATCAGGGAAAAATAGTTTGGTGAAAAAATCTGCTTCCATAGCTGACCTAAAGGCGATCGAAGTTTCAACTTTGACCTCGATTTTCTGGAAAACTGTCCAGTGGATAAAATATTTAATAGTCCCAATGGACACAGTTTTCTTGCCCTTACATACCCAGCAATTTTCCACTCTCAACTCAAATGTTTCAGCCTTTGGCATTACTTTTTGCATTTCATTTCAACGTTTAACCAGAAAATTGGTTTAAAAACCAAGAAATGGGTTTCTATGGGCTTCTTTTGTTTAATAAGTTGTTGCTCGATCATTTACAGCCCAAATATCATACTTCAAATGCGCTAATGGATGATTATTGAGTATAATTGAATTATTAAGCAGTTTAGAATTAAAATAGTGAAATAATGATGATTGCAGTTGATGCCATTCTCGAAATATCGAGGCTCAAAGTTTTAATTCCAATGGCTAAAATCAAGAGAACTGTTTATGCATTTTTAAAAGTATTTGATCCATGATTTGTATCAACAATTTTTATGGATAAAAAATAAGTTTCACCTCTCTAACTCTTATGCACACAGAATGCGGTCAGTTTAACTAATAATCGAACTAATCTGTTTTAAAGAAAGCGGAAAGTTCTATTCCTCAAAATAAGTCCATTTTCGCATTAGCCATTACAAATTACATCAGTAACATTAGTTTCATGAAAAAGCTGGTCTCAAACTTGTACAAAAAGCGATCGAAGTTTCAAATTTGATCTCGATTTCCTTGAAAAATATTGATCAGAGAAACTTTTGAATCGCAAAAATGGATTCAGTTCTGATTTCCCTACAAACTAAAAGGGTCTAAATTTTATAGAAATTAATTTTCGCTCGTATTTTCCCAATTTTCGTTAAGCATTTGTGTCAATTTGTACACAAAAGTGATAACCGTTTTAATTGTTTCTTTTTAAACAACTGCAACAAAAGCTTATTAAGACTGCAAAATCAATGTGCAAAGCCTCAGGTTCATTGTTAGCCATGGCTAAAGTCCATACAGAAACACTGTGAACAGGTGAATCAAGATTTTAAATGCATTTAACTGAGTCAAGATTGAACTGACATACAATCTGATTAAAAATTGATACTTTTATGATACAAAAGTTATACATTTTGTTGACTCGACATTACTCATGGTTTGTTTTCAGGTGAAAATTTAGCAAATGTGAGTTCAATGGATTCAAGAATGAATTGATGCTTTGATTTATCAATTTGGTCAAAGCAAGTTGGTTTTATTTTTTCAATTTTTAACAAATCTGCTTTTCACTATTCAAACGATTCTCAAATAATGTCTTTACAAATTCAGATTCAATTTCATTAGCAAAGGCTTACAAGCAAAGGAAACCCAATCATTCTTAAAGTGATTGAATAAGCAGCCAGCCATTAGCAAGTTTTGTCAGCATCAATGAAGCCTGACAAAAACATTGGATTCAATTGATTCCTTAATAAAGGCTTTTCGATGTTCTCCATGTTGACTCATTTTCCCCTGAATCAATGGAATGGTGAAAGCTTGTGCTGTTTATTTGTTGCTTAGATTGTGGTTAAATGTGCCATAAGATTTATCAAAAGAAGGAAAACAAAAGTGAAGAAATTAAAATGGATCCTAAAAGGACGGAATGAAAAGTAAAGGTAAAACAATTTGTAAAGACTTTTTAACCTCTTTCCATCTTCACCCAGCATTTTACATGAGAAGGATGATAACTCTTTTAATTTACTCTGAAGATAAGCAAGTAATTACGAGGACAGAAGGATAATACAAAAGTGAACTTAATCAACAAGTAACAGGTTACATGTTAAAACTCCTTCAATGGAGAGGAAATTAATGAACATGTTTCACCTTCATTTGAGCAAATTTTGAGCACATTCATTAATTAGCCGAGCATAGAGATGAACCTTTACCCAAGTTTACCCAAAATGTCAACATTGATGAAACAGGTAAAGACACTTTTGTCATTCTATTGAAAAACCATTAAATAATCATTCAATTGCTGTTTAAAATGCCCGCCTCTCAAGCTAATGTAATGTGTTAGGTAAAAACAGTCATCAGGCCTAATAAGTAAACAAATGAATGGGAAACCTATGAAGCTTGGTGGAAAAGCCGTTCAACATTACATTAACACTCAATATATCAAATCAAATTAATTGCTGACAGCTCACCCAAATAACTACCAACACATTACCCATCTCAATGGTTACACCAGTATGTCTCCTGCCTCTGTATTTGTATTCCTGTCGACAAACCTTCCTCTCTTATCTGTTCAACTAATAAACAGTTTCTTTTCTCTCTTTTTTTCTGCCAGTGAATATCATGTGCTTATGACAAGAAATATAAAAATCACATTAACAAAACTCAGAGGGTTTCACCAGCGGACCGGATAACCGTATTTGCCTCCATTATGGAAACATCCTTTTCAAGTGTATCTTCATCCACCAACCAACACCATTACCACCGTTGCCTCCTCATCACCCTCTCAATAGACTGGCTCAATTCAATAAAGAAGAGGACTAAATTGACTTTACACTGATTTTGTAAAGATGCTGCTGTAAACATGGTAACAACAAGCCAGACTGATTTATCCAGATATCAGTGATTCAGTCATTGTCAACATTTCGCCACACCAATCAGCTTCTTCTCAATGGAACAGATGATTCACACAATTGAACTTATCAAATAATAAGCAACTTATTAATCAAAAAAACTGTTCACATACAGTTTCAACCATTTACAAGTAACAAACCAACAAATGGATTCGCTGATTCGCCTCATTTTTATCCTAAATACAGTTTCCTCATCTTTCATCCTTCATCTTTCAATTTTACCATTTACAAATGGTTATTACAATCACTAATCCCTCCATTTTTGATCCGATTTACAAGTAATTTAATGCTAATCAGAAATGTTATTTCGCCTTCCATCATTCAATCCTTCAATGTATCTCCTGTCAAGAGATGCTAATTTGACCCTTGTCATTGCTAATAATTATCATAACCCACTGCTTAAAACCTTTCCAATGCTCAAACAATTGTCACTCCTAGCAATCATATCAGCCTAATGCATTGCCATGGTTAAGCTCATCTCTATTAATACATGAAATAGCAAAAACAAGCGTAAAAAACAATTTCGCTTTAAGATATGAACACAATTTTCCCATCTCAATGTAACTCATGCAAAATTGATTAGACTAGGGCTTGTTGAATGTACACAGAAATTTTTCCTTTGTCATCAAATTGTTCGAGTTTTTTTTCCTCATCATCATCTTTTAATATATTTCATCTTATTTCATCTTGATTAATTTCAATAAGATTACTTCCAATTGTTCCTTTTTTCCCTCATATTGAATAGTGTACCTAAAACATGGAAGGAAACCTTTTAATTTGAAAAATAGATTCTTTACTTGAAATTAAACTTCAACAATTGGACTCAGTCAGAAACAGTTTGTACTCTTTGATTGTTTCACTTGAAGGTAAAGAAAGATCCTCAGGCAAAATCAGATTAAAATGACTGTTAGAATTGAAAATGTTTGAATCACAAGGAAACAAGCTTGAAACAATTTACTAACAATACTTCTAACAAATCTAATCAAAAATACTTTGAAATGAAAAGAGTTCAAAATGTTACGTTTTCCTGATAAATTACTATTTCATATGAAATTGCCTTTACATGTATTTCAATCATTTGTTTCATTGAAAACAATAAATTGTAAACATATTTATGTAATTCAAGTAAAATTAACTTTTATTTGTTTCTAATCAATATCAATTTATAAATACTTTTATATGAAAAAGACTTGAAAACATTGTCTATTTCAAATGTTGTATTGATAAATAATAAATAACTAAAGGTGACTTGGCATTAAAAAATATGTTTAATGTTAATCAGCTTGAAATCGTGATGATTATAATGTGCATTTCATGATATTATTATGAATATTTGCATGGAAATGAAAAATGTAAATAAAATTACAAACAAATACTCCAAATTGAATGAGCAAGACAAAAAAAAGTGGATCACATTTGAAAATTGATTAGCATAATGGAATCGATTGAGAATCACTTTAACAATGCTTTGTCTGCCAAAGAGTTTAAACATGCTTAACCATTTCAAGTTGAAGTTAAATTGAAGATTCACATGTAAATTAATAATTTAAATGACACTAAACCCAATAATTAATCTTTCAATTTTCAATTGCTGTGTTAATAAGATTTCATCAACACAACAAGTGAGAATATGAATAGATAATGAAGTTTAAGTGCACAGTGTTCTTGATGACTATGATCCAGATCATTTACAATCAATTTTCAATAATGAATCCTATGGAGGTAATCATAATGACGACCAGAAATGAGTAAATCACGAAATCAATTGTTGGCTTCACTTTTGTACAAACAGACAGCGTAAATCCGATATATTAAATCCAATGTAGATCCAATGTATAACAATACAAGTTTGCATTATTCAGCTGCAGAAAATGGTTCCTCTTTTTTTTTCATTTATTTCAAGCAAATAATTGTGAGCATTATTATTGAATAATAATTCCCAGTTCCTCTTCAAGTGAATTAACTCGCTTATTATCATCTCCATTACTTTGTAAGCCATCAAGGAAGAAAGAATGATTCTTATTACAGTGAATATAAATGACAGGAGTGAGAATCAATTTCACTTGTTTCCAGTTTTTTAGGTCTTTTATCATCATCCAACAAAATGCTTCAAATCTTTTGCGTTTCATCTTTCAAGAATCAACAGATTTACTCCCTGCAAGAGAAGAAAAGAATAAAAAAAGAGAAAAATAAATCTAATGAAAACTGGATTCTGAAGAGACATAACTTTACCTTTGATTTGATTCAACAACACAATTTTCACCTTCTTTTATCTCCTTTCCTCCCTGTTTCCATCCTCATCTTATATTTACTGACAGTCAAAAGCACACCTTTACCATCTTGTCACCAAGAATGTTGCCCATGATTTTCAATCAACCTCTCGGTCCATCGATTTACAGGTGAAATAATTTACATTGAAAGTAATGAAACATCAAAAGATTAACGTTAAATCCAGAGGTGAAAAAGTAAACTCCTTTGATTTTCAATGTTCCCAGTGAATCAGGTGAATCCAAAGCTGAAAACCAGAATGAGAAAAAAAATATTAATTAAAATGGGATAAAAATGTGCAATAAAACAAAATTATCATTTGTTATGAATTAAAAATCAACATTTGCAACATCAGCTAATAAACATCCGAGCTTCCTCTTTTCTTCATCACATCTTTTTTTTTGCTAGCACACATTTTTGACAAACTATCAACAGTATCATCATTATCATCACAATCTCTCAATCAGTTCAACCAACCTTAATGAATTTATCTTAATTATCATATTGAAAAAAACAGGGTAAAACACGAGGAAAGCACAGGGTAAGATGAAACAAAACAAAAGGCTAAACTGAACGGAGGAAAAACCAAAATTACAAGGAAAACAAATACAAAAATCTAAACTTGTATTTACATGGTTCTCTTAAAAACTAATCAATAATTAATTATCAAGCTTAAACACTAACCTTACTACATTCATCATCATCATTCTCATCCTCTTTTATCCTCCAATTTGTTTACTCTTTACCTTGTCTATCATCTTCTCATCATCAACAGACTCTTTTCCTTCCCTATTAGACTTTCAAGTTACATCTCAAGACACGCTCTCATCATCATCAACTTCATCTTCATCTTCTTCATCTTCATCTTCTTCTTCCTCCTCCTACTTCTCATCTTCCTTGTCATCCTTCACCTATAGAAAGATATTCACATTGGATAAACCTGAAAAGTGTATAACCTTATCATTGATTCTTTACCATTCAAGTTCATCTCGTCAGGTTTACCTTTTAGATTCAACAATTTGTTGCTCCTTGTTATTGTTATTTAATCAAATGTTTCTTCCAATCAACTATATTAAACTGACTCTACTGTCAACCAGTTAATCATAATAATTATCACTCCCTTTCAATAATAACCAAAATAATTGAGTTAACACCACATACAAATTAAACTATCATCAACCAAAATGATCTTTTCATAGGAAACTCATCAATCTTATTCATCTTTTTTTGGGTTCTTTTCGTTTACTTTTTGTATTTTGCTTTTTTGTTTGGTTAAGTTTTTTTTTGTTTGTTACCTTTCATCTTTGGATTAAATCAAATCACTTTGTTCTCAAGTAGTTAACAACAATAGTTATTATTATTATTGTAATAATTCATCGCCATAATCACCATCAACAACATTTTTATCATCTGTATCAGTGTACAAAAATCAAACATGGATTGCCTTTTATATTCAATCTCAGTGGTTACATTGTTTATCACGGTCATTTTATCCCAAATGATTACAATTTTTGCTCAAAGTAAGTTTACTTTTGATTAACTTATAATCATTTAAAGATTACTTTTGACATACAATACCTTAATCAATTCAACTTTCACTCCCATCTTTACAATTTTACACTCTCAAGAAAAGGGTTTACATATTCAACAAGTGATTTTCATCCATTGATTCAATCTCTTTTATCGATTACCAGAATATGTTCAGCTCTTCATTAAATATTCATATTTATTTAATCTGTATTTTTACATCAAACACTCCACAATAGTTTGAAGCTAAATAACTGTCCAGTTAACTGTCATTCAATCAAATCTTGACAAATCTCAAGATAGATTCATCTGATATTCAAATGACATCCCTGGCTTTTTACAGCTTCATTTGGTAAATTAACTGCACCATCAAAAGTCTACTGTCAAGTAAATTAAATTGCAATCAAGAGTAAATTATATAATATCAATGAATAAACACTCTTTCACATGAACTAGAGTCAATGCACTTACATTATTGGATCTGCTAATTTTGGGTAAAACAGAGCAGCATTTGAATACATTTTTTATAAACTATTATATAATGTATTTCCTTGTACTTACCACATCCAAGTAAATGTTGCATGTTTAATTTAATTTGTCACTTTAATCACATTTCATTTGATTAATTGAACCAGATTCCATTTTACCATTAATATTGACAGATTAAGCAAATCAATCTTATACCATCTTCAACACAAGTTAAAACTCAATCTCTCCAGATATAACTGATTCACCATCAAACAAGACTCGTTAATTATCCAGCGAACAGTGACTTCATTAAATCCAAATAAGAGTCATTCCAAGTAGACTGTTAATCATAGTTTTAATCACAATAAATTAATTACAAAAAAGAGACTAAACTCAAATTAAAAATCACTAAAACAAATAAAGGTTTAAGTCTTGACTTGACTTGACAAATGACAAGACATTTATTAAGCAATGATCGCCACTTTCATAAAAGCGCTATTTTCAAAACTCTTTGCTCTACATTGAAATAATCATAAATCAGACAAAGTAAACATTTGAAAAGGGAAAAAATTGCCTGAAATAAGTGAAATTAAATTAGACGATCAACAATTTACCCTTCATTAAACTTGAATATTTTTCATAACCCTTCTTACATCCCAAGGTAATACATTTATCATTATGTTGTTGCATATAACAGTCAAAATGAAGTTTTAAATAACGAGCTAGATTATTTAATGAGCAAAGGTAAAAGCTATCATTATATTGAAAAGGCTTACGTTTACATTTGTTACAATTTTCTGGTATCTTTTTACCTGAAACTCAAATATTAAACCCATCATTCCAACGGTATCAACATCATTAACATAGATGATGGAAAAGAAGAAGAGGTAAAAACAAAGTTACTCTCATATTTATTAGACTGTTAAAGTATTCAGGTTACTTTAACATGGAATCCCATGATATTTACCTTAGAATCAAAGATATATCTTGTGAATAGACAGAGAGAGAGAGCCTTTACCTTTATTCCTTGTAATAAGACAAACAGAAGATGCTTTTTCCTTTCACCTTTATCTTCATCTTTACTCTCATCTCATCTTTATTATATTTCATGTTTATATACACACACTGTTAATAGTGTAACCATCAACTGTCATCATCAATAATTTATCAACTTAGATACATTAATTTTCACTCGATTGTACCCATTTTCCGGTTAAAAGATTATTCAAAGGTCCCTCCATAAAAATTATGGCAGCCATGTTGATGTGTTGCATATGTTTCTTAATCATAAACATTTCACTTTATCCTAATATCAATATTTATCATTATAACCATCGTCTTAATATCTGTTTATCTTGTGTTCAATCTTAATCAGCATCAAAGTATACACTAAGATCTTCATTTAATTACCAACAAAACATCTGAACCCCATTAAGTGTCTCTTATTGCTACTGTGTTACTCCAATGGTTTGTTTAAAGCTTAGGCCTGGACACTTTTCATGTTAAACCTTTTCATTGGACGTTAATGTAATGAATTCCCATCCTTATTGACCGTTAACCAGCCTAGTTTCATCAAAATTTATTAATTAATACCTGAAAATGGTATATAATGTGTTATACCTTTGTTAGACAATCATTAATTTAAGGCGATTGTTTTATATCTCTTCACCTTTGCCATTGTTTATTCAGTTTACTTTTGTTTGTGCTGGGTTCCTATCCATTTCTACATTCATTTCATGTTCAAGAATTTAAATAATTTAATTAATTCCAACTAACCATTGCAATTACATTGAAATGAATTAAAAAATGTCTCTCTGTTGTGCCTAATAAAACAAGTATTTTTCATTTCTCAACTCATCCTCCTTTCATAACTTACGCTCAATCCATTAATCATTTAAACTTGTCAACATTTTCATATCTAATTGACTCACAACAATTATTGATTTGATTAAAATGAGCAAAGTTAATTGTTAAGTGACACAAACAAAACGAAAACCAACTTCAAAAGAAAGTTAGAATAATTTAAATAATTATTTCCACTCGTTCTTCACCCATTCATCTTACAGTATTGCCATCAAGTTGAAGCTTCCCATTTTTTGCCACCAAAAAAAACGCTTAACCCACTCTCGCTTGAACCAAATTAATTAACCTCTTTATTAACTATTGATTTTACTCAATTATACATTGGATCATCCAACTGAAAATTCAATGGTTTCTCAAGTCTCACAATAGGAAACAATAATCTTGGTGATCACGCAATTGAAATTTATAATAACATTGACATGTTTCCATGTTATTGGACCTAAAAGTTTAGTGTCAATCTTTACCTAACCATTTCAATGATATTTGCACATCTTTTTTTTCATATCAACTATTTCAATCATAATCAAAATGTACCAACATCAAGAGTTGTTTCCTTATAAATTTCAATTGTAAAACTCGATCATGAAACGATTGTAAAATGGAAAGCTTCAATGTGTATTAAATTTTTGACTTCAATTGAATCTCCTTTTTTCAATTGAACATTTTCACTTTGTTTTAAGATTACAATTTATATATCAATATATTTCTTCCTCTTCCTCCTCCTCCTCCAAGTGTATAGCTTACAGTGAATTGAAAAATGCGGGATCAAAATAAAATTGATTATCCGTTAAGCCAAGCAGCAATAACAAAAAAAGTAAAATCAACAAAATTCACAATCAAATTGGAAAAAAAGTGAAGTGAATTGAAAAAGTAAACAGTTTTGAAATGAACAGAGAAACAGCTTGATTGAAAACAGCTAATACCATAGGAAGCTTTAACTGAATATGAATTAAAAAGATGTCGGGAAAAGAGTTGAAATTAAAAAATTGGATGACAATTGTGATTCAAGATTAACCATTGAACAATAGAATGAATTATCAACTTTAAATATTTGATAATCGTGTAGGATGGTCGGTAAATATTGAATAAATAATCAAAAGTACAGTTGAAATGAAGGTTCAACTTGGGTGCAGGTTCATCTGTTGACAATATGCTTGCCATTGTTGCTTGCTTTACGATTTTGTAGTTTCAAGTAAAGGTAATCGCCATTGATATTGTAATAAAATTGTAATCTTAATGGACATTAGAGATGAGCTTCCAGCTTGCTACTGATGGTGACCAGGAGTAAAATTATCCAAGATAATCTTGATGATAAACATTTGTCCAGGTTTGAGAGGGTTTTATCCTTTTCTTTATGTTTATCTTGTACCTTTTAATGATAACAGGTAAGAGAAGCAAATAAATATTACGTGAGTAACATTGAGTTTCATTTTATGAACAACCAACTATATGATGACCGTAATGATGATGACCATGGAGCAAAATTTGATCTCAGATAACTGTTAAGGTTTTAACAAAAGGAAATACAAGAATCTCTGAAAGCTATTAGGTTGACATTAAAAGATGTTTTTATATTTTTTTCCAGTTTATTTTTTACTTATACTGTTGTTATTGTTTTATCAACAAATTGTTGATTCTTTATCTTCATCTTTCCCTTTCATCTCTGCTTTTCATCCTCATCTTTGAGTGTATCTCTTTTTGTGTTGTTACCTCAATAATATTTACTTTGAAATGATTTCACAGAAACGAAATATGAACTTTCTAATCTTTAAGAGTCTTCAAGTTTTCCTCTTGCTTTCCATTTGATTGTCATTTACTGAATAATAACAATTGAACATCCTTTATATCAACAAAATAATGATGATAAGTTGATTGTTCAATATGTTTAACAAACGATCAAAAAAACATTTCAAACTAATAGTCGATGAACACGTAAATCATTATTGAATTGTTTTTATATTGTTGCTCAATTTTTGAAATATTTACCAGGTTCAGGATTAAACCAAGAGTAAAAATTTCAAATCACAACAAATCGATATTTTCAATTTTGCTCAATCATGGTCAATCTGAAACTGTTAACCTTTCAAGCCTTAACAGTTGATTCAAAATTCATTCATTTACACCTGAAGATACCTTGCAGCATCTTTTCCATGTCTATTGGTTTCGAGTTGTCTTTGACCATTATTGATGGTAATTGATTAGTTTGCAGGTTAATTAATTGATCCTCCTTCATTTCAATTTGTTTTTAGCTTTTCTGGTTTTTTTTGGTCCAAACAACATCCAGAATGATGAGTTGATAATGATGTATATTAATCAAGGTTGATTAAAAGGTATTTCTGGTTGGTTGGTTTGTGTTTGCCTGTAATTAGAGAGATAAAGAGTAAAATAAAGATTAATTTGTTGATATAGTTGGTATATAAAGGGTAAAAATAGTGCTTTACCTAATAGTAAACCTGAGGAGTTGAGAAGAAAAACAATTTCCTTTTGTGTTGATACAAGGAATAATGGAATGAATTTTTCGTACGATTTGCCAATGTTATTATCTGGTAGGAAGCTACATTTGAATATGACAGTATTTAAATTAAACGGGAAACTTGTGAATACATAATTAAATTGATAATGATGCAGTTGAAAGCAAAGGAGATTGCAGTTAAGGTGATGATTATGTTAACTGTCAATCACAATTTTTCCTCATTATATTCAATTTTATGCTTTGCGCCCAATTAACAGTAAAATATCTGCAATAAAAATAGAGATAAATAGATTAATATTTAATATGAAATAATTGGAGAGAAAATATTGACTTACCCTTCAAATTGTTACAATTCACATTGATTTCATTATCCACTTTCATAGACATTTTCATCAGCACCTAATAAAGCTTGGACAATTGGTTTAGGACTTTAGTCATTAAGTTATTTTGGGTTGGTTGGGTTGGATATTTGATTGGGTTACTGTAACAAGACTAAAAAGATAATCACTAATAGATTGTTTTGTCTATATGGTTCATAAGGAAATGTTGAATGGCTGGTTAACATTGACTAAGATTTATTTGCGATATAATTATGTGGATGAGTCAAATACAGATGAAGATGATGAAGATTATTATAACAATAATTATGATGGTTTGTTAATAATAGTGAAAGCACTTTCACTCTCATGAGGTTTACATTTAAAATGCATTGCATTTCAAATTTGCCTCTCAATGATCTTATCAATGGACTCAACTTCATCTCAGATTTCATTTTTATAATATAATAGACATGAACCTCTCAAGAGTCCTTAGCTTTTTTTCCCTCTCTTTCTTCAATATTTTATCTAGCCATCTTCATCATCTTTTTTATCGTTATTTTTGCATAAACTCAATGATCTATGATAATGCATGAATTGTCACATTCAATATGAGAGATTGAAAAGAGATGACGAGAGAGGAGACATTAAAAAACAGCTTCAAGAGCTACTTACCATCCACATTGGCAAAAAAGAACTAGAAGATGACTCCAATAAAAATGTGAAATTTGACAAATAATCAGACAAGAATGAAATCTTTTATCAAATTAGTCCATTTTCACATCATAAATTAACACAATTTATTTAAATAATTCCATGTAAACTAGTTGATATTTCTTGAAGACTTAGATGGTTGAGACTAAAGACCATTGAACTTAAGCTTTAAATAATCACTTGTTACACATTAAATACATCATTTATGTAGCTTTAGACTTCATAAATAGCGTAAATTGTTGATTAATTTGCATAAATTGGTCAAAGCAGACAAGTAAATCAAAAAATATTTAAGAAGAAACAAGAAACTGAAAAAAGGGTGAAAGGTAACTTATGTAATCTGATACGCGTTACAATAAAAATATAAACGGATTTAAGGTGACATATACTCATTAGATGGCAGTGTTTCAGAAAAGCTGAAATCTCGCCTTTGATTTTTGATCAGCTTTTTTCATTTAATTTGCCTATCAATTGATTATTGTATGTCAATATTTTATTATCCTTTGTTGGTAACTATTTAATTGATATTTTAATGTTTAATTTTAAGATCCACCTCGACCCGTTTCACGTACGAAAGGAATTGATCGTAAACTTGCTGTTGAAGAAGGCTCTTTAGCAGTTCTTCCATGTCCAGTTGATCGAGATGAAAATATGTTTATTGAATGGTCCAAAGATGGTTCCTCATTGACAGTTTTTGACAGCCGTCACCGTCCAACTGCAAGCGGAAGTCTTCGGATTATAGATACAGAATTAACAGATTCAGGAATGTACAAATGTTCAGCCATAAATGGATTTGGTTCTGTGGAAATGACTGTTCAACTAATAGTTTTTGGTAAGTGTATAACCCAATTCAAATACAATTTAACTTTACCATTTGGTCAAAAGTTAACCATTTTTATACCCATTTTCATACCTTGGCATTTCAAGTATCCTAAAATACATTTAAGATGATTCGGAAAACTGTTATTTTTCAGGCAAAAAAGAAAATCTAAAATAGCTAGAAAAAAGATTGAAATTTCTTGCAACATTTTACTTCTCTTTATGGTTATGACCTTTACTTTTGTTTGCATGTTTATGCTCAAATTTTGTCTTCTCCAGGTTACCTGGCTATTTCATGGTTCCAGTGCTTCTTCAATATTACATTATCATTATCATTATTTCACCCATGAGAGTGATTCTTGCAGTTATATTGTAATATGTGTATCTACTTTAGTTAAAGGTTACAATTTTCACCCACAAATTTCCTTTAAATAGTCGTTAGTTATACCTCTGAATGTACAGCCCTGCGTTTATCAATTTATCAAAAAATGTTGTTCATCAGCTCTTTTTATATCTTAATGATTTACCAAGTAATAAGAAGATGCTATTTATCAAAATTATTAATTTCCAGAATTTCCTCAACATGAAGATTACTTTATAATGAGCTTCAACCCATAAGATAAAAAGCACAAAATGAGTGACAGATTTTACCCAAAAATTAAGTCAAAGGATATTAATGAATGATTAATGTTTAATGTTTCAACCCTTTTTGACTAACCGTAGTTGCTATCAAACTGTAAATGCAAATAATACATTCAAATTGACATTTGAATCAAACTCTGAAACAATCAACAAGTTATCCAACTTGAAGTCGTGTTTAAACATGTGATAAAGGTTTGTCTCATGAAATGCAGATTTGAACAATTAACAGTCTCACTTGTTAATTGTGAATCAATCAAGATTCCAGTGTATTGATTTGTTTGCGAAGAGTGTTTCAGTTAGATTAGAAAACAAAATGAACGATAAAACAAACCAATGAAGTTAATTGTATTGCTGTCAACTCGATACCTTTTACCGTATTTTTGCCTTCTTATTGTAACACAAACAGATTGGTCATAAATCTTGATTATCATTAAATTATCAACCACCAAATGAAAGAAAGAAGATGAACATTTCCATTTTGATTTCCATGTCCATTGGTGGTTACAATGGTAAAAGGATTCATGATGTAAAAAAAGGTTGAACAACCTGAATCAACAACTATCTTATCAAGCCCATGTTAATAGGTTTGAATCAGAATTCCTTTGAGATTTTTCTCCTTCTTCTCATTCATCTTCATCCTTTTTCTCCTCCACATTTAATGGGTGAAGAAGATAACGGATTTTAGGGTGAACAAGAGCAAGAAAACTAAGATTCAATGGTTTCAATCAGTTAACTAAAGGTTCATTGAAAGATATTTCCAGTTCAATATAGTCAACTGTCAACTAAAGCTATTCACAATGATATTACAACAACAACCATTATTTCTGGCTTTCCATCAAAACTGTGAGAGTTGAAAAAAGGCTCAAAATTATCATTGTAAATGAAATACCAAATAATTTAATGGATCACATTCAAATAACCATACCATTGTCAAATTGTCACTAGATGAGTGATAAATTTGTGTTTTAAATTTGCGTTAATTCATCAGGAAAACAAACTGTCACCAATCAAAATGACAATCAAAATAATAATAAACTGTTTACTAAACATTGTTTTTGTCCATCATCATAATCATTAATAATAAAGCTAAATAAAGATGATATTTTGCTACAAAATGATTTTCACTCGAGTTCAATGTTTGGTTATTTGCACTTGAAATTGATTTTTGTAAAATTTTCATCTTCTTTTTACATAATACATAATGGAGTTGATGATTGAAAAGGATGATGTTTTGCATCTTCAAGGAATGCCTTTCATTAAAAATAGTCTTTCTAGTTACTCTATTTATTTAACAAACAGCTAGGAAGAGACAAGAAAAAGATGAGGATAAAATTTACTGTTAAGCTAGCTTAACTAAGCTCTGAATGAGATGAAGATGAGGCTGATTTAAAAAGGGAACAACAAACAACTGTTTCAATAGGATTTTTTTGTATTCCTACTTGCCTTTTGCCTATTCTGTTAGTGTGTGTGCTTTCAATTTTTTGCTTCAACAAAACTGTTGATCCGATTTGAGGAGGGAATCAGAATGATGAAGATGAAATACTCATGAGAGTTGAAACTCTAATGGTACCAAAATTGCATTGAAATTGTGATACAAATACGCTTCAATAACCTCATTCAATCTCTATGTTTGCGTCTTGTCATCACAATCAGACAATCTTTCATTTTCCCTTTTAATTGTTGGATTACTATTTAGATTTAATGACTATTAATCAAGCTGATCAGCTTCCTGATTAACATGCAGCAGACTCATGAAATATACTCTTGGAATCTGATTCACTAAAGCAACCACTCAAGTTGCTATTCAATTTTGTCAAAATGAAACCATCAACTATTGAAATTGATTTGTCATATCAAATGGTCAGTTTTGAATCAATGTAACTCTACTTTTGTTTCAAGTATCATATGAACTGATTAACTTATGTAAATGGTCAATTTAAATGATCAAATTACAAGTCGTTTAGGGTAAAGAATTAAAACATTATGCTAATTTAATTAGATTATTATGATTATTATATCATTAAGTTTGACTTTTTTGACTTTCACAATTAACAAAAGTGTATTTCTATGAAAAGGGAAACCAAAACTGGCCAATATCAAGTTAATGTTTATCACCTTAATTTGTTACTCTGTGTTTCATTATCATGATTATCACCATTCAGCATCTCATGATCATTATCATGTATTATTACATTTTCATCTTGTTTGCTTCTGTTTCTCTTTACCTGTGAATGGGTTTGTTGAAAATGTTGTTTCAGTTGTTGAAAAGGGAAAAGCTGAAAGTGATTTACGTTTGAGTAAACAAAATGAATTTACCTAATGTTGTTATTCAGGATCATTTTATGGTGCAATTCTTGGTGGTAATTGATCAAGAATGAATAAATGAAGATTCAGTTTCCATGAAAGTAACAAGTAACAACCTGAGAATCCTCAAAATTCCATTGAGAATCATTCCTTTTCAATTTCTCCTTATCAAGTTAACAGCATAAAAAGTCAATTAGTAAATCAGATCACCAAATTCAATATTATCTTTCAATTCAATATTTAATAGTTACTCCATTCAATGGCGGACAGTTCAATGTAAACATGATGTTGTTAAACGCCTTAGGATAACTTGATTATTTCATCTGAATCTTCAAGAAATCATCAATAGCTTGAATCAACATCCATCAACTTGATACAAATACAAATATTGAAAACAAAGACAGTGTTTGTTAATATTTACAATGTGATTGTTGCAATTATATAATAATTACATCAAGATGATACAAAAATATTGATTATGTTAATGGTTCAGTTAACTGTTTACATTGGACTCAAAATTGTTTCCAATTATCATATGAAAACATCTTTACAAAGTCAATATAAATTCAATGAATAAGCTCATTGTTATTAAAATTGTTTTTTTGTTGTTCAAAACAAGATACTTAGAGAGACGTTCAATCTTTTCTGAAATGAATCCATTCTTAATTCCGAATCATCTTGAAACGTTGAAATACCTTTTGATTGTTTTTCTTACATTTTGTATTATTTATCGTTATTAATAGATAAAAATGGTCTACCAATTTCAACCACTACAACTGCTCCTAAATCAACAACACCTTCAACTACTTCAATTGCGATGCTGGAAATTGAAAGAATTGATGAAGATTCAACATCTTTTTCAGGTAAGTAATTGGAAGTCAATAAGCTTCTTACAGAAAAAACATGTTTTTTCATGGTTTACTTTGAAGTTTATCATTTCTTTTCACCCTGATACACCAGAGAGTTGGATACCATTGAGTAAATTGTTAGGAATCAATTTAATTTAAACCAGTGGAACCCTCAAATCTACAGTAAAAAAAAGTTTCACTTCATTTAAGACGAAATGTAAGGTGAAAATGAAAATTTTTATTGATGACAACAATTGTTTACAATTTACAGAATATTGATTTAAGATGGATTTTCCAGTGAAATAATCCGATTTGATCAAAATTACAAATTGGTATCAATGGTGGAAAAAATGATGAAAATCAATTTCCTAACCTACTATAAGAAGATATTTAATTTGGATTAATAACAATTTCTTTATCACTTCTTTTAGTTGACCCAATGGATTCATTTGATGCCATCAGTTCATTAAATCCATCTCATGGACCTAAAATATCGGGATCAACCAAAGCTGATGACATTTGGTCGGACAAATTAACATTGCCCTTTGTAATTGCGTCTGTTGGAGCAACTTTTCTAGTCTTAATCATTCTCTTGCTGTTATTATCATATGTTAAACTGCGCTCACCGATTAACCCTAAATTTAATCAAGTTCTTGACCGATCCAATGGTCTGTTTGGTGCTGCAAACAATTTAGACCACGAAACTAGGCATTACAATATGTATCCAATAACTGATGCCAACAGCAATAACCACAGTACTTCACTCAATAATCATTCAACTCCGGGTCATGCAAGTTTCACTGGATTAACAACACCTTCGCACCACTCACATCATCCTCACCAACATCATCACAGTCTTCATTCAACTCCACCAAGGCAGCCGTCATTTCCACCTCCTCCACCGCCCACAATGCCACGTCCAGTGAATCAAATGACTCCGTCCCATTTTACAATTGTATCTCATAATCATTCAAATGAGCTTAGGACTGTTCCCAGTGATAAGGCCAGTTCACCAGTTGACTCGTCTGTAATTTACGAGTCACCATTGGAGTTTGATCTTAAACCCAATTTCGCTATGAAAACACCTTATGGTTATCTTTGTTGATCAATTATAACTTCAACATTATACTGCTTGTCCCCAAAATATTGGATCAAAAGAGCATCCAAGATCAAACCCAAGTCTTCCAATTCATCAAACACTGAAAGGAACATGAATTATTGTATAAAATAGCTAAAACTCTAGCCATTAATCAACTATTGAAATCACATCCATTGTATATTTGATCACGGGCAATCTTTAGAATTATTAATATCTAGTTTTCTTAATGGAAACATCTTTGTAAAAATTTTGTACAAATATCATCATTTCCTCTTCTATTCTCGCTGTTGATTTCATTTTTAATATCATCTCCATTAATAATCATTAACATTCTAGTTGAACCTACTTGACTGATTAGACTTTGGATAGCACTTGATGTAATACGAGCTTCACTTGGATTCAGTTTCATGACCAATCTTTCTTAATAACGAATCTGATTTCAAGATATTTTGTTTTTTCAATTTAATCTTTTCTATCAAGTAACAAGTCTAAAAATCAAGTAATTTTTATTGTAACTCACTTATAAGGAAACAAATCTTTTGATATTACAACAAATGATCTAAAATCAATTTGAATATATTTAAATTTTAAAAAAACTATGATTCAGTAAATGATGTGTAAAATGTCTTTGTATTTAAACTTTTCTTTCAATGTTGTTTTGTATGTTTCTTATTAGATGTCAATGTAAATACAACTGCTTAAAAAAATATTAATACAAAAATAAAATTGAATACAATTAAAAAAAGTGCTTTTGAACAATTGAATATTTTAAATGTTAACATGAGGTAGAAGCCCGATCTTCTGATTGATCAATCCTTGATTCGCCAATCGGACAAAATGATACAATTTGATTAAGAAAATTTAAAATAGCCAATACTAAATAGCTCAATGTTAGCTCAATTCAGAATCTTTTTGTTTTGTCGTTTCATTGCCAATTTTGTGTTCTAATTCCTTTCGTTGTTTATCTTGACCCATTTGTCTCTTTTTTTGGTAACGGCTGAGATCCATAACTAATTTCAATTCACGATAAAAAAGTTTAATTGTTTTTCGGAATTTTGCTTCTTCTCTCTCAATTTCGTCCGGATCGAGATTCAAACCATAGTCTTTTTCAATATCATCAATCCTGGCCTCAATATAACTTAATCTATTTTCTAGTCGAGATTTAACACCTAGAATATGTTCAAGTAATTTCTTTTTGGGAGTATCGACATGAGTATCGAGAGGTGATAATTTACTAGTAGATTTTTGATTAATAATCTCTTCATCGGCTACTTCGCAATCACTTTTTGAAGGGTCCTCAATAATTTGGTCAACTTGAATGTTATGTTTTACATTAGCTTTTGAATTGGAGGGTAATTTAAGGTAAATTTGATCTGGACTCGCGCTTGATTTATCGCTGGTTAAATTTTTAGCAGGACTTGAATCTTTGATTGATAAATAAGACTTTAAAATTGAAATTTCCTCAGATTTGGTTTCTTTGCTTGATTTAAGTAAAGTTGATTCATCATTTTTTATCGATGGTTTGTTACATAAGTTAAGATTAATTGATTCTTTAGTTCCTTCTAATAAAGAGATTTGATTTTTGAGTCCATGAATTATCCAAACACATTCCATAGCGGCATCAAGAAGAAGATTAACTGCTGCAACTTTACTTTCTTGATTGTTTGAAGACTGTTCCTCTGTACTTGAGAAACAAGGTAACTTTCCTTTTTTCAACCAGAATGAATCATGACAATAACGACGACTTGCGTAAACTTTTTCCGGGTTTTTACAAACGTAGCAAGTGTAAGCATTGGGAAGATCTTCATTTGTTTCAATTCCAATGCATGTAGCATGTTGCCATGAACTACAATATTCACATTGCACTAAAATACCAACATCTTTGGTAGACTCACATATGCACTTGATAATATAATCACACAAATCACTTTCATGAATTTCTGCAAGTTCCTTGGGATCAGCAAATGGATACTCCAACCTTGGGATTGGCTTTAAATTTAATTCAATATGCATTGGTTTAACACTTTTTCGAGCTCCATCCTCAAAGAAGACGATATAATTTCCATTAGTTAAAATTTGATCAATCATTCCAGGATAACGTCTTCCATCAACCCAACGAGCAAGTACTTTGTCACCCAAACTATACTTGGCGGGCTTTTTATCATTGTTCATAATGGTAACGACAAATGATTGATAAACATAAACTTTGATATTTAGAAAAGCTGAAAATTATAAAATATAAAAGGACATAAATTAAAATCAAGAGATGGCAATAATTAACGTTAATTCAATTTTAAATTGCTTAATATCTTTGCTTAATAAAGCCATACTTACGCCATCTAGTGAGCACGGAAACGCTATGGAACAGCTGATGATTTGTTTTCATCATTTAAGATCCAGTAGGTAATTAAAGTTCAATTTACAATAAGATTTTAATTCATTTGTTTCAAATCATAGCTTCAAAAACAGAGATCTCGAATATTTCCAAGTGAACTGCATTTTACCAGTGTTTTTTTGGTTCTTCTTCTTCTTTCTAACTTTGGTGGTTTAATCTCATCTCTGATTGTTTCTTTAATCTTTGGTGGTGATTCGATTTCTTTCTCAATAAAAATATTTTTCTGCTTCGGAAATATTATTCTGGGGCTATTTCTATACTTGAAAAAATATTTCATTGCATATATAAACAGTACCACCATTGAAATTAAAATAGGAACGAAGTACAAAGCAGGAATATGACTAAAGAAAGAAGCAACAGAAGCTCCAGATGTGTCGGCTAAGAGTTTCATTGAATGTGAGAAAATTTTGGTGAAGATGGTGAAAAATGGCGTGATTGGATTAGTCTGCCAAAATGGAGAAACATACAATGCAGAATAATAATCTTGACACTCATTTTTGGAGCTTTTAAAGCTCATAACTGGTAACATGCTCTTCAACCAACCAGACCAATCTTGATCATCTTGTTGAGTGCACTTCGATTTGAGACGATCTATGGTTTCCTGAGAATGAGCTTTATGGGTTTCAAAGAGTGAATTATATTCGACAATATAAACCACACTCATGAAGGAAAACAAAATTGCATATAACCGAGTCTGAGTTGACATTTTTAAACCAAACCAAAGAACAACTAAAATGATTCCAATAGCTGTGGTACCATATTTGTATAGATCAGTATTAACAACATTATTTGACTTGGGAATGGTGATCACCACAGAAGATATTAACCGATCAATAAGAGGGTTAATTTGGACTAAATAATCACAGTCCGTGAGGTTAGAAAAATCAAATGGCAAATCAAAAAAGTAGTCATCTAGGTTCACATTCAATCCAATTGTTGATCCACTGTAATATCGACTATCAATAAGCTTTGACAACTTCATTATGAGCCGTCTAACTATTAGATAGCTAAGTTTGCCACAATGGTCATTTCGAGCACAGTCATAGGTCAATCTTTTCTTAGCTTCACATTCTCTTAATTTTTGCTCCACTGCATCACAGTTAGACTCAAATTGATCAGCATTTTGTTGAGCTTCCTTTTTCCTTTTAATTACCATTTCAACAGCTGTTTTCAGTTTGGGTTCACGATTAGTTTTGGTTGCAGGATCATAAGTAAACATGTCTCCATAATCAACCCAATCTGATTTATCCAAAGATTTGTAAAGCAATTTTTCAGAGTCATCCAAGTCACTTTCCTGTGGATTGCCTGATTCCTTTGCAGACACAAGAAAGGCAAAAACAAATTGGCAGACAACTGTAATGTATAGACAATTTACAAGACAGTATCTCATATTGATTATAGATGTTAAGACACACAATTAAACGTAAATATCTAAAATAGAAGATAGCCAAACATTTGAAAGGATAAGAAATTAGAAACAAGAATTAAATAATCTGAAAATTCTGAGGTTTACCAACATTTATCTTTTCCATGAGTTTAAGCTAAACCAGCATTTTAGTAAACAAATGAAACGAGGGAACGAGGGAGATTGCAAAAATTGAAAATTACATTGAATACAAAAACTTCTAATGACTAACAATTTTTAATTGTGTGATAGAGGAAATATTTCAATATCAATTAATTTAAATATAAAATTGTGCCTCACCAACACTTGTTAAATTCTGGATTGGCATCAGATTTCAATTTCACAATGTAAACAACCAAAGTTATCCAATTATTTCTAATCGACCCCTGATTGGGCTGATTTTGATTTTTTTGAATTGAGTTTAATTTCAGTTTATTTAATAATCGATGGACTTGGTTGAACATGATAACCATGATTGGATAACTTTAGAGCTCCTTTTCATAAAGTTAATGAGAAAATCAAATTTGATTATCATAGTCGATGACTTAATTTCTATTAAATATTCTAATTTGCTATCATTAAAATTTTATTCCTCGAATCCATCATTTTGTCTCGCAAAACCCAAGTAATTAGTAAAATGATAAAGCATTGGTAATGTTAATTATTTCATGATATCATATTCTAGGGTGTTTCTTAATCATTAATCCTCTAATAGTCAGTAAATATTATTTTAATAGTGACATTATTAAAGTACTTTGTAAGAAGAGCTTTAAGTTGATGATTTATTAACAATAAAATGATGGATGAAATTAATGACAAAAATAAATTTACACATTAAAGAAAATTGGTTATAAAGGGTGAAATTTTTAGATGTAAATGAAAATAAGTCAAGGAATCACAATCTCCATTCTGATTCTCTGAGACTTGGTAAATTATCAATTAATGTACATTTCAGAAATGGGCCAAAGAGGCCATAACGTAAATAATTTTAAGATAAAATGAGGTCTAAATGAGATGAATGAATAATAACAAGGAAAATATAAAAACTAGATTCAATGAAGGATTTACAAGGGTTTTTTACTTGGTTCATCGTCGACCAATTTGGAGCCCTTTGAAAGCTCTTTAAGTGCTACATAAGCTTCGCCACAACTGTGTAAGAAGATGAGCATTTGCATGCCAGGAGGACCAGCACATGAATTAACCAATTGTGATGCCATATGAGCTCCATTGAGAATAGCAAAGATGAGAGCAATGTAATGGATATAATTTTTGAACCAAAGATGTTGACGGAAAGCGGCTCCAGGAGAGGCAAGTACATAATAAGCTGATCGAAGAACTGACAAAATGGCATCGGTAAAGGGTAAAAATAGGAAAGCACCTCTAGCGTACATTCTGAGGCCAAAGTAAACAACCAAGATGAGGCAACTATTACGAAGAGCGTGGTAAATTGGTTTCTGGCCAGGTTTGCCTCGAAGAATCATTACTGCAGTTGTCATCATTTCAGCCACCTTTAACCATAGATAAGTATAACTGAGTCGCAACAGAGTTTCCTCGATGAAAGGACTATCCTTGGGCTCCTCACAGTCCCAACATTTAACACCAAAGTTGGTTAACCAGCCAATGATGGGAATTGCAATACCATAGACACCAAAGTTAAGTCCATTGAGAACAAGCATCCAGGGTCGAAGATCAAAAGCTGATTTGGATGAAGACATTGAGGAACCCAATTTCCAGGAGATTAATAAATAGAGGCCGATGAAGGTTCCTATATGCCATTTAGGGTTGTTCACTAGGAAAAAATCGGCAACTCTAGGTTCATGGTATCCACCAGAGAAGATTGATTCAATTTTGTTGGTAATTACTTCCATTTTTACAAACAAATTGTTTACTGGTAACTGAAAATATATAAATGGTCACAAAAAGATTGAAACAAAATTAATAAATTAAGTCGAACAAATTAGGTGGATTGAACAAAATGAAATACTAACATACTTTTCAATGGTGATGGTGCGTAACAAAACTTCACGTTATTTGAAGATTAAGATGGTGGTGGTGGTGTATTTGTTGTAGTGATCTGTTGGACAGTCTTATACGATTTGATTGTTTGAGAGTGAAATGTTCCACGAAAAAGTTAAATTAAGAGGAAACTTTTAAATAAAATAAGAATAAGGTAATTTAAGGTAAAATGTTACTTATCATTATAATTTTCCTATTATATTTATACGCTGTGTGACCTGTTTAAGGTTAACAAAAATGATTAACTAATCCTACAACAAAATGCGCTCTAAAAAAGAAATGATTCTCACCTTTTATTTTAAAACATCCTTTTCCTTTGAATTAATTATCTATTTTGGTGACAATCAATATATTACTGGAACAAAGAAAAATAATAATCAACGGTTCAACTATTAGATTCAACAATTTAAAATAACTAGACTTTACAGCTAAACTGAATACAGCTGACTGTGACTCATGTAACACATGTAACTTACCAAGTCCATTGTTTGTATAAAATTAATTTTGTGAAAACAAGTTTATTTACATGGAAATTTTGGTTACAATTAAGGGGAAAATGACTGAATTTTTGATGAATTTGTGATTTTATTTGATTATTCAATTAAATTTGTTAGATTTGTTGAGGAAAGTTATTTATCAACAAACTTAAAACGGAAATTTTTCAAGTTTAAGAGGAAGGAAAGATCGAAATAAAAATGGTAGCTCTAATTTTTAGGGAAACTTAACATTCTTGAATCAAATTTTCGTTTCTTTATCTTTATCCTTTTATTAATAATATTTATTTTTACATCAAATCATAAAAAAATTATGTCGGACAATCTGATTCAATAATTTGTATCAATTTCAAAGAAGCAATTGAAGTTCATGATGAAATGTAAAGATCTTTATTATTCATTGTACAACATTGTAATGACATTGATTTTGATCTTATTTTGATCAATCTCCAGGTTTTGGACATAAAATCTGATTTACAAACCAGAAAATTTGTTTGGTATAAACCATTGAAACCCATATTGGTCCAGCAATTGTAATTCAAAAGACAACTGAAGATTGGTTATAATTTCATGTTTTGTTTTATTACCTACCTTTCAAGCCAACTAATTATCAATAATGAATAATCTTCGTTTTCAATTAAGTTGATGGTTAGCCTTGAACTTCGCCATCAGCAACCTGAATGAACGAAAAGCTGAACAAGACCAGGAAAAAAAGTCAAAAAACCGGATATTTTGAAGCTCAAAGCGCATCAAATATCATAAACCGCTAAATAAACCAAGAACAAGCTAAAATATTCAGATAATGGGATGAATATCTATTTAAATGTATTATCATGTTTCCTCAAATTAAGCATAGATTCAATGATTAATCCTAATAGAGCTGAATCAGCTTGTAATCTGTAACTTCAGACTATCTTGATCATGAAATTGGGTCAAAGATTTGATATCATGATTTCATTTTGCTCTCTTCTATTGTTTAACAGGTAAACAAGCCATGAATTACACCTGAATGGTTAAGATTGAAGTTTGTCCACTATTTGTTAACATCAAAGCCAATTGAAGATGGTCATTGTTAAGAGATGAAATTACCGCTGATCTAACCAAATATGAACCAAAATAACTTGTTGGTAAAAGGTCTTGGGAGTTGACGTCAATTGGGCAGCAATTTAAAAGTGAAACAATCAAAGACAAACGTTGAAAACAAACAATGTACTTAAAATTGTTTAAATTAGTAATTAATGAGAAGCAAAAATCCCTTTTGATTTAAAATTATACCTAAATTGGTGATGAATCTTTCAGACATTTTATCCTTGAATTTTTCTTCACCTAAAAACCAGTTTATATTGAATAGAAAGCAAATATTTACTCTTTCAATGTTGATAACTTTTCATTTCTCCACTTAATTAATAGTTTTGTTTCTAACATGTTAGACTAACATTGTAAACTTCCTTCATGATGAGTGATGAACAATAACAAGATTGGAAAGTAAAATGATGAAATATTCTAATCAATTTAATTGTTTCGTTTAACCTTCCCAGGTATCATGTAAGAATACATGAGACTGGAATCCAATTGAATCTCGGCAACTGTAAACAACTTAAGATTTGGTAGCTCTTTCAGCAAAACGTTTCTTCATTGCTTCAATGGGTTCCACGAAAATCTCAGTCCAAATGCTAGACAAATCACTTTCAAGTCGCTTCAACCAATTGTTGACATTGGCAAGTTGATTCACATTTAAATCGTGGGCCTTGATGGATAAAACAGTAAACGCTAGGGCAATATCAGCAAGAGTCAAATTATCACCAGCAATATAGTTTCGTTTCGATAAGATTGAGTCAAGTGTTCCAACATGGTTCACAATGGCTTCACCAGCCTTAGCGTCGGGCTTTTCAGATTCACCACGAAAAACAGGTGACATATAGTTTCGTACAGCACTTGATAGGGTTGCCGTTTCCCAGTAGAGCCAGCGATTGATTGAAGCTCGTTTGTGCATATCTCTTGGGTAAAGGTGATTATCAGGAGCATATTTTTCAACCAAGTAGGTAATAATGGCTCGACTGGATGAAAACAAAAGACCAAAATTAAATCACTGACAATGTTGTACAAAGAATGTGTATTTACCTTTCAAATAGCGAGAATCCATCATCAACAATAGTAGGAATGGTGTGAAATGGGTTTAACTATAACACAAGGAAAGGATCATTAATCATAATTGTGATTATTAGAACCATGGAAACAAATACAATTCCAGATATGGAGTGAATTTGAAGTAAAAATGATACAATAATAAATTTATATATAGACTTACCTCAAGAAATTGAGGTTGAAGATGTTCCTTTTCCCTCATGTTTAGCGTTTTTTGTTCATACGGTATGTTGAGATGTTTAAGGACAGCGTAAACCAATCGACAAGGTGGTGAACCCATTGATGCATAAAGTTCGAGAACCATTTTGTTGAAAATTAATAATTTCAATATAAAACTGAATAAAATAATTAAAAACTAGAAGAGTGAAAATTGAATGGAAAACCGTTGAGATTACTTTTGACCGAATGAGTCAACTTGAGCTGTTTAGCTTTCTATGGGAATGAATGGAAAGCAGTTGCTCATTTTAAGCAAAATTGTTATCATAATTGAAAGTATTTTTAACTTTATTTGATTATTGAGCTTAGCAATTAAGCTAATAACTTTAATCTAATGTACCAAGGTAATTCTGCGAAGCTGTTTGTTTTCAGATTATCGAAATGTTAAAGGTTGAAATTATCAATTCTTAAATGATAAATACAAATGTAACATAAGTTTTATGAGTAAATCTGGTAGACAAGTAAACCAAATCCAGAAGCGTACATTCCTCAAGTCCATCTTGTTTGGGTTAATCTTGTTGATTCCTTAAGCAAATCTAATATCAAAGTCGTTATCATGCTAGTTGGTGATCAAAATATTTCCCTGTATTTACTGTCTTATTACGCCTAATATTGTAAGCACTTGAAACGTCACAAATGTCCATCAAACTTATCTCACGAGTAATTCAAGATTTAGATACAGATGACATTTAATGTTACTGATTTTTAATCATTTTTCATTGAATTCCTCAACTATTCACGAGACCTCCAAATACCGCCTCATCGTTACTTAATGTACAATCATATTGTTTAGCTGAGGATAAAAATATACCCAAAATGATTAAAAGACGCTGTACAAGGTTTTTAATCAGTTTGATCAAAGATCGCCTGAGATGTTTTGAAGAGTTTGAATCCAATTGTTTTTGAATTGTATTACAATTTTATTTGTTTTTTTTCTGTGCTTTACAATCGAGTAAATTTTGAATACAATGAGTTAAATTTTAATCCATAATTGATTCAGTTGATGGTTGATAATTGATTATGATTACTTCAAATTGTGAAGAGGAAGTCAAGTAAACCTTGATTGTAGGCTTGGGATATTGATGCACAATCGACATTGAAATTTTCATCAAATTAACCTTAACATTGAAGGATAGGAAAGTCCATTTGAAAGCTTGATTTCAACCTTGGATTGAGTGTGTAATTATTAATTGTGTGTGTGCATATTTGGTGTTAGTTAATTGTTAATTGGTAAAATAAAAGATACGATGGTAAGCCCATGGTTAAGAGAGTCAACAGATTACTGATTAGGGAAACTCTCGTTTGAAACAATTAACACAATAAGGTTTGTTGTCCGAGGAAGTCATGAAATCTTTGGGTCTCAATGATTTGAAGCAATATGAACAGGTAAAATGTTCAACATGATAAAGGAAACCTTCATGATGAATAAAGCGAGTATCAGTGATTGGCTTTTTACACAGTTCACAGGGTGGACCAATGTCAACAGGTCCTTGAGCCTCGTTAGGCCAACGTCCACCTTGAGTCAAGGTACCAAATTTAGGTGGCACCGGGACTGGAACTGTAGCAACCTTGATGTGACGCAGTTTGGTCAAATAATCTGGCAACGGTGAGGAGGGCTGTGAGATGACCTTTTTGTATCTTGGAAGAGTGATCAAAGTAGCATCAAAAGGTGGCACTGAAGAGGGTCGAACCAATGAGCTGGTTGATTTAGCTGTTGATCCAGCAGTTGATAAAGCTGGTGTTGGTGATCGTTTAATCTCGTGGGTTTGACTTCGCTCAACAATGGCCCATTGACTGGGCGAAGATGATCGGGACCTTGGTGGTGCCGGTGAAGTTACTGAACGAGATGAATGTGGTGAGACCCTATCATGGTCTATCCCGTGAGACCATGAACTGTGGATGAAACCATTGTCACCTGGTAAAGGCTGAAACAATTAAAAGAGAAAAGTGTTTTAATCTAAAATTTCATTTGAATCTATTCATAAATGTTTACCTTTCCATGGGATGAGTCTCTGTGTGAATAATATTCTTGGTTGGTTGAACTTTCCTTCTCGTAATTGTATTCATCAACATGTTCAGTGATTCCTCCGATTGATACATTTTTTTCACTTCGTGATCGCCTTGGTGATACGGATCTATCTCGAGATCTTGATGTTGACCTGTTTGATGCCATGTCAATACTGATTGCTTGGGAAAGTGAACTTTCAGGTCGATTATATTTAATCTCACCAATTGGTGAAGCTGAAGACATTGACTCGGAGTCAATGTTAATGTTCCCATTGGATACTTTGAAATGGTTTTGTTTCAAGATTGGAACAGTTCCATCGGTACTTGATTGTAAATCTATTTGTTTGTACAATTCGGGACTTGAAGAGCTGTTTATTGTGGTCCAGGTCAATGTTTTAGGGTCTAGACTTTTGGTTTCCGTTGATGACAATTCGTATTGGTCAATTGTAATCTTTCGTCCGCCATTCTTTTCCAGTTCCTTTTTCATCTCTTCAATCATTGTATCTTCTGTAATAGCATGAAATTGAGACAAATCATTAGACCTTCACATTTTAATCATTTATTAATATTCAATCAAATTTTTTAAATCAATTGATCAGCTAAGCATTTATAAATTGGGGTGACTTTCAATGCATGCCAAATATTGAATTTTTGTACTAAGAAAAAATTGAAAGACATATTTTTAAAAATCACAATTATAGCGATTTCAAGGTAACTAATCAACCTACGCTTGTTATTTTTTGATAGCGGAATTTGATTATCATTCGAGGATATTTGACTGCGATTATATTTAAGTTAAATGCTTTAAAATCTCAACATAATCATTGTCATCAATAAAGCTACTTCCCACTTTACTAGGATTCCCTTTGATTTCAACCTAAGGCCAAGATTATTAACAATTAAGCTACCCAAGGTTTGTAAGCTTTGCCATCAAATGTTAATTCATAAATTGTCATCGTAATTAAGCTTAAGATGATTGATTAAACCTGAAGACTGGTGTAATTTAAAAACCAGAAATCTTTTGATGTAATTTTATAGTGATGACCCAGGAACTGTCTATACTTCAGCATCTAAATCCATTTCGATTTCCTTCGTTTCAATGCCTCAACAGATAAACAAGTTCAAATGAAACAGCTATTTGATCATGGATGAGTTAAGTTCCAGAATAATCGGTGCTGATAAGTCTGTTATCTTACAATATATGATCAGAATTTTTCAATCTAGGAATCAATATTTAAATACGATGTTAGGCTGAAACGTAAATTCAACTCTGAAAATGTAAATCCTGACTTGCCAAGTCTGATGATAGCCATTAAAAACTATGAAAGGGCAACCTAGACCATTAGAGGCCGGCTCAAGCGATTTCAATCATTGCCTTTGATGGTTAAACTAATTATGGTTAAATCACAATATTATAAGAGCAAATTTCAGTCTACTTACGATCACTATTGATCCATGGCCAGAGTGTTTCGGGTCGACTAAGCTCCGCAGTAGGCATTTCCTTGTGAGTTGTTATCCACCAAGATAAAACTGATTTTAATCAATTGAAAAGTTGAATTTGTAAATGAGTTGAACACAAGAATTTGGACCAAAGTATACAATTAAGAATGGATAAACAATTTAAAATTACAATCAAAAATTTGCTGTTGACAGGCAAAAAGAGAAACAAACTCACCAAAAAAGGTTTAATATAAAGACTGTTGGAGCTGGTTGTTATTGAAAACACTTTATAAGCAAGGTATAAGTTGAACAAAAACAACCAAGCAATAGGTTTTAATGGTAAATAACTAATCACTAAACTGGTAAGTGTATGTTATTAATAAGAAAGTTTAACTAAAATTAACAACAGCTAAATTAAATAGTGGTTAATGACGTTTCAACCGTGGGCGATGTTCAGTCCCTTTTCGCAAATTGTTCAATTGAATAAACCTTTGGAATACCTTGAATGGAAACCCACCAGACTCTATACACTTCTCTGTCTTTCACTTGACCACCCACCTTATTTACGATTGTTCATCCTCATCATCCTGATCATCATTTGCAACACCATCCTTTGATTACATCCTTTGATTGTTGGGACCATTAAAAAAGCCCACTAAGGGAATTATTGTTCATTATAATCCATGGATCTCTATATGATCACAGCGGTGGGCTTTGGCCAGTTTCAAATGAATCAAATTGTGACTTCTGATTACTTCTAGTTATATCCTCCATCATCCAATATTTAACCAAATTTATGTTCATATTTATTTAATCAAGTACACTTAACCATCAAATATACATTACTTGCATTGATTTCAATGTTTACCCGAAACACAGGTTGATTTGTTTATAAACAGGCGCATATCTGAAGATCATTGAAATGATCAAAGGAAGGTTTCATATTAACTCGATATTGTGATTAAGGTTATTGTATTTTAATCATTTACATAGGCTGTGATTAAACAATACGCCATCATTTTTTTCCGTTGGCTGTTAGCCTTTAAATTAGTTGTCATTTTGACAACATATAATAGCAACAATTTGTATCAATAAATGTAATAGTAGTTCATTTGTTTTAGGTTCACATTGATTTAGCTAACTGATCTTCAAAGCTAGTTTCAATAGTTAGAGCCATTCAATGCTGAGTAATGAATAGAAAGTTTCACTGGAAATCGGGAAAATATAAAATATGAAACCTTGTGATTACAATTAACACCTATAAGTTATGCTTAACTTGAAATTTAATAGCCAAGTGTAAAATTAAACAAAAAATAGTTTTATGAGAGGAGTGTTGATATAAAATCTGATTTGGTAGTTTTGGTACTTGAAACATCGATGAATATTGAACCGTTTTCAGGATATTTTAATAAGGTAAGAAACAGTCTTGACATACAATAGTGTGTCTTGTAGATAACAAAATGTACACAATTAATCATTTCAGTTACAATTTGAATATAGTAAATACATAAGCCCTATGATTATTATCAAGAGTATTTCCAACAATTCAAATAAAGCTCAAGTTACCTGAGTATAAAGTAACAGATAAGAAATGAATATAAACCGTCAACAATAGCTGATATATGATAATTTAGCTTCATTAAAGCTATTTTGAGTCACCGAACTCACAAAATTAATGTTAATTTGAAAGCCTCTTGAATCATCGAAGTGAATGTCAATCTTACAAGGGAAGTGCCCTTGCTTGAACAAAAATACTTGAACTTATACCTTACTTACAATACTTATACTTAAAAATGCCTGAATATGAGCAACCGCGCTCTAGCAAAAAAACCAAAGTACATGTCTCATGATTTTTCGTCCTTTACAAGATAAGTCCAAAAAATTGAAAAAATCGTAAAATTAGCCACACTTCCTTTGTTAGTAAATCATTTATACCTTTGGTAAGCTTTTGACTTATTTTTATGGTACCAGTAAAGATGAATGTATGATAATTTGGATTCAGAATAAACTTGATGAATGATCCAGTTGCTCGATACCGGTGTAAACATGAGTAGTTCGTGCATGCGGAGAACTCAAGAAACTTACAAGTTGAGGAGTAAAAATTACGGAGTTGGTCCAAAAAAGTGTAATTGAAGAATGAAACAGATAACTATTATATTTTCAAAATTTACAAAAGAAATGAATATTATATTTGTGGTTTGTAATGGAGAAAGATGTTTTATAATTTCTCACGATTTTAACTTCAACAAAACTTGATCATTGGTAGAAAGTTATTTTCGTAATTGTAGATTAATTTGTCTATTTTGGTATTGTAAAGTATCTTCAGCTCTTTCAGCTTTCATCATAATCCTTGGGAGCATATCGTTATGTTCATCGATTTCTTGAGACAATCCGGCTGCTAAGTTTTTCAATCGACTTAATCCAAGACCCATTTCATCAAGATTACGGTCCAATTGTTGTTCTATTACTTGAGATCTATTAGCACTGTGACCTTTAGGACTGGTTGGGCTCATTGGACCATCACTATCATCAAAACGGAAACCTGAAATAAAAAAATACATTAAAATCAACTTTTAAAAAAGAAATTTAAGTTCAAATTAAGTAAAATAAAAAACAATATGTCTATGGGAAACGAGAATGATATTAACCTGATGTATCTAGTCCTCGATTAGCGAGGGCAGGATGGTTTTTAGCACTACTTTGGGTAGCTTCACGCTGAATGTTTTCCAAATTGGAGGCCAACACTGATTTTGTCCGATTTTCTACAGGTAATATAGGAGTTGGTTTATTGGCTTGATCGTTGTTTTTAGAAAACATTGATTTAAAACCACCAAATATACTTTTCATGGCATTTAAATGTTTTTGACTTTGTCTCATCATGTTATTAATTGTATCCAAATTTCTCTCCGTATTTTCTAATTGTTCTCTCTGATGCACCAGTGCTTGTGCTGTTTCAATACCTGTAGATTCAGCTTCATATAATGCGCCAAGTGACATTTTAGATGATTCTAGAGTTCTCTCCTCAATCTTCCGTCTCTCTTCAAGCAATTGCTGTCGCCTTTCTAACCAGGCCTGATTGGAACTGGAGTCATCTGAACCCAATAAATAACCAGAAGATCCTTGTTGGGGATGATTGAGGAAGGTATAGTCATCTACTTCATCAACTCTACTCATTATGGTAGATATAGAATTAAAATCACAATAGTGGAACAAGTGGAATAAACAGAACGATAACCAATAGAGAGCAAAGATAGGCACAGGAAATGGTTGGATAGTGCTTTAGATGGCAATAAAATTTAAATGTTGAAGTACAATGGAACCTAGAAAAAAAGAAAATTTATAAACAAAATTCAAGTTAAAACAAAATGGAAATACACATGAAAACAAACAATCTGGCAAAAAAGCAACTTACTTGTTTAGTAGGTCAATGATTGATTTTAGAATCTCTTTTCTAATTGTTGAATACAAATCACTTGATAAGGATATAGGAATAGACTGATGATGGGTAAGGCTGAAGTCACTAAAACCCCAAAAAAAGGACAATGGCCAGTCAAATAGTTAACACGGTTAACACCAGAAAAAAAAATACTTAACCAACTGTATTGCGATAAAGAGAAGAAAGCAAAAATCAGACTTTACTATTGCTTCTTTTTTTCTCCCTCTCTTTTTACGTCAAAACAATCACCTGATCATGTTTTTACAGTCAAACAAAAATAAATATGCTTGTGAAGGCAAGGTTAGAGGGAGTTTTGCAGAAAATGATAATAAAGAAAAACGAAAAACCGTTTTGATTTCAAGAGTACTGTTCAAACTGTACCTGTTACTAAATAATTTTACTGTTAATCTAATGATCTGGCTGTCAATTAAATTGGCTGAGAATAGCAATCAATTGTATGGTTGGTATATGTTGATAAATACAAAATGATGCTTTGATTTTTACCCATAAAATTTATTCTTGTGTTATTGGCATATGTTGTTGACTGGGCAATGGTTCATTTGCCCCGAAGAGGACAAGAAAATGTGAAGAAAAAGAAAATGTAAAACAGATTAAGATAAGATTTTAATCAACCATTGTTCTCTATTCATTATCTGACTGAATTTTCGTCCAGAGTTTACCATGGTTTATGTTGAAACATTCCCTCAACAAAGAAACTGAGAAAGTGAATCTAAAATCGATCTTGTTTACTTCTTTTACCTCACTCTCTTTAATGTTTTTCTCTCCGCTGCTGCTGTTGTGTTGATATCTGTTTGTGTTGTTTTTCCTTTGGTTTTTAATTTACTGGATGGTTGTTTTTTCCCAATTAATTTAACTAGATTATTTGAATTAAATCAAGTCTCTTTAATTGATATCATTGGAACTATTTTTCCTGTTAATCATGGATTTTATGTCAAATATTCTCAAAAAGGCTCCTTTTAAATCAGAATCATCAGAGGACCGAGAAAAACCAGAAGAGGATACTCAAAGTGAAACTGAAAAAAAACAAGGTAGGTTTGATTCTATTCATAATTATCCTTGTAATCAACCTTATGTTTATTTAATTCAAAATACATCACTTTTACTGCACCTAACAGTCTATATTCATCATTATAATTTGTCACTGTTATTATTAGTCATAGGTATATTAAGTCACATACACCAATATTTGCCTTTTTGACGGAAATTATGATTTCATTCAATCATTGTTGAATTAAGAGTTAATTCGTAACCGAAATAGATAGATAAAAAGACGCGCTCCATTATTAATTTATCTTGACTATCATTAACCATTTACTTAGGTTATTGTGAAACCAAAATCACCATTACCTCTATTCTTCATGTATTAGTGAACCCTTTATTTTGAATTAAATTATATTAAATCATCTAACATGATGTCTGATCAGGTGAATATGATAAGACATTGAAATGTCACCATATTGATGTTTTCTAACCATTTTTTGGCAAGCCATTTTGTAACATCTGAGACTAGCCTTTCTGTGCTTTGCAAGATGGTTCCTAAAATCACGTAACGCAACTGTTATTTTATTTATTGGTCAGATTTATGAACCTGATTTTCTTGTTTTTTTTCATAACCCTAGAATCCAATAAACCAGGTATTGGTGCTGGATTGGTCGATGGAATGCAAAGTTTTATGAAATCAACATTTAAAGGGTCGAGTAACCGTGAACCCTCTGAAGCAACAGAATCTGAAGAGCAGGATGATGAAAGTAAAAAAGGTAAATAGTATGCTTAAGAGTCAATTTATAATTTTTGCTCTTGTTTCATTCAATAAATCATAACATATGTTTTGTCTATTTTTTTCAATCAAGAATCAACGACATCATCTATTGGATCCGGATTAATGAATACCGTACTGAAGACCACATCTTTTTTCAAAAGCGATGCAAATAATGATTCTAAGCGCAAAGGATCATCAGATACCCAAAGTGAAACTGAACCGAAAGGTTTGTTGGACTTGGTTGATAATTTCATCCATTACTCATCTAGCCAGGTTGATTTGGGAAACTAGTTTTGTTTCAAGCCAAGAGATTTGAGTTAATTATATCGTAGGAAAGCTTAAAATCCATATATTGATGCCACTTTTCCCTTCTAAGTTTACTTGGAGTCGAAATTTTAATGAATTTTTTTTGTCAAATTTTCTTCCATCTATCTTAAGTGATTACACAGAGAGTCTCCACCTAGACTACATTCAATTGTAACTTGTAACTCATCTAATTCATGGATACGCCTATTTTCATTTCTTCATATCTGGTCCTTTACTTCACTTTGAATTCTCAGTGTTTCTCTATCTCTGTCTCTATCTGTCTCTAACCCACTCTCCTCCTCCTCCTCTCCTTTATGGTTCACCATACTAACACGACAAAAAGGTTAAAGAAATTAGAGTTTAGTATAAAGTAGAATTAGGTGAAAATGGGAAATACTTTTCTTTCACCAAAATTTCCCATATTTTGGTGCTCCAAATCAATGAAAAATTGATGTCATTTAGTGGCGATGCTTTTTCTCTTTCTTTGTACCAGAATACCTTTGTAACTCTATTGATTGTTGACCCTTTCACCTCAAGATATCCACATTATGATATAATAATTCCTCGCAGCAACAAGAAAAAAAAATCAAATGATGACAAGGAAAGTTAAGGGAGAAAAGAAACAGAGTGACATTTGGGTCCATAAGAAATTCAAATAATAATAGAGCTATCAATCAAATTTCAGTTCCTATCCATGAATCCCTCAAAACTTGCAATTGTCTTTTATCTTCACTTTCCGTGTTACCAATTTCCTTTCCCTTTCTTTCTCTTGGTTACATTTCCATTACATCTAAATCATCCTTTCACCCAACTTTAATCATCCAACTAATAGAGTTAACCTCTTTTTAGCCAGTATTCTTGTTTTGTTTTTGCTAACCATCAACATGCATATCTTTTTAATTTTGTCCTCTGATAGATTAATTGAAACTCCCAATGGCTATTTTAAATGTTAACCCAAGGTTTGTTCTTGGTGAAAGTACAGAAATAACAGAATCTCTTTCCAGTTTTCATTTATTCCTTCCTTCCATCTCTACTCTTCATCTCCTGAGAAGATCATTTTATCATGTTTATGTTTTATTTCCCCTAAATAATTAATCGCTTTTTTTATACCATAGAATAAGATCTGAACGTGACCAATGTTCACAAGTATATCTCAACTTGACATAATTGTTGAATAAAAATCTGATTCTCAAGATAAATCCACCAATCAGTACCTGTTACCCTAAAAAAAATATAATTATGGCCCAATTTATTGATAGTTTACCTACTTTTTCTGATTACTTCTATTATTCTCTTCTCCTTTTCTGTGTTTTCCTTTTATACTCGTGATAATCTCAATTCTATCTTCTTCGTCTTTTCCCTCCAAGCCTCCCACTCACACTAACAAAATTTATTTTTATCTTATTATGTATATTAATCGATCGATTCCTCATCTACCTGGCTATTGGGTGATAAGTTTTGTGTGTTTCATTCTCTCTCTTTCTCTCATTCTTCTTATTCTTTTTACTTTTCTATTTTATTTCTTTATTTCTTTTTTTTTCTTGTTTCCACAGAAGATTCTGCTACTGCATCATCTCCTGGAGGCGATGATGCTTCAGGAGACAAGTCAACTCCATCGGAGCAAGTTTCCAACAAAGCCATCGATTCTGCTAAAAGCATTGGAAGTAATGTCATGCTCATGATTCCCTTTTTCCTTATTTCCCCCTGTTTTTTCATGATCCATCATTGCCTTTATTTCATTTCATTCCCCCATTTTTTATCATTGTTTCATTCCCTGTCACAACTATTATCATCATCTGCAACACCGGCCAATCATTTATTTTATTCATCAATTTGACAAAAAAAAACAATCAGTTCCCTAAACAATACAAAAATGTCATTATTTTATTTCAAATGACTTTTTATTTTCTTCACATTTCACAGATTTCCTTTTCAACGTTGCCAATAAAGCAGGCCAAACTGTAACAGCAACAGCGACAAAACTAAAACAATCTGTTGAGCACAATGTAAAGAACCTTTTCAATGTCTTCTTTTTTTGCTTCACACAAGCTCACCTTTTCCAATAATCGTTTTTCTCTCCTTTACTTGAAATTTTCTAGAGTTTACTAGCTGATTTCACAAAAGAACAGCAGGAATTCATTAAAGAACATGGTGGAAACATTGAAGTTGGCGAACCTCCCTGGGTTGGCTGTGAACAGGAAGAGGAAGTCAAACAACAGATTATTTCTCTTTCCACGGACAAACGTAATTTTGTCCGAAGTCCTCCTAGTGGTGTTCAATTTGATTTCGATATGCAACAAATGCTACCAGTTGCTCTAGCTCTTCTCAAGCATGATTCTAATCTTGAAAAGATGCGATTTGAATTGGTTCCTGCACTGTAAGTTTGATTTTTTAATTTGTATTGTATCCAATTTTTAACTCTAACCTTTCAATTGTTTTTACAGAGTCAACGAAGAAACTTTTTGGAGAAACTATTTTTACAGAGTTTCATTGATCAAACAGTCAACTTCACTTTCCAATTTGAATAAAGGAGTTAAAGGATGGGCCTCCAGTTCAAGCTCATCTGCTGAAGGTCCAGATGAACCAAGTCCAACCAATCCAGAACCAGAGTTTATCAGTGACTCCATTCAAGGATCAGTTAGTGAAGAAGATTTGAAAAGCGGAATGCGTCAATTAGGAATTGGACGAAGCTCTGGAAGTAAAGATAGATCAGACTCAACATCAGCCCAAGATGGTATAATTATATTATCAAATTATTTTATTAACACTAAATTTAGGCCTCAAAATTAACAATTAGTCTCAATTCATTTGTTTTCTCTCTTTCTTTCTTTGTCTCACCTTTTCCTATTGTGCTTCATTTTTATCTAATGTCTGAACCAATTATTAACGTCCGTGTAAAATAATCACTTCAAGACTATTGAAATCTTGATGGCACCAGTTTAACATTTCTGTAAATTTCTCTTTTTAACCAATTTTGTCTCTAAATCATGCATTCTGAAAACCCTTTTCACCCATTTATCCGTATAAATGCATCGATAATCTTGATACTAATTCTGATCTTTTTTATATTTACAACAGACAAGCGTTGGGAAGAAGAGATCAACAAAGATCTGCAAGAATTTGAAGTTGTGGGAAAAGATGATAATAATGGATTGGATGAAGATCTAGAAAAGGATTTGGCCCAGTTATAAATATTTAAAGAAAAATACTATAAAATCAACTATAAATAAAAATACATACATACATCATGAAAGATTTCAAACGTGTGATTTCATAAACTCTGTTAAGGACCTATAATCTGTAATTGTTGAACACATTTCTTCAATCAAAGCATTCCAATTGACGTTTAAGCTTGGATAAATGAAGAAACAAACAATTTAACTGTTAAAGAGCTGGCACATCAACACAAAGAAATCATCTTTGCAATTTGAAAGAATCAAGTAAAGCAAATCATAAATTGTTTAGATGTTTTACGCATGGTTTTACTCTTCATTTCTTCTTTAATCTTTCATCGTTTTGTTTTTTCTGTGAAATTTAATTTCCTGAATGTAATTGGTATCCAGTTGGAATCGAAACCAACCCGGAATAGCTCCAACTTTAAAGTCTTCAATGGTAATAATGCAATTATCACGAATCAGAGCAGTTATTACCTAAGCCATCAATTATCCCTCAATTTTCAATATCAGTTCTGATTCCTTTACAAACGCAAATCATTATCAGTATGATTGATAATTACATATAATTCAGTAATCTGGTTAAATATTGACAGATATATATTGAAGATTTAAATATTAATTAGTTTACCAGCCCTGATCAGTGTTTCTTATTTTTTTGTTACAGAATTAAATTTTCTTTTTTACTGTTTTAATTTCATTTTTGTTCAATCTTATTCACCTTTCCTATCAAAATCAGTTGTAATAGTAGAGTGAAATATTTATTATTACTAATTAATCTGTTTTGTCAATGGCAAAATAAGTGTTAATTAAATAGACAATTATATCGAAAATTAAAACAAAGACTCAACAAGTTATGGGCAATGAATTAAAGATGCAGACACAAAAAATGGACACAACAAATGACTTCAACAAAAGACCAAGCCAAGTTAACAAAACTAAAGTTTCAAATAAGACAACGATAAATCGTATTACTATTGGTGGAATGGTTCCAAGAACTGGTGAAATGGACATAATTTAATTTTTGGAAAATCATTGATTCTATTCACCTTCATTTAACTATGCTTTAATATTACTTTGTTTTAAACAAATCAACAACCCAAATTATAAAGCAGATGTTGCAAATCAAACTAAAAGGAACCAACCAAATCCTAATCAAATACCCATAACAAAAGAAACTAAAATACAAATTAACACTAAAATAAAATCTCCTGTTATTATTTCCCATTATTTTTGATTTGTATCATAACTAATGATAATTTTTGATCCATATCCATAAAATATTGTTGAAAACTATTTCTGTGTCTATTGTTTTTAACCCAAATACTGTCCAAAATTAATCAAAATAAACAATTTAGGATCTCAAATAGGTTGGCTATTTAATTGTAAGCTGAGTAAATGAACAGAAAAACAAAAATTGTATTACAGATCGCTCAGTGATTACAATTTTATAAATGATATCATGATTGATCAATGACTTTATTTTCAATTCGTGGGTGAATTTACAGGGGAATCAGCTTACATCAACACTTAATGTTGTAATAGCAAACTTTATTACAGCTTTGTAACATCACAATTTGTTAGTCAATATGGGTTTGATAATTGTATACAGACTCTTGTCTCGCTTTTTGGACAGAATCATGATTTGATTGGAGCTTGACCAATGTATGTTTGAATTGTCTTGGCGCTGATTGTTTGCCAAACCATTCCCCCATCAAACCCTTTAATGCGAAGTTCGACTTGATTTTCACTTGTGTTTAAAACAATTACAACTAATAACCCTTCATGGTTGATCATTGTGAGAATGTGAACATTTTCATTTGAAGTATCAGTCGTATGTCCAATTCTTACTGATTTTGGACCCAAAAATTTAGTGAAGTGCGCCAGTAAATAAAAGGTTGGTTGTTTATAATATTCATTGTGAAGCGCGTTAATGATTATCGGTGAATCTTGGAATCGTCTTGATTTACTTGGGCCTCCAATCATGTCCAAAGCAATATTTGACTCAATCCAACCATTGGCCCAATGATTAATGTCTCTAATTATATCTAAACCATAATTTTCCGCTCTTTTCCAATCTCCCAGAGAAACTCTTTCTACAGAGAAATAAATCGCAATTAACTTTGATGATTAATGAACAAACTCTATTGTTACCTTCACCAGGTCGATACCCTTCAGCAGCTTCTGTTGATAACATTAATTGGTGAGGATATTTAAAGTGAAGATAGTCCAAAATATATCGAGTGGTGGCATCATTTTTATACCAATGAAAGGCAAACCCAGAAACGAAACGTCTTGTCAATGGATCATCAATTGTTAAAGGAATCCAGAAATAGTTTGTAAGGGAAATTGAATCATCTAAAATTAGCAACTTTAATGTATCTCGATTAAAGCCAGACTGATTGAGTAATGGACCCAAATCGGATTCAATAAATGACTTCAGTTGATATGGATACATGGGAATGCCATTTGGACCGTTAGCATTGAATGAAGAGAATGGTTTGTTTCCAGATGTTAAAGCCCAAAAATCAATTCCATGAGATTTGTAGGCCTGCAAAAACCTGTTAATAAACAATGAATTGATCAAAATGGTTGATAATTTGCGACCAATTTAACCTACTTTACAATGTATAAAGCCCATAATTTATAATAACGACCGTTTGAATCTGCTTTGAGTGGAGCTTTGTCAGGTCGACCTTTCCTTAGATCGACCATCCAAGTTGGTGCATTCCATGGTGAAGCGATCAATTTAAGATTCGGCTTCAATGTCTTTGCCTTGTCAATCACTGGGATCTGATGGAAGATGAATAATTGATGAGCGATGAAAATTTAAATTATTCTGGGATTGCTACCTTATACCAAATGTCTTCATCAGCCAAATCAAAATCATCGAGTTGATTAGAAGGATTCTCAGCCAATGAATAGTCTCTGGTGGAGCTTTCCGTCGATCCAATGGGTATTCTTGCCAAACTGTATTCCAATCCATCTGGTCCGAAACAATCACGAATCACTGATTCGCCCATTCGATTGGATAAACTGTGTATATTGATACCAGCTGCGTCAGTTATGGCACCACCGAAACCTTCTATTGATTGATATTTTTGCAATGGGTTAAGAGTAATTGTAATTGTTGAAATGGATCCAAACAAAATTGGAGACTCGTTGATGGCACTAATTGATTCAGGATCTACTAAACGAATTGAACTTTTATGAAATCTTAAACCATCTTTACTAGTTTCATACATGTGAATATAACCTGACGGAGGTGATTCAATTTCAATCAGAGAGTCACAATAAGATTCATCACAGACACAAACATAACTGTTGCGATTAAATTTTCTCAGTGCACAAGAAGAAACAATTGAAATTAATTGATGGAAACAAATTAAGTATGTTAATGAAACAAATACATAACTACCAATGGAAGAGGCCATTGAAAGAATCGTTTGTGGGGTAAAAAAGATGATTATGAATCTGAAATAGGTAAGAGGTGAAAAAGCTTAGTAAGCATAATTAGATGATTAAGACAGGCATGATGATCATCATGGCGACTAAGATGGTGCTTGATCCTGGCATTTCCATCTTGATTATCAATCTGATTGAAAAATTATAAAGATAAATCAAAGCAGATATTGCAAATTAAACTAGGAACCAACCAAATCCTAATCTAATAAACATAACAAACTATTTCTGTGTCTATTGTTTTTAACCCAAATACTGTCCAAAATTAATCAAAATAAACAAGTTAGGATCTCAAATAGGTTGCTTTTAATTGCAAGCTGAGTAAATTTTTGAACAGAAAAACAAAATTGAACTACAGATCGCTCAGTGATTACAATTTTATAAATGATATCATGATTGATCAATGACTTTATTTTTCAATTCGTGGGTGAATTTACAAGGGAAATCAGCTTACATCAACACTTGTTGTAATAGTAAACTTTAGACAGCTTTGTAACCTAACAATTTGTTACTTACATGGGCTAGGCTCATGTCTTTTAAAGCCATCTTTGCTACGAAAAGAATTGGATAAAAGATAATTGTTTCAATTAAATTGAATTTTCATGGAACCAGAATTTAATGAAAAACAGTTGATCGGGAAATAGCATATAAGCATATTTACACTGGATTATCTGGCAAGTTACTGTACTTACACTGGATTAATCGGTGACACGCCATCTTGAGGTTATAGAATCAAAACAAAGTTGATTAGCAACTTATTATCAGTCAGTGTGGTTAGCATTCTGTGGTTAGCAAACTAATCAGATTCTCTTGAACTTTTTACTTTTGATTTTTATCAAAATTAGATACTTTTAATCAAATATGGATTTATATTACATGGCTGAAAGTCCACCTTGTCGAACAGTGTTGATGCTGATTGAACATTTAAACTTGAGAGTGAATTGTATAAATGTTGACTTGTCAAAACAAGAACAACTATCTCAGAGCTTTCTTAAGGTAATTTCCATCTTTTGTTTTCAAACCTTTTAATAATTAATAGAGTTTGCAATTTAACATAATCACACTCTAATTACAGATTAATCATTTCCATGTGGTTCCCACTTTGGTTGATGGTGATTTTACTTTGTGGGAAAGGTAAGTCAACTTATAATGCAATAATTTAACTGTTTGGTTTTAACTAATGTAATATTCACAATGTCAGATTAACAACTGGCTTTTAATATCTTTGAAGCTAATATCCTAACTAATTATTTTCATTTCGTTGATAGTCGAGCTATAGTCAAATATCTGATTGATAAGTTTGCACCCAACAATCAATTGTATCCTGAAAATTTGCAAGAAAGAGCTAAAGTTGATCAATGGTTATATCAAGAAATGGGCATCTATTGCTTGTTGAGCTCATTTATAGTAAGTAACGTCAAATGTGTATAGCTAAACGAGTAATTCATTGTTTCTTTTAAAGAGTCCAGTATTCGTTGGTAAAAAGCCGGATAAATCAGGTGAACAACGATTTTTGGATTCATTGGATTCAGTAAATCTTCACATGGAAAATCGGAAATATCTGGCCTTAGATCATTTAACAATTGCTGATATTTCCTTCGTGTGTTCACTATCGCTTGCTGAAGCTTGCTCTGTGGATCTAGAAAAATATCACAATATTAACCTTTGGATGAAACGCATTAAATCCGAGTTAACTTATTATGAAAAAGTTAATTCAGAACCAATGATTAATCTAATTACCTTCATGAAAGATGCAATTGCTAGAGCTCAATAGGTCTAACAATTTCGGCCAATTAAGGAGGAAAATCCAACCGCATTTTCTAATTCTTTTTTTACCCTTTTGTATTATGGCAATACCAATACCAATACAAGACCAAATCTTCCTTCAGCTGATGCTTTTGTCAATTGTTTTTAATCTGAATACTGTCCAAAATTTATTCAAAATAAACAAGTTAGGATCTTAATTAAAACCATTCTGCGACCAATTTTGTCCAAAACAAAGCCAAATCAACATAAATCGCTGTAAAATTGAGATGAAATTATTATCAGATGATAGCAAATTTCCGATGATAAATTATCCTTTTTGTATGCATTTTATTGCCATGCAAACTTTTCAATTACCAGCTGTCTATTTTTTTTATTGATAAACTTTGAAAAGATTTAGTTAATGATACATTTGGATGATACAACTGTTAAGCGTCCGCATATAACGTAACCAAACAACCCATAAATCGGGATTTCTAACAAAAACTTCCATATTTTTCGGTGACTCCATGTAAAGCTGCAGAAAAACTTCAAGATCACTTTTTACAAGTTTGTAAGCCTTGAAAGGTTCAATAATTTTATCAACAATGTCCAAAAATAAATCTCGTACTTCTTTTCCCTGGTTTAGTCTGAAAGCAATGTTTATTATGCTTCTTGAAGTGTTTTTGAATAAACTGTCCAAATCATTAATTTGCTTGTCCAATCTGTCCATTCTATCAACACTCTTGGATTTTAATTCTCGCATGAAATTGATTTTATGCTCATCCATGTATTCGCGTTCTAATAACACTTTTAATTCTCTCAAGTCTTGTAAAAATTCTCTATCAATGTCCATCGGCGACTCTTCGTATTTGCATTCCGGATTTTTACAACTCCAATTGGTCATCATTTGGTAAGCACAATGATAAAAGTCAGCAAATTTAAGATAATTAATTTTTCTTTTCGATGTTTCAAACCGATTGTTGGCAATGTAAACTACGGTAGCATAGCGTTTGGCCAATCTTTCCGAGAGAAGAAAATTATTTTGAATGTTGAATATTAAATTTCCGCCCATATCCTCTACAGCCTTGTAAACACGTTTAACATTGTCAAATTGTCGACGACAGCTTTTCAATCCAACAGAAGTTTTCTCGCTGACATCCTTGAGTTCGGTTCGATTACGACTGGACAGTTTTTTGCCTAAAATTTCTCGTACGACACAGTCATCAAATTCGTAGTATTTTTCAATAAGCAATCTCCGTGTTTTGGCGTTTATTTGTAGACTCCAACCTTGGCCAATCATAGAAGGTGATTGTAGCAGTCTCTCTATTAGACCAAATAATCTATATTGGTCAAGAACATCACTTATTATCAAGTCATCATGAATTCCTCGTAACACAATACACTCTTTTTCTTTAACAAGAATGGCAGTCTCTTGAGGTGTATAACCATCCAACCAGCAAGTATAAATGTGTTCATCGATAATGGTATTGCTACCTATGAAAACATCGACTTCTGTATAGTGTAATCCCATGGTCACTTCTTTCCGAAATATCAGATAAGCCTAGATATAAAAAACAATGAAACACAGAGGTAAAATTATGACGAAATTAATGAAAATCCAAGATGATCATTTGTCAATAAACAATAGCAAACAGAAGAGTAAATTGTAAAATAACGGTACACACTAATATCTCAGAGTAAAATTTATAATAGAACAGCGAGGAAGAAAAGGAAAGAAATGATTGGTAAATATAACACAATGTAAATCTTATAGCACTTACTGATTGAATAAACAGATAAATGATACTAAGATAGGATGAAATTAATTATGTTTTCATAGTCAATGTAAAATGGCTAACTGTCATAGAAACGTTCAAAGAAAATTTTCCTAGATAACATCTCAACAATCTGAAATTTATTATTCTCACCTAATTTATGGGTAACAGATCCATGAAGAGCAAATGAATAGTTGCCGTCAAATCATATAGAGATGTAAGAATTAAGTTATGAACTCTCAGCCAACACTGATTAAGATCACTTTATTTCAAAAATCAATCATTCAATGATCAGAGATTAACTTAATGAAAGAATGAACAAACCAAAACAAATGAAAACTACTGACGAAAGATGGCAACACTTAAAATTGCTAGATAAATAGATCCATAGCTATTCATAGAGATCTGTTACCTAAACTCTTTCAAGGTCTCATTTTTTCTAACATTTTTGTAATCAATGTTTAGAATAACTTTTGATTAAATAATTCCCTTAAATCAATCAATTAAATAATATTACTTGTTATTATATTATGTTTATTAATGTAAACTTGTTTACCTTTAATTACTGTGAATTGAATTTAACTGATTATCACTTTTCTGGCTTCAACATCTTTTTACTTTTGTGAGACTCTAAACTCTATACCTATTCTGTTTATATTACATACAATAACCAAAGCAACATTTCTCCCTCTCATTTTTTGGATTGTTCAGCCTCACCTTTCTTTCCCTTTCTGTCTACCTATCTCTTCATATCTTCTTTTACATTCATTTCATTTCATTCATGATTGTTTGTTACATCATACTGAATTTCAAAGAAAAATCTCCGCGATCAAATAACAAAATTGTGCTCATGTTAATATAATCTATGTGCTACTGTTGTGCTTGCTGTGTCTGTAGTTACATCTTTACTTTTCCGTGGTTCCCTTAACACTTTAGTTAAGGTTATTCCTACTATTTGGTGGAGATAATTACTTCTAGCTGTGTAACTACATTATTGATGGTTAACAATTTATCAAGAAAAAACTTTTTCTATTTTTGTTTCTAATAGTTTTTAAACTGTTGTTTACTTGATTGGGTCCAAAAATTCAAATTATCTCTTCATTCAACGATTGTGATTGTTATCAAAGAGTTTATGGAATGATTTATAAATTTCGTGTTTTCGTGATTCCCTTTACTTATTCATTATTATTGCATCATTAACCAACCTTGTTTTACCTGAGCAAATTGAAATTTAATTTGATTTCGTGTGAAGTTTTACTGTTGGTTAAACCCTAATTTAACCACTGAATTTACCTGATTTCCTTGCAACAGATGGCGCTTTCGTGAATATTTCTACTCAACATCTGATTAAAAAATCTTTTTTTTCTTGACTGTTTTCTTGCATATAATTGTTCTTATTCCAATCATTACTCTGGTTTTGTCCCTTTAAAAGTTTATTAAACTGGGATTCCTTCGAGTTTATTATCTTCAAAAAAGATCAACACTGTGAAAGTTGTGTTTCATTGTTTCTGATGTAAATGGTGTTAACAGTGTATCCATGTTTCGCTGGGGATTCTTGTTGAAAGCTTGTAACCGTCAGATAGACTCTATTGACAAGAGGCATTGTAGCCTGTCCAGAGTGCCTGATGATATCGCTCGATATGCCTCGTCATTGGAAGATTTACTGTTGGACTCAAATCATATTAAAGATTTACCGGAATCCTTATTCCGGCTTCATAGGCTTCAAAAGCTTAGTATCTCTGACAATGAAATAGGAAGTTTGCCGATTGATATAGCTAAATTGTCTAACTTAGTCGAGTTAGATGCGTCCAAAAATGAAATTATGGAGGTACCTGAAGTTATTAAATTCTTGCGCCGATTGAAGGAGCTTGATTTAAGTTTCAACCCTCTTCGTACAGTTCCCAATGCCATTACTCAGTTGACCAGTCTAAAAATTTTAGCTCTCAACGATGTCAACTTACATCAACTACCGTCTGAAATTGGTTCTTTGATCAATCTCGAATCACTCGAGCTTAGAGAAAATATGCTTAAAACCTTGCCTCCAAGTTTTTCCAATTTGACAAAACTTCAACGCTTAGATTTGGGCAGCAATCAATTAGAAGAGTTACCCAAAATCATTGGTGACCTTATCATGTTACAAGAATTATGGCTTGATGAGAATGGCTTAAGAACTTTACCTAAAGAAATAGGTAATTTAAAAAAATTGACTTGTCTTGATGTCTGTGAGAACGCTTTGAGCTACCTTCCTGAAGAAATTTCCGGTCTTTGGATGTTAACTGACTTACATCTTTCCGACAATCGTCTTGAGCAGCTACCCGACGGGATTGGTCAGTTAAATAAACTTGTGATCCTCAAAGTAAACAATAACAATCTTTATTCTTTGAATCCAACTATTGGTGGTTGTTCATCTTTACAAGAACTGGTTTTAACAGAAAATTCTCTACCTGAACTGCCCCCAACAATTGGTAATTTAATACATCTATCAATCTTGAATTTGGATCGAAACGATTTGACAGATCTGCCATCACAAATTGGAAATTTAACAAGATTGAGCGTACTATCATTACGTCTCAATCGTATAACACATCTTCCAGTTGAAATCGGTCAACTTAGAGAACTTAGAGTCCTCGACGTTTCTGGTAATCGATTACAATACCTTCCTTACTCTGTCACCGCTCTGAATCTGAAAGCTTTATGGTTAGCTGAAAATCAATCACAACCTTTACTCAAATTTCAGAGTGATTTTGATGAACTTAGTGGAATGAAGGTGTTGACATGTTACTTGTTACCTCAAGCTCAGACAACGGATTATTATTCTAGCGGGCTTTCTGGTAAGTCAATCAACCTATTTTTGCCAATTATTCAATTAGATGAATTAGCTTGTTTTTTTCCAGTCATAATTCTATTGTTTAATTCATTGTACATTTCAACATAACTTAACCAACAGGAAAAATAAATTTACCACATCATCAATTCCTCATCATCATCAAAATGTTTAATATGTTAGCTGTTCCGATTAGCAATTGGAAAAGCAGAGGTGTTCTGATGATTGAAAGCTGAACAAAGATGAAAAATTCTTCTGAACAGACCTCGCTCAGAATTTCATGTCTCATTTTCTCTTTCTCTTTTCCCTCATACTTTCTGTTTGTAAGTTATTATTGAATCAGCCTCTCTCATTTCTCTCTTTGGCTCCTTTTTTCTGCTCCTTCTCTTGTCTCTATATTTCTTTTATCCTCTCTTCTCTTCATTTAACTTCTTTTCTGTTTCTTTTCCCTTTCTTTCCACTGGAAATACATGTTTCACGAAGAAAAAGCAGAAACCTTACATGTTTAATATGATGATGATGATGATGTTTGTGGTAACTTTTGATGGAATTACTTACTCAAATGATTCTTTTTTTCTCATTTTTCTTTAACTATTTTCCTGAACCTCAGATCTGGCTAATAAAGAGTTTGTTGAATCACCTAGTCCAACTTTTGGTCGTCCCAGAGAATCTGCTGTACGATTCCCCGATTCAGTTTTCCTTGACGATGAAGGTCTGAATTCAGGTGATCAAAAAAGTTCTTATGAAGTTAATTTTGTGCGCCATGATACACCACATCCAAAAGAACTTAAAGCAAGACATTCAAAATTATTTCAAGGAAAAGATAAAAATTATGAACCCGGTGAAGAAAAGAAGGAAGAAGAATCTCATAAAGTTGAATCCGTCCATAATAGAGAAAGATCAGAAAGTCCATTTAACTCTGAGTCTTCCGAGGCCTCTTCAGTTATAATTAGAATGACAGAATCTGATTTAGATCAACGTGGAGTAAGACAGGAAATGAGAGAAACTCACGTAGATCATAATGAAATAGATACAATAATTGGTAACGAGAGTAATGAAAGCAACAAAATGAGCAGTCTGGGTGAAGTAAAAAGAAAAGTGACAGACTCTCGTGATTCTGAGACACAAGGATATATTGAGAAGCATGTTCTCTTTCCTGATCAACTTGGTAAACTTCATAGACGAATTGATGATAGAGATGGTGATGAAATGAGCGAACCTGTAGATGAAGAAGACGCCTCAGAAAGACTTCATCAGAGTTTCCAGGGTGATGATACTATGGATGATAGTGGAGCCTGTGAGGAAGATGGAGTCGATGAAGAAGGAAACAGACCAGAAAAGCATAAACTTCATCGTCGTGACACACCCCATCATTTAAAGAACAAGAGAATAAATATGCCTAATTCAAAAGAGGATCAAGAAAAGTTTGCATCTATTATTAAAGAAGCCTTGAGAAAAGAAAATTCTACGAACAATATGAATGGCGATGATATATCATTGAGAACCAACTCGTCCTTCTCAAATGCCGCTATGACTTCTATATCATTAGGGCCCGTTGAAATAAAGCAGATGAAGTTTTACGTACTACGAGCTGTTGCAGGACTTGGTCTTAGCATAGCGGGAGGTAAAGGTTCAACACCTTTCAAGGGTAATGATGAAGGTATTTTTGTATCAAAAATTACTCCTGGAGGTCCAGCTGAGTTGTCCGGTTTGAAAGTTGGAGATAAAATATTAGCTGTTAACGATATCTCAATGGAAGATGTTGATCATTATAAAGCTGTTGATGCCCTTAAAACGGCTGGTTATGAATTTTCTGTTCTAGTTGCTAGAGAAGTGCCCATTCAAGATCAAAATATGTCCAGGTCAATGGACATGAGTGCCTCAAATCATCAAATTAATCACGTTCATCTCTCTAATGGAGATTCAAGTCCAAAAGTATCACCTTCTCATGAAATATCACCAATAGATAGAAGACCTTCTCAACCATTAAATGAATCTTTTACATCATCAACGTCCTCTCAACCCCTTCATCAACAAATATCACCATCTTTATCTCAAAAGATTGAGGATGATCTAGTAATATCACCTAAACCACAACCAAAGGTTAAAACAGTTGTCGACTATACCATAATTATTCGTGAGCCAACCGGCTTAGGTTTCTGTGTTGCTTATGGTAAAGATGGAAAGTCTATTATAATTTCAAGAATTGCACCGGGAGGAGCTGCTCATAAAGCTGGTAAACTTAGAGTTGGAGATAAAATCATCAAAATTGAAGGTCAAGACATCTCTGGAATGAATAAAGAACAAGTTGTAGAAATGTTAACAAAACCAGAAAGATTTGTTCGACTTTGTGTTGAAAGAGAAATCATTGAAGATGATGAAGATAGCTCGAAACCACCTTTTTCAACCTTCTCCAGACCTTATACTGGGCTTTCTTCCGCATCTTATATGGCCAATCGCCCAACCTTCACCGGCAGCTATAAAAGGCCTTCTCTAGGATCGTTAAGTAATTTAAGCCATGATTCCGGAGGAGCAAGCGGGTCAAATTCATCAAAGCCAACATATTCAGTATTTACTAGATTAACCGGCCTTAAAGGTGACCTATCTGTCTTCAATCCATCCAATACAGTGACACCACCGACAACAACATTAACAACATCCTCATCTTATTCAACATTACCATCCAATTCCACTTTCACCACTTCATCTACGCCATTTAACAACAGTGCCTCACAAACCTTGAAGTCAAGTGCCTCTATTAGTGCATTAAATCAAACAGGTAATTAACAAATGTCAGTATATGTGTAAAAATAATCACTGATAAGAAAATATTTTTATTGATTTTGACGATCTACAAATTTATTTAATAATCTCATTCTCTTGATTCTTCGTGTTTAGGTGCCAATCTACAACAAAATGAAACAACGACACATACCCGCTTCTCTAAACCACCTGTAGTTGTGAGAATAGAAAAACATTCTGTTTTAAAACCGCATGAAACCTTGGAAGCTGAATTACCTCCACCGCCATCAACACCAGGATTATTTACTGAAGTTTTAACAAAGACAACGTTCACTGAAACGACAACCACCCGTGTAACAAATAATATCCTCAAAGATTCGACGGGATCTATTGTAACAGAATCAACTGTAGCAACGGAAACTAGATCAGGATAATGCACAGACCTAATGTTTCTTCATCTCATCTCTATCAACTTAGCTATTGGTATCATTTCATTTTCTCATAAAAATCAAGTTAATTAAGAGTTATACTAATTTAAAATCAAAACAAAATGATTCGCATTAAAAAGAAGGGTAAGACGATTTGCTTTTCTATCCTTTCATTCATCCATTAAACATTTTGAGTTATTTCGTTGAAATTTAATACTCTTGTCATCAGACTTATTTAGATGACCTAATTGATTGCTTGTTAAAGTGTCATTCAGATTTAATCGCAATTTTTTAGGGATTATAATAAACGATTGCCTGTTTATCAGTTTCAGAAAAAATGTTAACTAACATATTTTGAATATTAATATTAACCAATCATTAATTTCAAACATCGTGATCCCTTTTATTAACGCACGCTGAGGCATGCTTCATAACTCTTGTTATATCCATGAAATTTTCATGTTGTGACCTTAAAGAGTTAAATTGTTAAATTTTTGTAAACTTTAAGATAAAAAATCTGGCAAGATTTTGATTGAGATCGATTAACAAACAAAAATTTCATTATAATTAGCTTTCATTATTTCAGCAAACTTAAGGCACTGGTAACCAATAATTTGCATCTCTATATGTGATTAATTTTCGAAGGTTGTGTAGCAATCGAACAGTAAATTTTGCTTTAAAATGTTAAATTTTTTCGATTTTCAAATATCTCAGCTCAAAATCACTTATTTAATGAAAAATTCATACTTTTCATTAATGTATTCTGTTTCTATCATAAGATATTTTCTTGTTTGGCATCTTTACATCAGATAGCAATCATTACATTCCTAGTCACTACCCAAAATCGTCCATTGACCAATGTTTTCTCTTCTTTCTCTTTACAGGCTGATTTGCAATCAAATACATATTACAAATAAATATTTTACCATTTCCATTACTCAACTATACACCACCTTTATTTGGGGATCTTTAAAGTCTTCACGAACGCTGAGGATTTGATTGTTAACAACAGATTAACTACATTGAAGATACAGTAGCCTGTCCACAGATGCTTGATTATATTATTGCTCGATATGTTTTATCCATGGAAGATTTTACTGTTGGATTCAAATTATATTAAAGAATTACATGACTCCTTATTCCGGCTTCTTAAGCTGCAAAAGTTTAATATCTCGGATGATAGATGAGAACGTTCAACTTTGAATATCTTTAATTGAGTTGAAAACTTAAAATTATATCTACTAAATAAAATAATCGAGATATGCCTGAATTTGCCAGAAAGTAAAGCCATCTACAGATTCACACTCCAATATTGTGCTCTATGAGAATATTTACGTTTAATGCCATATTTTCGAGGTGGAGGTTTACTTTTAAAGCAACTTTTACCATCTTTACCGAATTCGAAAGTTTGACGAGCTGTAAATTTATGGATGGTTCATCATAAATATGATTAAACTCCATATCTTCTTCAATGCCATATGAAAGACAAGTTTACCCGAATTATCCTTACTGATCAACACCTTGAAGATTTGTGTGGAGTTATAAAAAGATATCCAATCTTCTTCTCTCTTTGTCCCAATGCATTTTAATGTCAAAAAGCGAAAATCAAAAAAGTAAGATTTTTTACTCTGTTAAATTTTTCATTTATATTAGTCATAAACTAATTGTAAATCGATGTTTTATTTGAGGCGAGGCTCCTTTTTTATTTTGAATTGGTTCTCTCACTTTATGTTTCTTTTACTAACATTGAAAAAAGAAATTATTCATCCAATGACTCATTCCACAAAAATCATTAAATGTTTGTTATATGTTATTAGTTCAATGTTTTGTCATATTGTCAACTTAAATTAATTTATTTTTTCTCCCTTTACAGTATCTTTCAAATTTTTGTTCAACCCAAAAGCTGTTATTCATCAAACCAATCAATCAGATTATTATACGAAGCACACGATCTCACTTCGATGGCAGTTAAAGTAAACTTTATGAGCTGGTGATGAACATCATTCAAATGCATTATAATTCATAACCAATTGATGAAGTATCCGAGCTACAAATCAACCAACATTTCGATTATCAAGATCTGCAATGATAATGGTTCCATCTTCTGTATTTTAATGTATTTCTCACCTTCTCCTTTTTCCTCTCTTTTATTTCCTTATTTATGTTCATCTCCTTTTTCTTGTTATTTATTTTATCGAACTTTATCGATCTGGAAACTTGATACCCACCCAAATATTGTTGTCCTTTCACCTCAAAGCACTTCTTTTAACTGTTCCTTTTCCCTTCTTTATCGCTTTCTATCTCAGTGGTAAAATCCAAATCTCACTGAGGCTAACACAAGATGATAGTGAATCAGTAGCTATCAAAATTTAACAAGTGAATCAAGATGAAATCAAATCAAAAAGTAAACGTTACAGCAATAAGGATCCCTAAAAAAACTAAACAAATCTCTGTGTTAAGTTGAATTTTGAGAATGACGCAAAATTTTATTGTAAGCTGCTAAAGAAGAGCATACTAAAGCAAAATCAATTGAAATTTTACGACTTGGCGTATTTTTTATCTGTAAATATTGAGAAGCTCAAGCTAAATGAAAATCATTGATTTTGTAAGCACCAAATAAAAAATCAATTTGAACAACCATCTATTTTGTGTTTATTTATCACAACAATTGTCGTCAATATGTTAAAACCTTTTGTTCAGGCGTTAAAATTTATTGTTGAAAATTGATGACTAATCTGAATTGATTGTCAATCAAATTAAATTTTGCTCCATTTCATCAATAATATTTTTGCCTTTTTACAACAAAAAAGACATGTCACGCTATCGTCATTTGACAAAATTAAATCAATACAAACACAAAATTTATGTTAAATTCATCCTTTGAACATAACAAATCGTTTAGCAAACATCAGCTCTATTATTGACCCAATTTAATTATTCTTATTTACCCCAATTATTCAGGTGACAGGTTGCGGAATGACGGATTCAGCTTAAAATCAGTTCAGGACCTGGCAATTGTAATTGGAAAACTGTACAGATTCTTTAAGAAAGACGGGATGGAAATTTTATTACAGATGAGAGTCCAAATGAAAAGCTGAGTAACGAATAATAAAGTCGCAGGAACACGAACAAGAACTAAAAATAAGAATGAAGACCACGAAATGTATCCTCGGGAATAAAAAGCTGATCAATATCGGACCAGGAGTTGTTTCCATATCAGGAGAATGTAAAACAAATCCTTGAGTTTTGGAATCAAAAGTTGCTTTGGTGTTTGAACCAATAGCCAATGAACTTAAATAATTTAGTCATATATCATGACAACATTTAAATAAACCATTTATCTGTTTCGTCGCGCTGAGCGGCTCAAATAAAGTCAGTTGTTCGAAGATTGGCAAAAAATATTCATCAACAAGATACTTATTGATACACAATGAAAAAGGATATTGTTCAATGGTTTCTGACTAATAAGCAGGCAAAGACAATGAAAAAGTCAGCACAAATCCTGTGTTCATTTATCACTGGCAGATCAATTTACTGAGAGATGAATTGGTAGACAAAAGATGTTATCTCTGTAATCTTGATGGAAATATGTTGATAGAGAAATATAATAAATTAATTCCAATTATCTTGTTGAAGTATGTTATGTGGTTAACCAATTCAGTTTATCGCGGATGCTTTGAGCTTTTTGTTTCAATTGCCTACTGATTTATAAGTTGTTTACATGATGCTGGATTATCATTAAAGAAGGGTTATTATTTTATCTAGCAGAAATTACCTTAAAATATCGAGATCAGTGAAAAAATTAGCGAAATAAACAATTCATTGTCATTGTTAGTGACATTAACATGCAAACCTGTTTTCAAGAATTACTCAAACACTTTTGAACCCAAAGAGTTATACTCTTTGTTTGAACCGGTATTGATGGATTGTTTACGCATTTCTCTTGAATCATATGTGACAGCTTAAAGCCATTTTACAACCAGTTAATACAAATTTGCCTTTTTTATTCTTATTAAATAATCATTACTAATTAGTAATTACTTAGTATAACATTGTTATCTTTAATTTATTACAACTGTGCTTTTCACCCAGATAAATCCTCAACACCATCATAGGTAGCTATAACGATGCTTCTGTTTTCCATGAGACCCAATTTGTTATGAACTTGTGATTATTTGAATTTGTCTTCTATTGGCAAAACTATACAAATTGACATCATTATTAATCAAATCATCATCTAGTTTAGTATATTTAATTTTATCAGTCATTTGCTGTTAATTGTACATTTGTGCTCATCCAAAGGTTTCTCAAAATCCAACAATACGGATAGTCCAGCTGATCACATTCAATCCGTTTCTTGCCCTTTGGCTAACCTGCTAACTATTGATTGTTGATTAGTCAAGTGTCATTTGGTTAATTAACCACTGATTTTTCAATTTATCCCTACAATTTTCACTAAACAGTCACAGTCCACTAGTCATTCAATTAAATGTGAGTACTCATAGTTTGCTTTTTGTTATTGCTTTTTTGGTAACCATTTTGCCATTTTATACTGAAAATACCTCTAATTTTGTGTGTCTTGTATTTTCAGGGAAGGTATTTTCACTCGTGGCATCCACACCTTAGCAGTGAGTAACAAGCTTCACCAATTAAACCGATCTCGGCTTGTCGAAAAACTAAGACAAGTAACCTCATCGAAAGAAAAGTCAGTTGTTATCCTTCAAGGCGGAAAATACGAAACTCGTCATTGTAGTAAGTAAATTTGTTATGATATCTGATATCATTGAAGAGGTTATGAAGATTTTATTGACATTTTATTTTCTTTGATCGTTACCTATTTTTAGCTGATCATGAACCCATTTTTCGACAAGAATCTTATTTCCACTGGACTTTTGGCGTTGAAGAACCTGATTATTATGGAGCAATAGAGGTTGATTCAGGGAAAAGTCATTTATTTGCACCGAGATTACCGGAAAGTTACGCTGTGTGGATGGGTAAATTGAAAACACCTGAAGACCTGAAAGCTAGATATGGTGTTGATCAGGTTCATTATGTTGATACAGTAAGTATTTAATTAGATTCACATCGATTGGCGGTCCTCATATAGATTTGAATACTGTTGACATCGATTACAAAACCTAAATATTTGTCTAGCTCTTGTAGACAGGAAAAAATTGTCCTTATACCAATGTCACTGAGATGCACCTAATTGCTTTAATACAACTCAAGATGGTAAACATAACTTTACTCTTTTATTGAAGAAATGATTCAAGATTATTTCATGTATGAATTGACATGTGATAAAAGGGTAAAGAAAGCAGAAGATGAAAAATAAACAAACTGTAAATTGTATGCTTCAAAGTTAACTAGAGCTTGAGCAAATTCTTCATAATTTAATTATTATCAAAATATAATTGAAAGACATTTTATCAAGATGCTTCAAGATGAATTCAAAGATATGGACCAACATAATAATTAATGATCATTTCTCTTTTCTGATTTATTGAACAGATTAAACAAGTTTTGGCCAATTTGAAACCTGATTGTTTGTTAATATTACATGGAACCAACAGTGATTCAGGAAAAACATGCACAAAAACATCATTTGATGGTCTTAATGAGTTCAATATAAATGATAAGATTCTTCATCCAATTATATCAGAATGTAGAGTTTTTAAAACACCTTTGGAACTAGAAGTAATGCGATATGCTAATAAAATAAGCTCCGAAGCTCATAAAGATGTTATGAAAAAAGTTCGCTCAGGAATGAAAGAATATCAACTTGAAAGTTTATTTCGACATTATTGTCATTACAATGGTGGAGCTCGACTCCTTTCATATACTTGTATCTGTGGATCTGGAATAAACAGTTCGGTTCTTCATTATGGTCATGCTGGAGCTCCAAACGATAGAACCTTAAAAAATGGCGAATTGTGTCTCAATGACATGGGCTGTGAATATTATTGCTATGGAGCCGATATAACATGTACTTTTCCCATTTCTGGTGTTTTTACGGAGAACCAAAAAATCATTTACAATGCTGTTCTAGCATCAAGTCGATCTGTGATGGATAATGTTAAGCCCGGTGTTAGTTGGGTTGATATGCATTTGTTGGCTGATCGTGTGCATCTTGAACATTTACTTAAAGCTGGGTTGGTCAAGGGAAATATCGATGAAATGATGGAGCAACGGTTAGGAGCTGTTTTCATGCCTCATGGATTGGGTCATTTCTTGGGAATCGATACCCACGATGTTGGTGGTTACTTGGAACATACACCAGAAAGAAGATCGGAAGAAGGGTTGAAATCCTTACGGACTGCTCGCAAATTAGAGGCTGGAATGGTTCTCACAATTGAACCTGGAATCTATTTTATTGGTGTTCTGCTTGACAAGGCTTTGTCTGATCCGATTAAATCCAAATTTTTAAATGCTGATAAGATTGATCAATTCAGAAATTTTGGTGGAGTAAGTTGCTCTTTTGCAAAAAATTCAATTCCATTTGTTATGATATTGTTAAACCAATGCATTAATTTAATTGATTTATTTTTGGTTTAGGTTCGAATAGAGGATAATATAGTTGTCACTGAAACTGGAATGGAGCTGTTAACAAATGTTCCCAGAACAATTGAAGATATTGAAGCTTTAATGGCAGAAGGAAAAAATTTAGATATCAAATTTCCTCAACAAAAGATATCTGTTAACAGTAATTAAGGCTGAAGTCTTATGATCAATTCTAATTATAAAAGTTGTTTTGTAAGTTTCCAATGAAGAACTCAATCATTTTATAGTTTTTAGCAGAAGATGTTTTAATTTGACTTGATAGCGATGTTTTATACTTAATCTATTTCATTTTCAATTTACTCATCTGATGTTAATAAAGTAAATTGAAATGAATGTGAAATGTTGTTTACAAATTGACGAAAAAGAAAATCAAATCAATGTTCTGCTTGGTCTTTCATTGTAACATCGCATAATGTTAACAAGAACATTGTCAAAAAAATGGCCGGTAGAGATAACTTTCGCGCAACAGGTTGATTGAAAGCTATGAAATCAATTAATTTAAAAATGATGTACTGTTCAGTTTGCGAGAAAGTAAGTCTATCTCCGGAAGTTGAGACTCTTTCAGTGAGGCAATGACATCTGTAAGAATTTCTTTGAAATCTAGATGATGGAGGCCTTTATCTCGATAATTAGTCACATAGTGAATGTTATTGCTATCTAAAAGGCTTTTAACGATAGCAGCTTTTTGTTTTGAATCGGAAAGAACTTGAAGTGATCTTACAATTAAAGCGATGCCTTTCCTTACATTGGCTATCTTCTGATTTATGTTTTCACTTTGTTCATCATAAACGCCCCTGAAAAGTTGGTTGCAAAGATCGGATCGCCTGTTAGCATGAGGCACTCGTTGAAATTCTGGAAGGGCGCCCATCTTTTTATCCTCTTCATCTATTTCCAGCATAAGTGCATAGAGCTGTTCAATATCCAATAATAGGCGACGGAACGCATTCAATTCTGCTCGTCCGATTGGTGTCATTGGTCTGTCTTGGCTTGGATCAACAATTTCGGTTGGGTGCTTTGGATCAACATCTAACAACTTTCGAGGACATTTTACATCAATGACTCGAATTTTTCCCAGACATCCTTCAAATTGTACCAGCACATATTCGACTTTTGTACTATCGTCAATTTTCCTTTCCGGAATAATTAAAGCAGGAACTTTTGATCCATTGTCTCCTTTTTTAGCTTTAGCAGCAGTTGCCAATTGTTTTGTTTTAAAAGATACGAAATAAAAATCTTCTTTATAAGGGTTTGTGAAATTTAATGCACTATTTTGAATTTTTATCAGCCATTCTTTATTGCTTTGAGTCATTAAGCCAGCGTACTCATCGTCGTTGGAACTTCTATCGTGATGCTGGTAAGGTGTACCTGGTCGAGGATAAAACTGTCGGCGTTGATGAGCGAATCGTTGATGAAGCTGCTGTAAGTGTTGCATTTGATGATGTTGGATGAACAATGGATTGGGAATAGGTCCAGGTAAGAATGGCACAAATGGGGGACGAGATATGACCGTAGGTACAAATTGTTGAATAAGAGGTCTATTTCCAGGCATAAATAGACTGCTGAACAATGGTTTAGGGTTGATCGTTTCATTTGATGGAGGTACTATAGTTGAACTAACAAGTGGCTGGACTGGTTCGGGTAAAACTCTCCTTTCTTGGTTATTATTTGTTAGATCTACACCAGGAAAAAATTTATTCAAATTATTGCCAGCATTTTGAACAAGTTTTGTTTCAATTTGGGTATTATTAGGATTATCATTCAACAGATGTCTTTCTAATTCATCTAAGGTCATTGGTTTGAATGGCTTTCCAATAGAAACTGAATTTTTTGGGTCAACATCAGCTGATGGGCGGGAATTTACCGAGCTTGGTTTTCCATAACCGATTGGAGCTTGAGGCTGACTGTTTTGGTCATTCGTATTTACATTTGTAGAAGGCTGAATATTAGGTATGAAACCACCCATACTGAAGGGGCTCCAACCACTATCATTTTTTTCATTTTTCAAATTACTTTCTGAAGCTTTTGGTGTAGATTTTTCTGTCGAAGTAGAATTTTTACGATTGACGTCGGAGTTCAACAGCATAGCTTCTAAATCTTCTGCTCTAACTGGTCTTTTTATAACAGGCCTGGAAGAGGAATTGTCATCATTTTCAATTATTCGCGGTTGATTTACTGAAGATGATTCAGCAGGTGCACACATAGATGAACTTACAACATTGGCCATCAAAATAGGTGACGTCATTTGAATATTAGTGTTATCGTTATGATTAAGTTTTGTAGATGCAAGATCAGTATTCCAAATTGATTCTGTTGATCTAATTGGCGTATTATTGAAAGGATTTTCCAATGAAGTTTTGCCGAAAAAATAGCTGTTTGAGCTCATTTTTTGTCTATCTGCTTCTGGAGGAATTGATCTGGATGATGTTGACAAATTGTGCATTCCCTGTTCAATGGTTTGACAGTCCAGAACTTTACTAGAGTCGAAACAGGGAAGATTGTTTTGATTTAAAAATTGAGATGAAGATGAAGATGGAGGATGAGGGGAAGGTGATGTCGTCGTGTGTGGTTGATTATGCATGCCTGATAAGCCAGCAGGCGATTGGTATTGAGAAGGCCCAGAAATCAATGAGGCCATTTTTTCATGTTGATGTTCCCAATCTTCGTCGAAGGTTGCAGCTCCGAAAGTTTCATCATTAAGAGCATCAAAATCATCAGCATCTTCAGGAGCAATTGCAAGGTCGTTTGACAGGCGATTAATTAATTTTTGCCGCCTTTCTACCCAGGCCGGATCGGAACTAGAGTCATCTGAGTCCAATAAATAACCAGAAGATCCTTGTTGAGGATTATTGTGAAAGGTGTAGTAATCTACTTCATCAACTTTACTCATTATGGTAGATAAAGAATTAAAATCACAATAGTGGAATAAACAGAATTATAACCAATTAAGAGCAAAGATAGGCACAGAAAATGGTTGGACAGTGCTTTAGATGACAATAAAATTTAAATGTTGAAGTACAATGGAACCTAGAAACCAAGAAAATTTATAATCAAAATTCAAGTTAAAACGAAATGAAAATACACATGAAAATAAACAATCTGACAAAACGCAACTTACTTGTTAAGAAGGTCAATGATAAATTTAAAAATCTCCTTTCAAATTGTTGAATACCAGTCACAATTGATGAAAAGATATCACAAGGAAAGTAGACTAGTAATGAAAAAGGCTGAAGATACTAAAAATCGACAAAAAAGGACAATAAGCAAGTCAAATGGTCAAAAAAAAGTGCGTATCAAAACGAATGTTTTGTTTGTTTTGTTTACTTTTATTTTGCAAAAGTATCGATACCTTACCTATCAAAAGTACTCGATATGAGTGAAAATGAGCGCCATCTTTGATGGCCACTTACAAATTTGTGAGCTTATCCAATTTAATGACATGTCAATAGATGGAAGCAAAATGTGTATTGTTCGAGGTTTGTATGAAGTTCGAGTAGAACTGTTTGAGTTTAGAGAGGAAAGAGTCGAAAGTTTACTCAATTGTTGAACCTTTGTAACTTAAAAAGACAGAGAAGGAAAGCTTGCGAAAGAATGAAAAGAAAGGAATTTTGTAGAGACATCTTTCGGATTTAGTTACCGTTAGACTGTTGGATGTAATATTTCTTGTAGTAACTTCAACTCTTCATAGCTGTTGATGCCTCCTGTTGAACTTTTTCATTCTGTCAATGGCTATCCTCTTGGTAAAGTGTTATGGATAAATGGCAGCAACCAAAATGTTTTCAAAATTTAAAGGTTCAACAGTTAACTCCAATCTTTTCGAGTCCAATTATGCTAGAGGTCCAACAACATACAATCCATTTGAAACCAATCCAATCTCACAATATTTCGAGATTGGCAATCAAACTGGAAGTGCAGGACCCGAATTAGCTTGGAAAATTTACGATGCAACTCGAAAATTGGACAAAAAGGTAAGATAATTTTACATTTAGAAACATAAATTGGTAAAAAATTTCAACCTTTTATCATTTTCCATTCCAAACCCTTGCCTAAGTTATCCCCAACTGTTATAGATAACTTTTAATTCCTTGAACATTCAATCATTTTTATTCCCAACTCAAAGTCAGAATGCTTACTTAGCTATCAATATCAATTTACCAAAAACACAATAACAAATTCCTTCAAAGTTACTAACCAAGCAAAAATTTCGATAGTCTTGCCATAATCTTGCTAATGTATATTTGCTTGAAACACTTTATCCAGTCAACCTTTTCAATCACGCACTTTTTATTTGTGCCCTTACAATCCATCATTAATACCATTCTCTATTTTGTTTTCTGGTCAATCAAACAACCATGGATTTATTTAGGAAGCTTCTGTATTTTTCTTCAACAAAAAGTCAGTGGACAAACTTCACAAACCCAAACGTAAAGAGGCCATTTCTGAAATACTTAAATTTAGTGCAAAACAATTGGATCGTTATCGTCATCCCAAAATTTTGACTCTTTACCATCCAGTTGAAGAGTCACCAGAGACTTTAGCCTTTGCCACTGAACCAGTGTTGGGAAGCCTTGCCAATGTACTTGGATACCTTGAGGATAGATTACCACAAAACATAAACTCACCAATCAAGCAATATTCATTTCTTGAGTTTGAGGTTAAATACGGACTTTTACAGGTAAACAACACTTAACAATCTTAACCTTAAATTTTCTCATCAATCAAATTACCCAAAAACAACAAGCAAACAAACAAAACCAAAATAAAGTTGACCAAACATGAATCTCATGTGTATCCATTATGTTGAAAATGCACTCTAAACCGATAATGAGATCCTTTTTCCGATTTACCCAAACCTGCAAAAAATCACCAACTTTGAACGTAATTTCACCGAAAATTATCGATCATAAAATTCCTCAATTTGTCACATAAACAGCTTTTTTGCCCAAACCCACTCACCACTCGATTTAAACCGATTCTGAAACCTGTAGATATTAATTTTAAAGGTCGATTTGTCTCTTCACTCGTTTGTTTTTGCTATTATTTTGACTTTGCTGTTCCCAAAATGAATAGTTACTGTAAAGGTAAACTCTCAGGAAGCCTATTTCAGCCGTTTTCACTTATTTTTACATGAAAATCAAATAATCCTTGGCTTAAAGTTTTTCCCTTTTTCTCTCTCTTTTTCTCAACCTTTTGTATTTCATTTTCATCTCTCATGAAAAGCTCATTCATCCATCCATTCTTAAGGCTACCAAAAGTTTAATATTAAATATACACAGAGAGTGAGAAGGAAAGAGGTTCACATGAACTAAATATAATAAGAAAGGATATGATGATAACAGATGATGATAAAAGAAGATTCATTGCAAGGAAAAAATGACGATACTCAAGACTATTGTACTAGACATAAGACTTTTATCAATAACGATATTTTCAATTTGGCCTCATTTTGTAGTAAAGTAAACTGTTGATGATAAACATCATGATTCTTACAAGCGTTTCAGTGTAAACATAAAACCGTCCAAATATATTGAGTTTGTAGGAAAAAGAAGAAGGCGAAAAAAAAGTCTTTTGTTATCCAGGAAAATCTTATTAATACAATTTTCTCTTTTTTCACCCAATTCTGAGCATGGAAAGTGAAAACTGTGAATATCAATGGCTAAAGTCTTTCTTTCACCTTTATCTGTCTACCTCTTGTTGATTGTTCACAATCTAATACATCATTTAACCTGTTGATATGTTTACTCGATAATATTAATATCCAAACATTAATATCCATGTTTTTCAACCTTTTACTTTGGGTTACCTTGACGTTAAACCGCTATCAATCCATTATCAATGTAATATTGAATACAGTCACAGTTTTGGGTTAATCTCATTCAAACAATTAATCCTGAAATTGTTGTTCCCTTAAACATGTACATTAACCTGGTAACAAAACCTTTACATTTCCAGTGTTTTACCCTTTGGAGTGACCATTAATGACAAAATTGGGTTCATCAGGTTGTCTTAACACTATTCACTGGTAATAATGAAAGATCAAGATGAAGAGAAAAGTCTCTTTTTTTATATTTCTTGTCTATTAACCTCTTCTATTTACCCTGACAATTGAAAACTGATTCCTCTATTGATTATTTAGGCCAGTTGATTGTCTTTTTTTTAAGTGAAATCAACAATACAATTGATACGATTCACTTGTTGATAAAGAAGAAGAGCTAGAAATGTCCATAATATTGTTTTTTGTTTCCTCGACTCAACCATTTTATCATTACAATCCAAGTTGATTAAATAATCAACCAATTTTGGACCCAATCACTTTCACCTCTCATTTACACAGCTTTAAATAAATTGTTGACATTGGACAGTTTACCTTAACAAACAATATCCAATGTTAATAATACATTTAGATGGTAAAGCAAACAATTAACCGATTTTATCCTCAAAAACCAAATTTCTCAATCAACATTTTCTCCAATCAAATCAATTAATCAATCAAGAATCAAGTTAAACTAATTTCAATTCAAGCTTCAAGTGTTTCAACAGAAACCAATTGTAACATTTCATTTTACTTTTTAATTCCAATGTTAATTGATTTTTCCCTTCAAGTAAAGTTCAATTTCAAACAACATTGGATTCTTTGATCTTTCTTGATATTTTCATCTTATCCAAGCCCTGTCTTTGATCCAATAGATGATCATTTGAATTGAACATTTAGAGTTGATGAAAAGGTGAAATGAAAATTTATCTGTATTTTTATCTCATCTTTTATTTTAATACAACAGCAACGGCTAATATAATAAGAGCAGTAAAAAAAGACTGGAAAAAACATCAAAATCTACTTGAGTTTTACAATAAGTTACTTGGGAATTCATGTTATTTGTTTATTTTATCCAACATTCTTTATTCTTTATTTACCAAAAGTTACCTTGTTTCCAATTATTCTTTGTGTCATTCCTGGTCGACACCATTTTCGCCTTCTTTCTTCCTCTGTCTATCAACTTAACCATTACCCATTTGAAGCACCAATCTTCTTAAGAATCTATCGCAACATTTTTACTTATCTCTTACCATTGAAACAAAGAACCAAAAATGAGATGAAAAAAAAGAAGAAGAAGAAGAAAACTTTCAGATATTCCAGTTCCATTGAGACTTATCACCTTTAAGTCTTTGTCATTCTGTCTTCTTACCTTTATATGCTACTACAAAAAACCTTTATTGGCTTAGTTAGTATCTTTTAGCACACTTTCAATATAAAATATAAATAACTTTGAAACTGATGAAGACACCTTACTGTGAGTCAATTTTACAACAACCGTAAAACTCACATCAAAATCAGATCCATTATCAATCATGTTAGGCTTGTATTGAATGGTTTCAAAAATGTTCTGTTTCATCAAATTTTCAGTCAACAAAATTGGATGAAAATGTCACGAAAACAAAATTCAAGATCAAGATCTGGATCAACTCATTTATCAACAAAATCATCATCAAAAATTGTGAATAACTTGTTGATCCAAACTCGGATAATCTGATGCTCAAAATCCATTCTTAGTTGATTCAAAGTTCAGTTCAACGAAAAAAGTGAAATGCTAAATCGAGTCGAAACTTGATTCAATTATTTTCAAACCTAAACTCAAGCTCATTGTAAACATTGTAATCGTAAACTCGTTTCATGATAATGATGATTTAATGAAGATTTAATTTTAAGCTTGTTAATAGCCTTAAACAAAGTTTCAATTTTTGTAACATTTTTCAAGCTCAAAGTATTATTTGTTTCACATTATCAATCAATAACACTTTTGGATGTTGGATGTGAACTTATCAATTATTGAAGGAAATTGGTGATAATTTTGTGATTAAATTTTCATCAAATGACATTTGAACATTTTTCAATATTCAGGGTTTATTCTTGTGTTCAATAATTTCATCTTTTGCTTTGGTTAACAGTTGCTTTGGTAAATTATTTCATTTTGATTTCACCATTTCGTGTTTTCTTTATTCATGTTCATGTAAATAGTCATGAAATTAATCAAATTGAAGAGGCAAACAATGGTAAATATAATCATGTTGCAAACCTTTTCACTCTTGAATAAATATACAACATTTGATTCCCTAGTTGGTAGAGATGAATCCCTGATAAATGAGGGAAAAGGCAACTTTTAGACGGGCAAAAATACATGAGATGAAGAAAAGCAAAATCAGTAACTTTGATATCTTTGTATTCAAAGATACTGGTAAATCCATAACTGTTATTGTATTAATACATAACTATTATATAATATTTAAGGATACAATGAATGGTATTTAGTGTGGGCTTTTCAAATTCAATGTTCACAGATGAAACTTTCTTTCCAAAATGAATAGTTTGTGCTCATTCATTCAGGTTAAACTTTTCATCTTTTCAATAACATCAACTTTTACTAAATCCTAACTTTTTCAGCACAATTTCATGTTTCTATCCAATTTCATCATAAAATGCTTTTCTTTCTGGATTTGTTAGATTTTTTAAAACATTTTCTACATTTATCGATGTTAGTAGAAATACAAATTTTGGAAAGTCTGGTCAAATAAAGAATCTTTTGGATTTTTCTACCTGTTCGAGATCCACTGATGCTGGAACTGAAACTTGGACTGAGACTTCTAAATTCATGTCTCAAGATAATTTGATGCATTTTTACTTCCAATTAAATGAAAGGTCTGAAAGAAAAGTTTTTAAGAAAAATGATTTCTCTATCAAATAGTTGAAATGGTAAACTACGAAGAAATTTGACAAGTTAGTGTTTATCGTCAACATTAATCTGGGCGACTCCTGAATATGTTTTGGGATAAAATGTCAAATGGTTAATCGCCATCGCATATATTTTTATTGAATTGTGACTGATATCAGGGACTTAGTGAACTGAGAAGTACAAAGTTGAAGAACTAAGTGAAGTTTGTTTACAAATGCTTCTATTTTTACACACAATGATGAGTGGATAAAGAGAATGCTTTTGGACTCTTAGACTGTCAGAAAATTCGTTGTTATCCTGTTTTCCCTTTAGGGGCCAAATTAAGGTCACAATCGATATTTGGAGAAGGAGTGAGAAGATGCAAGAAACTGTCTGTGCAAGAGAACAACAAGTTAAAACTAGTCATATTTCGTAACATAATAAAATGTAATAAGCGTCGTAATGTCCAAACGCTCATCATACGCTCAAAAAAATAAAATTTCAGCGAAGAATTACCAGATTGAAGGTAAACAGGCTAATTAAGTTATCCAGTAGATTGCGATTGTTTAACATTTCGAACCTTCATTTGCGTTAAAATTCTTTCAATTTTGCTTGAGAAGTAGAAAGCTTTGAGGAAAATTCGGGCATCTTTCCAATGGTAAGAGTTATGAACGAGTGGTTAGAGTTAGAGTTCCAAGTCTGAGGTCTGTAGTATCAACCGTACGTGAGTTATGCCTACAAAAAAGCGTAAAATGAAAAAAACGCCCGCTACTTTTAATATGGGGACGAGTTTTCACGAAATTAGCTAGAGCTAGCTCATTAAAGTAGAGCAAAAGTCAAGATAAGAGCATCGATTCAATGTGTTTCCATGAATTTTTTTTATGGAACTCAGTTTTGTCCAGATCATTTTGTCTAAAAAATTCCAAAATTTTGACAAGTTTTTAATTTCAAAGTCTAATACTCTAGTCTT